TCGAAGAAAGCACACTTGATCTGCGTGGCATGCTGGTTGGCAGCTTTCATCTTACCTGTGACGCTCCTTCTCGTAGATAAACATGATGTTTTCTTTTCGTATAGGGGCTATCAATGCGAATATGGTTTCTCATCAGAGGTTTGGCACTATCTGAGGCCTTTTTTGGCAGTGCTATTTGGATTTATTCCAACATGCCTGGTTGTAATAACCACCCTTTGTTTGCTGATTAAAGCCAGAAAGGTCGTTTCCCGGAGCAGAGAAAGTTTGAAGAGGCAGGGGATCGTGACAACAGTCCTTACAGCCACAGTCTTCTGCTTGTCCCTCCTACCATACGTTGTTTACAGTGTTCGGCAATCTGTCGTTAAAGTAGATGACAAGAGCAAGAGTTCATTCTACACCACGTTTTATAGAGTTTCACTCTCGCTCCTGTATTTAAACACCATCAGCAACTTCTACATCTATAGTCTGACCGTGTCTAGCTTCAGAGCATTTATCTGGTTGAAAATGCAGATGTCTTATCAGTACATTACCAACGTGGAAACTTCTACAAGTCATGGTATTTAATTATTGATATATGAATAATGAATATTAATACTATGGATATTTATTTATCAACCTTATTGTCCTGATAGCGGGTTTTTAATTGAATAGTGGTCGGTCACATATTAATTAATCACTTTTTGGCCAATTTTCAACCCCTCCCCCCTCTGAAATCATTTTACAGTATCAAAATTACACTCGCGTATCAGCCAAAACCAACATGGCCCATGTGGAAGGGGGCCTTGACGTTGTTTACCACTTGGCCCTGCATCCGAAGCAGGGACAAAAGGATTTCGCGGCGATTTTGGCCAAATTTCGCGATACCGCGAAATTTAACAGGCTATACATTAAACTATACATAAAATTTGTCGCGGAGAATGGAAATTTCGCGATTTCGTACATGCCGCGAAATCCTTTTGTCCCTGATCCGAAGCTGACGGTCGGCCTCCACTAATAGCTAGTGTGTCAAAATTACACGAGCGTAATCATTCGGAAAACCCCCTCCCCCTTGGCTGATAACGTAATATGTGAAGAACCCTATAGTTACGGATATTTTATATTAACAATAAGGTATTTTGTACGGTTCTTTTTTTCAGGAGGAAGAACGAGAACCGTACAGAACCAAGGAAGGGCGAGAACAGAACCGGACGTTGGAAACGTGAATGAAGGGAGTCAACAAACTTCAGTTTGATTGTGATACGGTGACCCAGAACATTGTTAGAGACATTAGAATACCATGTTTTTATTGTTTTAAGATACTTTTAGTATTATTAGCACAATATTGAATATACTCAATTTGAAAAACAAGTCTTCATCATTTCAAGAATGATGAATATTAATACTATCGATATTTATTTATCAACCTTATTGTCCTGACACAGGGATTTTATTCGAATAGCTACGGATATTTTACCACGAAAATAAGGTTTTTGTACAGTTTCTTTTTTCAGGAGGAAGGGCGAGTGGCACAGCAAGCACAGGAGCGAACACTGTACGAAATTTTGATATCTGGAATGGTTGTAAACATATCGTAACTTAATTACAAAAAACAATAACTAATCTACAGATGTTTAAACTGCACCAATGTTTCGTGAACACTGTGTTAACGTATTAGTTGTTGTTCTACGTTGATTAACCGATTGGCAGTCAGATTGTGTCTTTGAAATTAAACCCAATAACAATTCTTATATGAGACCCCTTTATGTAGTGTGTTAGTATCACGTAACACGTTATTGAGTTTTGTACTTTACATATTTAATCGCTATTGTTTATCGTTTTTAAGGTATCTTACTATGTTTGAGTATAGGAGCTTTTCTATTGTAATCAATATTCCAGTTAACAGAACTTCATCTTTAAAATTTGGGTTAGTTAAGGTCAATAACAATCCCGATTATGGTTAGGATATTTCGTGTGATTTCATCTTGTGATCTTATTATTTTTTATTATTGAAATCTAACTGTAGTTTTAATATCTTTTACAATTTACAAACTATTGCCAATACTAGAATAAAAAATTAATTAAGTTCAATTTTTGTCAATTTGCTGACAGCCCTAATTTTGGTCCTCTGTCCTATGCCAAACTTAATTCAATATTTTGATCATATTAAACAACAATTTTGATCTCTATTCTTATTTTACTTGTTTACTCTTGTTATCTAACCCAGAAAGCTTAAGGGATCTTTGACAGTCAACAACGGTAATAACAGCTTACATGGTGGCATTTTTCAACGATTTCTTATAAAAATGGTTCAATATGGCGTCGTATGTGAATACAGTACGAATAAATCTACTTTCATACATATTTTCGTTATTTAATCATTTTTTCCATCGGAACAGTGGAAAAGTAAACAACCTTACAGATTCTGACGCTCCAACCTGACACTTAAAACTATAATAAATCACCCATCAAAATTCAATGACCAGCTTCATTACCGATTTCAGTGTTTCTTGTGAATTTGTTTATTTAGAATTTACATAATGGAATGATGTCTATACGTGTAAATTCTAGCATGGCAAAAAGCCCTGCGTTTGGCGTTTGACCAGTGGACAAAAGTTCGCACATGACCTGTCACTGCGTGGGAACTGGGTACAACTGCCGAGTGCCGGTAGGCCTCTAAGTCTAGGGAACCTATAAATCTGTAAATTGAGTAGCAAAACTGCTCCATGTCCCCTCAGGATATAAGAAATGGGTTAATCACAAGATGTATAGCTCATTTCTGTTCTTGTCGCTCATTCAATAGTTGTTCATTTCTGCAAATAATTTATCATGCCAACAACCCAATATTATGCCGAATACGGTAACAAGACTGTGTATGGCATTGAAAGTGATGCTATAAGATACACTTGGGCCGGATACTATCTATTCATCTTTGCCTCATCTATAATAGGAGACACAACCATTCTCATAGCATCCATAAAGTACAAGGCCTTTAAACTTCACCGAGTCATGGTTGTCGTCATCCAGCACATGGCATTCTGTGACCTGATTGTATCTGCTACCAACGTTCTCCCAAGGATGGTCTCTGTCATCTCTGATAAGTGGGTGCTAGGAAACTTCTTCTGCTACTTGTACTCCTATGTAAGGTACTATACCTACGTGACGAGTATGTTTCTCATCTGTGCCATGACAACCAGCAAGCTGCTCCTCCTGAAATATCCCCTCAAATTTGGAACGACCACTTTGAAGAAAGCACACTTGATCTGCGAGGCATGCTGGTTGGCAGCTTCCATCGTACCTATGGCACACCTTCTCGTAGATAAAGATGATGTTTTCTTTTCGTATAGGGACTATGGATGCGATTATGGTTTCTCATCAGATATTTGGCACTATCTGAGGCCTTTTGTAGCATTGCTATTTGGATTTACTCCAATATGCCTGGTTGTATTAACCACCCTTTGGTTGCTGATTGAAGCCAAAAAAGTCGTTTCCCGGAGCAGAGAAAGTTTGAAGAGGCAGGGGATCGTGACAGCAATCCTTACAGCGACAGTTTTCTGCTTGTCCCTCCTACCATATGTTGCTTATTTGATCGGGGAATCTATCGTTAGTGTAAATGACAAGAGCAAGAGTTCATTCCACACCACGTTTTATAGAGTTGCAGTCTCGCTCCTGTCTTTAAACACCATCAGCAACTTCTACATCTATAGTCTGACCGTGTCTAGCTTCAGAGCATTTATCTGGTTGAAAATGCAGATGTCTTATCAGTTCATTATCAACGTAACAACTTCTACAAGTCATGGTAATAAAACATTTATGTATGAATATTAATACTATGGATATTTATCAACCTTATTGTGTCCTGACAGCGGGTTTTTAATTGAAATTAGCTACGGTTATTTTATTCTAACAAGGTGGTTTTTTGTACAGTTCTTTTTTCAGGAGGAAGGGCGAGAACCGTACAGAACCAAGGAAGGGCGAGAACAGAACCGGACGTTGGAAACGTGAATGAAGGGAGTCAACAAACTCCAGTTTGATTGTGATACGGTGACCCAGAACATTGTTAGAGACATTAGAATACCATATTTAAAGAGACGTGTAGCACAATGTACGAAATTTCAAAAAAAATGTCAAATTTAATATCTGGAATGGTTGTAAACATATCATAACTTAATTACAAAAACAATAAACTAATCTACAGATTTTTTAACTGCACCAATGTTTTGTGAACACGGTGTTAACGTTTTAGTTGTTGTTCTACGTTGATTAACCGATTAGCGGTCAGATTGTGTCTTTCAAATTAAGCCCAAAAACAATTCTTATATGAGACCCCTTTATGTATTGTGTTAATATCACGTATCACGTTATTGAGCTTTGTTCTTTAAATATTTAATCGCTATTGTTTATCGTTTTTAAGGTATCTTACTATGTTTGAGTATGAAAGCTTTTCTATCGTAATCAACATTCCAGTTAACAGAACTTCATCTTTAAAATTCGATTAAGTTAAGGTCAATTACCATTCCGATTATGATTAGGATATTTTGTGTGATTTCATTTTTGATTTTATTATTTTTTATTATTGAAATCTAACTGTAGTTTTAATATCTTTTACAATTTACAAACTATTGCCAATACTAGAATAAAAAATTAATTAAGTTCAATTTTTGTCAATTTGCTGACAGCCCTAATTTTGGTCCTCTGTCCTATGCCAAACTTAATTCAATATTTTGATCATATTAAAAACTGGAAATAACGACAATTCTGATCTTTATTCTTATTTTGCTTGTTTACCCTTGTTATCCTACATCAGAAACCTGAAGGGATCTTTGACTGTCAACAACTGTAATATTTCAAAAAAATGAATCTTTTAAATAGTTTTAATATACGGGTTCCTGCTAGTAGTTGTGATATAAGATCACTATTTATTTATACATTCCTAAAACCCGGAGAATTTGAAAACGGTTTTCCCTCAAGTGTGTTATCATATTATGATAATGGATACGCAATAATGTAATCACAATTTCATGAAGGTAGCAATTTCCAAATGATTTTTATTGAGTAATGACTAGCTTATGATTGATAATTTGTTGGGTCATAACGTCACAAATTGGGTATCATATTTTAGGGTTCAATTCCCAGGAGATAAAGATATCAGCCGAGGTCTCATTTTGTTGAGTAATAAATGAAATATGGATAATAGAAATCAAAGTGTTGCGCAACTCGAAATTTAATACCGTTTCTGAACGATGTGAAAGTCGAAAGCGACGATGCCGGTAACGTTGCCAATAGGAAGTACGGTTTGAGAAAGGACGTTGGTGACGTCAGTGGGGTCCAGTACCACGTGCAATAATTCCTGACCACGTGCTATGAGCAGTCTGTGATCTGGCTCTGCGGGGAGATGTTTCGTTGATAGTTGGGTCTAATAACATGTTATTATTGAAACTGATCGTAATTGTAATTGTAATTGTAATTGTAATTGTAATTGTAGTTGTAATTGTAATTGTGATTGTAGTTGTAACTAACCAATGCACGTGACCCCATCCTCGTTGAGCACAAAGTGAGAAGTACACCCGCACACTCTCGTCAGGTCTGGTTTTGCAAAACACAGATGTGTGCAGCCTCCGTTATTTGAGGTGCAGCCTGTCTTTATACCTGGTGTTGTTTAAAGTAAAAGTTATGAAAGTGGATAATAGTCACACTTTTTAAGAAACACCCTGTGCAGTGTACGTATATATAATACTGGTTTAAGATAAGGTGTTTTGTAGATTGTGAGCGGGTATATTTGAGAAGCTGGGAATATCAGGAGTCTGGACTCTGGAGCTGGGGAAGATGTTATTACCTGTTGGTTGCCGGGAGGAGTGCACAACTTTAATACCGTGATATTACCTGTTGGTTGTCGGGAGGAGTGCACAACTTTAATACCGTGATATTACCTGTTGGTTGCCGGGAGTAGTGCACAACTTTAATACCGTGTTATTACCTGTTGGTTGCCGGGAGTAGTGCACAACTTTAATACCGTGTTATTACCTGTTGGTTGCCGGGAGGAGTGCACAACTTTAATACCGTGATATTACCTGTTGGTTGCCGGGAGGAGTGCACAACTTTAATACCGTGTTATTACCTGTTGGTTGCCGGGAGGAGTGCACAACTTTAATACCGTGTTATTACCTGTTGGTTGCCGGGAGGAGTGCACAACTTTAATACCGTGATATTACCTGTTGGTTGCCGGGAGGAGTGCACAACTTTAATACCGTGATATTACCTGTTGGTTGCCGGGAGGAGTGCACAACTTTAATACCGTGTTATTACCTGTTGGTTGCCGGGAGGAGTGCACAACTTTAATACCGTGATATTACCTGTTGGTTGCCGGGAGGAGTGCACAACTTTAATACCGTGTTATTACCTGTTGGTTGCCGGGAGGAGTGCACAACTTTAATACCGTGTTATTACCTGTTGGTTGCCGGGAGTAGTGCACAACTTTAATACCGTGTTATTACCTGTTGGTTGCCGGGAGTAGTGCACAACTTTAATACCGTGATATTACCTGTTGGTTGCCGGGAGGAGTGCACAACTTTAATACCGTGATATTACCTGTTGGTTGCCGGGAGTAGTGCACAACTTTAATACCGTGTTATTACCTGTTGGTTGCCGGGAGTAGTGCACAACTTTAATACCGTGTTATTACCTGTTGGTTGCCGGGAGGAGTGCACAACTTTAATACCGTGTTATTACCTGTTGGTTGCCGGGAGGAGTGCACAACTTTAATACCGTGATATTACCTGTTGGTTGCCGGGAGGAGTGCACAACTTTAATACCGTGATATTACCTGTTGGTTGCCGGGAGGAGTGCACAACTTTAATACCGTGTTATTACCTGTTGGTTGCCGGGAGGAGTGCACAACTTTAATACCGTGATATTACCTGTTGGTTGCCGGGAGGAGTGCAAAACTTTAATACCGTGATATTACCTGTTGGTTGCCGGGAGGAGTGCACAACTTTAATACCGTGATATTACCTGTTGGTTGCCGGGAGGAGTGCACAACTTTAATACCGTGATATTACCTGTTGGTTGCCGGGAGGAGTGCACAACTTTAATACCGTGATATTACCTGTTGGTTGCCGGGAGGAGTGCACAACTTTAATACCGTGATATTACCTGTTGGTTGCCGGGAGTAGTGCACAACTTTAATACCGTGTTATTACCTGTTGGTTGCCGGGAGGAGTGCACAACTTTAATACCGTGATATTACCTGTTGGTTGCCGGGAGGAGTGCACAACTTTAATACCGTGTTATTACCTGTTGGTTGCCGGGAGTAGTGCACAACTTTAATACCGTGTTATTACCTGTTGGTTGCCGGGAGGAGTGCACAACTTTAATACCGTGTTATTACCTGTTGGTTGCCGGGAGTAGTGCACAACTTTAATACCGTGATATTACCTGTTGGTTGCCGGGAGGAGTGCACAACTTTAATACCGTGATATTACCTGTTGGTTGCCGGGAGGAGTGCACAACTTTAATACCGTGTTATTACCTGTTGGTTGCCGGGAGGAGTGCACAACTTTAATACCGTGTTATTACCTGTTGGTTGCCGGGAGGAGTGCACAACTTTAATACCGTGTTACTACCTATTGGTTGCCGGGAGTAGTGCACAACTTTAATACCGTGATATTACCTGTTGGTTGTCGGGAGGAGTGCACAACTTTAATACCGTGATATTACCTGTTGGTTGCCGGGAGGAGTGCACAACTTTAATACCGTGATATTACCTGTTGGTTGCCGGGAGTAGTGCACAACTTTAATACCGTGATATTACCTGTTGGTTGCCGGGAGGAGTGCACAACTTTAATACCGTGATATTACCTGTTGGTTGCCGGGAGGAGTGCACAACTTTAATACCGTGTTATTACCTGTTGGTTGCCGGGAGGAGTGCACAACTTTAATACCGTGATATTACCTGTTGGTTGCCGGGAGGAGTGCACAACTTTAATACCGTGATATTACCTGTTGGTTGCCGGGAGGAGTGCACAACTTTAATACCGTGTTATTACCTGTTGGTTGCCGGGAGGAGTGCACAACTTTAATACCGTGATATTACCTGTTGGTTGCCGGGAGTAGTGCACAACTTTAATACCGTGATATTACCTGTTGGTTGCCGGGAGTAGTGCACAACGTTTATACCGTGATATTACCTGTTGGTTGCCGGGAGGAGTGCACAACTTTAATACCGTGTTATTACCAGTTGGTTGCCGGGAGGAGTGCACAACTTTAATACCGTGATATTACCTGTTGGTTGCCGGGAGGAGTGCACAACTTTAATACCGTGATATTACCTGTTGGTTGCCGGGAGTAGTGCACAACTTTAATACCGTGATATTACCTGTTGGTTGCCGGGAGGAGTGCACAACTTTAATACCGTGTTATTACCTGTTGGTTGCCGGGAGGAGTGCACAACTTTAATACCGTGTTATTACCTGTTGGTTGCCGGGAGGAGTGCACAACTTTAATACCGTGTTATTACCTGTTGGTTGCCGGGAGTAGTGCACAACTTTAATACCGTGATATTACCTGTTGGTTGCCGGGAGGAGTGCACAACTTTAATACCGTGATATTACCTGTTGGTTGCCGGGAGGAGTGCACAACTTTAATACCGTGATATTACCTGTTGGTTGCCGGGAGGAGTGCACAACTTTAATACCGTGTTATTACCTGTTGGTTGCCGGGAGGAGTGCACAACTTTTATACCGTGTTATTACCTGTTGGTTGCCGGGAGGAGTGCACAACTTTAATACCGTGATATTACCTGTTGGTTGCCGGGAGGAGTGCACAACTTTAATACCGTGATATTACCTGTTGGTTGCCGGGAGGAGTGCACAACTTTAATACCGTGTTGTAACTCATCTTCAGTAGGAAGGAACATGTCGGGAGTTCCATCGGGGTAATCCCATGTCATCACACTCTTCTTATACCTGAAGAGGATAACACGTCATAGAAGTGCACTTGTCACGTGATGAGATGCACTTGTCACATGATGAGATGCACGTGTCACGTGATGAGATGCACGTGTCACGTGATGAGATGCACTTGTCACGTGATGAGATGCACGTGTCACGTTATGAGATGCACGTGTCACCAGATGAGATGCACGTGTCACGTGATGAGATGCACGTGTCACGTAATGATATGCACGTGTCACGTGATGAGATGCACGTGTCACGTGATGAGATGCGCGTGTCACGTGATGAGATGCACTTGTCACGGGATGAGATGCACGTGTCACGTGATGAGATGCACGTGTCACGTGATGAGATGCACGTGTCACGTTATGAGATGCACGTGTCACCAGATGAGATACACGTGTCACGTGATGAGATGCACGTGTCACGTGATGAGTCGCACGTGTCACGTGATGAGATGCACGTGTCACGTGATGAGATGCACGTGTCACGTGATGAGATGCACGTGTTAAGTTAATGTTTGATATCAAGATAAACTGACCAGTCGCTCCAGAATATGGTCCCCAGATATTGGTCGATCGAGAAGGGGTGTTCGACGTGTGTTGAGGACAAAATCTGAGGAATAATTCGTAAGTTCCAGCAAATCAATAGAAAATTAGCCCCGCGTATTACGACTTATAATAAAACATTTTAGATTTATATATAGATAATTTATATATAAGTTTATATATATAGATAATTGAACAGTACTTATATTGCTCTCCTCGAGATAAAATATTTTATCTGACAATGATAATTCAATGAGAATTTACCTGCATTTCTGTCCCATCAACATTCATCATTCCGATAAGATCTCTGCTGGCATCAACCCATATCAACTGACCAGTCTCCAAGTTAATACTGAGACTGTTTGGCCAGGCAAGTCCTTGTTGTGCTAACACCTCCATATCTGTGTGAGAGTTGAGGTTAAGTTGGAAACTTAGTCGAAGTGAAGAAGGAATAAAAACAATACCATAATCTAGTACAGACAGATCCGTGTGCAATAATACCAGTAATTGTTTACTTACAATTACAGTAATTGTTTACTTACAATTACAGTAATTTTTTACTTACAATTACAGTAATTTTTTACTTACAATTACAGTAATTGTTTACTTACAATTACAGTAATTGTTTACTTACAATTACAGTAATTGTTTACTTACAATTACAGTAATTGTTTACTTACAATTACAGTAATTGTTTACTTACAATTACAGTAATTGTTTACTTACAATTACAGTAATTGTTTACTTACAATTACAGTAATTGTTTACTTACTAGTTCCATCAAGCTCCATCTTCGCGATAAACGGGAAAGTTCCCCAGTCAGCCCAGTAGAGATAGCTATTTATGGGATCCACGCAAATACCTGATCATTAATTAATTAATTAATTAATAAATAATTTAATTAATTACTTATTTAATTAATTACTTAATTAAATATTTTGTACAAATTACAATTGAAGAGATGATGTACTATTTTTTGTGGTCGATTCAATTGTATTTGCTTATAAAAGGCAAGGAAATATTATGATTATACAGACTTCACCTCATTGTCTTTAAATTTTATTATTTTCTTTAATACTGTAATACAGAAACGGAAAAAATGTCAACAAGGTCTAATATAAACTAATTGTTACCGTGATTAACACTTACCCCTCGGTTTGCTGAGACGATCAATGTAGAAAGATCGGCGATATTCTCCGTCTAAGGTGGCCACTTCAAACCTGCTGGTGTACGAGTCTGACCAATACAGATTTCTGTTTATCCAGTCAACTGCCATTCCGTCAGGTGTCTAGTAAAAAAAGGATTTTATTTTTAAAAGTCAGTTATTTACTAGGTTAGTACGCGGTGGGGAAGGAGGTACTTGATTGATGATTGATTTATTTTGTAAGCCAAATTAAAGTAAACATACACACAAGGAAATATTCTACAATACTGACCACAAGTCCGTTCTCAACGACAACCTCTCTGTTCTCCCCCGTCATGTCCGATCTGTATATCTTGTTGTCCTTGACATCCGTCCAATAATACTTCTGATCCTGTGTTTGAGAGAATGTTAAGATTTGAAAAAGAGGTAATATTTAAAAAGAGGTAATATTTAAAAAGAGGTAATATTTCATGTGTTATTGATACTCCAGAAACACAGTCCATAGAACATAATATCCTTTATAATTAACATAAACAAATTTCGACAAATAACAAAGGATATTATAACCTAAAGAAAAGGAAAAGAGAAATATTGACCTGCAGGTCGTAATCCACGATAACAGCCTGAGTAAGACCACTGAGTACTTCTCGAGCTTGTCTGGTTTTTATGTTAACAGCCATTACCTTGTTCGTTCCTGTTCAATTCACAATGTTAGGTTAATTAATACAGGTGAGCTAACTTCATGCTAACTTCATAGAGAGCGAATCAACAGTTAATCGCATTTAAATTGCAAAGTCTCTACGGGTATATGCCTCACAGAATGGCCAAAAAAAAGGAAGGTCTCTCAAAATCACAAAACACACTTTATTTCAGTTTTTATCTCATAAGAAGCTAAGTTGACACTCATATTTTTCTTCCCGGGGGTTGATTTAATCTCATAACCATTTTTTCTTTGAGAAAAATTGGCCGGAAAATCTTCCTCCAAAAAAACATGCCTCACAGAATGGCCAAATCTCCACACGTTGTTAGAAAACCTATTAAGGAATGGGGTAATAACCTAAAACTCACGAAAAAACTGAGCTGTGAAAAATTATTTCACAAAAAAGAAAAAACGCCTCACAAAATGGCCAAAAAAAAATGAAAACGAGAAAATTTTATTTTTCTAAAACCTTTGGCTCTTGTTTCAGGCATGCTGCTGGTATTAGTATGCCTTGTTAACACCCCCATATAGGTGAAATTTCTTAGAACTGAATAAAAAGGGCATAATTTCCTACACCAAAAATGGCCATTTTGTTCATATTCCCTGATTTCATGATTTATAACCTTCATTCGGCTGTAAAAACACTCCATCTGGGGTGTTACTGTATGATAAATAGCTTGTGAATACTTTAGACTTATTGTTTCATTGAATAAAAGGAGTTTTAAATTTTGGCCATTTTGTGAGGCATATTTTGGCCATTTTGTGAGGCGTTTAGCCATTTTAGCATTTTTTTCCTTCCTATATTGAACATTGTTCGTTTTGTTTGATGAATACTATTCTTTAAACATCTTCTGTCATACTGGTGCCAGAAATTCTCACCAAAATGCAAACTTAGTTCAAAAATTTGAAAACAAATTTTGTGAGGCATATTTTGGCCATTTTGTGAGGCGTGTAGCTATTTTAGCATTTTTTTCTTCCTATAATGAACAATGTTCGTTTTCTTTGATGAATAATATTCTTTAAACATCTTCTGTCATACTGGTGCCAGATGTTCTCACCAAAATGTAAACTTAGTTCAAAAATTTGAAAACAAATTTTTCAGTGCTCAAAATTTCTACATAAACAGTCATATTTATGCCAGAAAATGTGGTCCTAGTTAATGATTTCACCACAGGAAGTGTTGCCAGAAGACTTTTGTTTCATATGGTATCCACAAAACCTACCAGTCTTATATAAAAAATTAGTTACAAAAACATTTACAAATTTGGCCATTCTGCGAGGCTAGCCATTCTGTGAGGCATTTACCCGTAAGTAATTTATTACATACATCATAATCAGTTTAAAAAATATAAACCCGATGGGTACTCCTAAAAAACATAACTTTTAGTTAGTTATGTTGTTATGTTGTTATGTTGTTATGTTGTTATGTTGTTATGTTGTTATGTTGTTATGTTGTTATGTTGTTATGTTGTTATGTTGTTATGTTGTTATTTTGTTATGTTGTTATGTTGTTTGTTATGCTGTTTTTTATGTTGTTTGTTATGTTATGTGTTATGTTGTTTGTTATGTTGTTTGTTATGTTGTTTGTTATGTTGTTTGTTATGCTGTTTTTTATGTTGTTAGTTCTTTTGTTATGTTGTTTTTATATTTGTTATGCTTGTTATGTTTGTTAGGTACCGGAAACAAGAAGAAGAGGGTCAGCTCCACAACTCTTCTGATCAGTACTGAGAGGAACTGTCCCCCCACAGCCACAAGCCGGGCTCTCGTCTGGTTTCCCGAAACAGAACTCTTCGCACCCATTGTTATCTCCCCCGCAACCGTTACCAGCTGTTGGGGGTTCAGAGTTACTATGGTAACCGTTGTAAGGATCAGTGTTGCACGTATCCATTCCTTCATTTCTTAAGAATTATGGGAAACAAACAAATACTATAGATAAACTGCCAACAGAACAGCGACTAGTACCTGCGAATTTTAGAGGGGTGTATAGTTTGATGTCAATGCTTTGACCCTGGACAACATTGCCGATGTTGATATTCACTACTCCTCCAGCGGGTTTAAACGTCCAAAGTCGCCTGCAAATGTGGAATACGGAGAAATACTTGCATTAAATACAACCTTTTTTTTATTAAAATTTCTGATTGTTTCTGAATAGACTCAGTGAAGACAGATTCTAATGGAAATAAATAAAATCCATTAGAATCTGTCTTCACTGAGTCTATTCAGAAACAATCAGAAATTTGAATAAAAAAACTATCAAATCATGAGACTCAAAAACACTACACGAATCCATCAGATTAAATACAACTGTTAAGACGTGTCAAATATAAGTGAACGGATTTCAGGCCAGAGTATCATGAATATGTGATGCTCAATTCTTTGATTATCTAATTTTTCTATAAATTGAGAATGATATCAAATCACAATACCCGTCAGTTTCAAGCCAGATAACGTGGTCACCGTACGCAGTTATTTTAGTAGGGTTGAAGACAGTAGTCATGAAGGAGACAGGGTCAGTCCTGTTCAGATCACCCGACATGATTTGGGTTGAGTCAGCTAGCGTCCAATATAACCTTGCGAAGGAGATCAGGATTGTTTAAAAATTGGAAATGTTGATCCATATTGACTATTTTAGATGGAAAACATATCTTTTAAATTTGCGAAGAACATATAAAATGATGTAGATTATAAGATAAGGACTGACTTGTTTGTGTCTGTGTCGAGAGCCAGGCCTTGTGGTTCAGCAGATAGAGTGTACAATGACACCCTGTTATCCCCGTCCAGATCAGCCATCTCTATCTCATACTCCTCCCCGTTATATGTAGTGTACACCAACAATCTAGCAGTATTATATTTAATAATTATTAATTTATATAATAATTAATTATTATATTTATTTATTTCATAATAATATCAACCATCTCTATCTCATACTCCTCCCCATTATATGTAGTGTACCCCAACAATCTAGCAGTATTATATTTAATAATTATTAATTTATATAATAATTATTATATTTAATAATAATATCAACCACCTCTATCTCATACTCCTCCCCGTTATATGTAGTGTACACCAACAATCTAGCAGTATTATATTTAATAATTATTAATTTATATAATAATTATTATATTTAACAATAATATCAGCCACCTCTATCTCATACTCCTCCCCGTTATATGTAGTGTACACCAACAATCTAGTAGTATTATATTTAATAATTATTAATTTATATAATAATTATTATATTTAATAATAATATCAGCCATCTCTATCTCATACTCCTCCCCATTATATGTAGTGTACACCAACAATCTAGCAGTATTATATTTAATAATTATTAATTTATATAATAATTATTATATTTAACAATAATATCAGCCATCTCTATCTCATACTCCTCCCCGTTATATGTAGTGTACACCAACAATCTAGCAGTATTATATTTAATAATTATTAAATATAATAAGTAATTATTATATTTAATAATAATATCAGCCATCTCTATCTCATACTCCTCCCCGTTATATGTAGTGTACACCAACAATCTAGTAGTATTATATTTAATAATTATTAATTTATATAATAATTATTATATTTAATAATAATATCAGCCATCTCTATCTCATACTTCTCATTATATGTAGTGTACACCAACAATCTAGCAGTACAAGGGTATTATAATTAATAATTACTTACTTGAAACTGGTTTAATGTTTTACTTTTATTAGAACAATATAGCTCGCATTGTTAATAAGTTAGTTGAAATACAAATAACCGCACTGAATCAAATATTTAATTTCAAGTGAATGGCCTAATGTATTACCCAGCACTAGGATGAACTTGTAGAAAACTGGCTCTGTTCAGTCCAAATGTTATGAGAATCTTGGACACTGCTTTTTTACTGCTAGCAACACCTGAACACATTGATATACATAGTTAAAGTGTAAATTTATAACTGGTGTAATATCTAAGCAATATTCCTGCAGCGAGGCACAGGCCACAAACATAAAATTTAAACTTTTTATACGTAAACTTTACGTAAACTTTACCAATTCTTGATCTTGCAGAGCCCTCGATGAAGTAAACATTGTCAGCAGCCCAGTCGTACGCTATACTCGTCACGTCAGTCACATTAGGATCTGAAATCACAACAAATGTTAGGTGTTTTAGTGGCTAATACTTCACTATTTCACTATTTCACTATTTCACTATTTCACTATTTCACTGTAATAAAGATCACTATTTCACTATAATAAGTTCGATAATATGATGCGGTTACCACCAACCTTTGTGGATTATATCGTTTCTGGAGGAATTGCCTCTGACAATAGCTTCCTTAACTGTGCTGTACCAGAATGTGTCCCTTCGATCATAGTCAAGGTCAAAATGTGACAACCCCTGAAATGAAAGTGTGTGCAAATTGGGATACCAAGCAAAGTTAGATGTCAAAATTAACACTACTACAATTATTATAACCATTACACAGGGTGTCCAGGTGATTTTGATAATGAAATCTATGAAATCTATGAAACTCAGAAAAGATCTATGAAATCTATGAATATTTCCATTCGAGCGAAGCAAGGTTTAATATTCTGCTCGAGGTCCCCGCTGGCGAAAATTCTGTTGTTTTTACCCTTTTTGTCCTATTTTTTAAAGCAATTTTTGGTTTTTTTTGTTGAAAAATCTGAAAATCTGATGTTTCTATTATATCAAAAATCCGTCCCAAAATCTATGAAATCTATGAAATCTATGAAATCTATGAAATCTATGAAATCTATGAAATCTATGAAATCTATGAAATCTATGAAATCTATGAAATCTATGAAATCTACGAAATCTACAAAATCTATGAAATCTATGAAATCTATGAAAACCGATGTACCCGGACACCTTGGGCTTGACTATTTTACACTACAATTTTTCATTTTTTTATGTATCGACCGGGACCGTTTGTTTTGGCCGGGACAGGGACTGGTAAAAGGGCGCCGGAACCGGAATGTTTGGGTTTCTAAAATTAAGTTGTTAAAGAATTTACAATCTTATTCAAAATTTTACTTCGGTTTATCCTGATTTAAGTTTCAGCAGGAAACTAATGAAACGTACCAGAAGTATAGGAACAGGCTGGCCACTCTCCGAGGTACTGTCAGTCTTGTAGTTGTAGAGATTACCATCCACACGTACCAGTAGGAAATCTTCTGACTCTGGGACAATTCTTTCGTTACTCCGAGAAGTAATCGTAATCTATTAGTTAACCATTTACCATAAAGTCTTTTTTTGTGAATTCATAAATGATAGTTGCTATAAAAACAGTGGTAACCAGTGGTAACTAGTGGTAACTAGTGATAACTAACCGATACAGTCCTTGCCGTTGGCAGCGAGGAAGTAACCCGAGTGACAGGAGCAAGAAACTCCCTGTTGAGCATCAGTAACAGTAACATTGCACACGTGACTACAGCCTCCGTTATCTACCATACATAACCCGTCTGTAATGATAAGGTAAGATAAGGTATATAAGGTAAGCTGGTATCTACTATACACAAGGAAATATTAGCTGGTATCTACCATACACAAGGAAAATATGAGCTGCGGTCTACCATTTCAAGATAAGATAAAATTTGAGATATTAGAAACGATTACTGTTTATCTTGTCTGATAGCAGCACGGATAACAAGTTGTCATGGTAACACTCACTGCATCCGTTAGTAAGGGGATCTTGAGGGTAACCATCAGGACAGAGACAGGACACAGTGGCCGCCTCACCAGGGATACAGAAGTAGGGACACTTCTGGCACGCCGCCAACTCTTCTGATTGTAGAATGAGAGGTGAGAACATTTGTAGAATTGGTTAGTAAATGTTCAATATTACACTCAATGAAGCATTATGTACGTTTAGGATGTAGTACTGCACCCTACTGAAGTACTAGGGTTTAAGGGGGAACCTCCCCCCCCCCCCCCATCCCTTAAACAAGCAATCGAGTTGTGACATTAACCTGAATGCGTGAGTTACGACTATCATATAGCGATAGCAGAAAATCGTTAAGAAATGGGAGCGAATTATTGAAATCTTCTCTTTACTTGTTCATTCCATAAATTTTCTGTCGTATTAGATACAAGAAAGACGCCACAAAATGAAGAATTCGTTATAATTTTGTATGAATGAAAAGCATTAATACCTTGATTTGAAGCAGCAACAGCAAGCTTAAGGGGGGAACCCCCTCCCCCCCCCCCCTTAAACAAGCAATCGAGTTGTGACATTAACGAGGGGAAGGTTAGTATATTACAAACCACCACTAATAAGAAGACTTTAAAGTACTATAACACCCATTCTGATAACATACCTTGATTTGAAGCAGCAACAGCAAGCTGCACAGTGAGAGGGGACCCGTTAGCACTTTTAAACAGGGCCTTTACAAGGTCACCTGTCTTTCTTATCCGATACACACCCTCACTTGTCCCTAACACTACAAACCTGTAATTTAGCACTCTCTAGTGGGTGAAACTACTATTTTAAATTATTTAACTCACTATCTAGTGACTACTTACGAAAGCAAGGGAGAGCTACAGGACAGTACTTTACTCGGGAATATTATGACTGGGATAAAGTGGTGGATTTTGGAAAATTCCGCCATATTTTTCCCGGTCATTAATCTTCCCAGTAATAAATTAACCCGCTATAATATTCCCGAGTAAGGTAAGCTATTTCACAAATAATCGAGCACACTAACTTTTGGGGGATGGTGATGGAGGAAATGGTAGAGTTGGTTATTGTTGAAGTGCTGATGTGGTCGATCTCTCTTCCTGACAAGTTAGAACTGTAAAATTAGCAATTTCTCTCAAATTGACAAGGGTTCTACCGGCCGATATTTTGAAATCATTTTCAATTCCAACATTTGGCTGAGTTCCAACTAAAACAATTTGAAGTCTGAACCTCTGAGTTTATTTGAGTAGTTCGGTAGATCTGTTAAGCTACTGAGTATGACAAGAGCTAAATCATATCTTACCTTCGAAGTCGAGCACTTTGATAACACCGAAACTCTGCACAACGTACAGTTTGTTATCTACTTTATCGACTGCCATACAGTTTATGGAGCCTCCATTGCGTTGTGTGAATATCTGAGGTAACTAGTGGTAACTAGCATAGTAACCTAGTAACTAGCATAGAAACCTGGTAACTAGCATGGTAACCTAGTAACTAGCATAGTAACCTAGTAACTAGCATAGCAACCTAGTAACTAGCATAGTAACCTAGTAACTAGCTTAGTAACCTAGTCACTAGCATAGAAACCTAGTAACATTGCGTTGTGTGAATATCTGAGGTAACTAGTGGTAACTAGCATAGTAACCTAGTAACTAGCTTAGTAACCTAGTAACTAGCATAGTAACCTAGTAACTGATGTCCTAGTAACTAGAGGAACCGAGTAACTTAGCTATAACCTAGTAACAGATGTTAGTTTAAACCTTTCAATTGAATTTTTGGGGAAAATAGTAAAATTTAAGTAACAGCATAAATAATCCCCTTTTAAATAGCTAGTTACCAGTAACTTTATGCAAGGTAAATTATTAACAAGCATGTAAACTCAGGTAACCTAGCATGTCCGAGTATAAATAAAGAACTGTATCTAGAATGTTTTAACTAAGTAATACATACTAACCTAGTAACTGCATGGTTTTACAGTAACTTAATGTAATAGAAACTTGCATAGGGAACCAGTAACCTTCACACTCAGACCTAGTACTAGTCATTTTCATGTTACGATTATTGGGGGGGCAAAAATCAGTAACCAAAATAATAATTTAACAAGTGCCAAACAGCTCCAAATTACATAGATGTCATATTGAAGATAAGGACGTTACGAAATAGTGTCAAATTCACCCACGTCGCCTAAGAATTTGTTATTTTAGACAACTTTTACAAAACAGTGAGTCGAGAAGGGAGCCGCTAAAGTGCCGGAATACAACCTGGCTGTTTTAGTTATGTTTAATACTAAAAAGGTATATCCAACATCATTGTAATGAGTTTAAGCAAACTTAGATAATTGCTTGAAAAACACGTTCAGGTAACTTCTACCACGGTTAAACTCGCTTTCCCTACACTCAGACCTGGAGTTTAGGCATTACCCTGAAGTGATAACGACTACTGGAGGTTCCCTCCGAGTACAGACAACCAACGGATAAAGTAAACTAGTGCATAATCAAGCCCGGAACTAAAACTTACGATGTCGATAATTGCAATGTGGCACGGCTATATGTAGGTCATAATAATGTAGTGTTCTATATGTCCGTTTAGATAATTTAATATCACTGTTCGAAAATTCACTGTTCCACAGAATGAAAAAACGTTCTAGAAATTCATAGAAAATTATTGTTGGGTCTAACGTTACTGCTGATTTCCAACGAATATTATGCAATTGATGTCTCAAAAATTGGAGTATATGGATTTTACTCTTTGCATGATAACAATACTCTTAATACATTCTTGAGATCCACTTCAAATAAATTTGATTACAACTGTAAATAATCTGAGAATCCAATTTGATTCACATCTCGCAAATACCAACTCTGCAGAAATCTAATCTATGGAAAACAACCTCATAATAGCATATTCTGAATAATTAGCAGAATACTCTTGCAGAACCCAAGATCTGATTTTGTCCCATTTCTAGAATAATCTGGCAAATTTTAGTCTTCCAGACCAACAATGCTTGGTAATATCTGCCGCAATATGGCAATCACATAGTATACCTATAAACTTAGTAGGATCCTAACACATATAACTAGATAAATCCATCAGCTTTGTGTGGAAATCTGTGAGTTATTCACTATAATGCGTTATTTAGCAATTGCGCTTAACTGACTGTTTTTGGGCTAGCCATAAGGCATACAATTTACTTATAACCGGCCATTATATTGATACAATCTATAAGATAGAAAGGTTATTAAAGTATAGAATACTACCCTATGGCTTATAGAAAAGGTAAAGCTTCAAATACTGATTGTTATGGCTTCGAGTAAGAATTATGAATTTTTAGTAGTTTGTAGCTAAAATAATCAACCATATGTAAAATTCCAATTTTCTCGAGTTATTGTGTAGTTACCGTAGGTCTTTTAAATTGTTTGAGTCTTATTTTTTGGTCAAGCAGTCTACAGAACACCTTTCAGACATATTTGGATGGTACTAACATGTCTAATATAGCCTGCCCCCCTATTCTGGCCCACTGTGTAATTGCACTGATACACCCAGGGTGGGATAGAAAGTAGTGTCAGAATATACTACCCACCGTGTCAGCAGCTAAGCCATATTCCATGTTCTTTTTCTTCACGACCAGTTGATCTGGGGTGTGTTCTACAAAGAACATGAGTCCGAGAGAGGGAGCCAACCGCAAATGTGACAGAGTCGAGCCTGGTCATGTTACTAGTTATGGTGTGTAAATACTAAATAGTCGTGTTATCCAACTTGTTGTGTCATGAACGGTAAGAAAACTTAGATAAGTTGTGATGAAAAAGCGGATAAACATTTCCTTACCAGGACTGGTGTAGATGGTAGCGTGGTATCCAGGCATGTAAACTTGGATTGTGTTGTAGGAATCACCACCTGAAGGTGACGTCACCACCCAGACCTGACCTGAGGTGTCCACCTCCACCGAGCTGACAGACACGTTCTCTGGGTAAAGTCACGTGTTAGATAATAATGTCACGTGTTAGATTATAATGTCACGTGTTCGATAATAATGTCACGTGTTAGATAATAATGTCACGTGTTCGATAATAATGTCACGTGTTCGATAATAATGTCACGTGTTCGATAATAATGTCACGTGTTAGATAATAATGTCACGTGTTAGATAATAATGTCACGTGTTAGATAATATAACGTGTTAGATAATTTCAAATAGAAAATATTTTCTGGGTCTACTGTTACTTTGTCTATGATTTCCAACACGTTTTATTATGACAAATCATTGGGCAGCAAACTAAGGAGTACTGAGTAGGGATCTTTAGACTCCCTTTCTGATACCAATCTCTGCAGAATACCAATCTCTGCAGAATACCAATCTCTGCAGAATACCAATCTCTGCAGAATACCAATCTCTGCAGAATACCAATCTCTGCAGAATTCCAATCTCTGCAGAATACCAATCTCTGCAGATTACCAATCTCTGCAGAATACCAATCTCTGCAGAATACCAATCTCTGCAGAATACCAATCTCTGCAGAATACCAATCTCTGCAGAATACCAATCTCTGCAGAATATCAATCTCTACAGAATATCAATCTCTGCAGATTACCAATCTCTGCAGAATACCAATCTCTGCAGAATACCAATCTCTGCAGAATACCAATCTCTGCAGAATACCAATCTCTGCAGAATACCAATCTCTGCAGAATACCAATCTCTGCAGAATTCCAATCTCTGCAGAATACCAATCTCTGCAGAATACCAATCTCTGCAGAATACCAATCTCTGCAGAATACCAATCTCTGCAGAATACCAATCTCTGCAGAATACCAATCTCTGCAGAATACCAATCTCTGCAGAATACCAATCTCTGCAGAATACCAATCTCTGCAGATTACCAATCTCTGCAGAATATCAATCTCTGCAGAATACCAATCTCTGCAGAATACCAATCTCTGCAGAATACCAATCTCTGCAGAATACCAATCTCTGCAGAATACCAATCTCTGCAGAATATCAATCTCTGCAGATTACCAATCTCTGCAGAATACCAATCTCTGCAGAATACCAATCTCTGCAGAATACCAATCTCTGCAGAATACCAATCTCTGCAGAATACCAATCTCTGCAGAATTCCAATCTCTGCAGAATACCAATCTCTGCAGAATTCCAATCTCTGCAGAATACCAATCTCTGCAGAATACCAATCTCTGCAGAATACCAATCTCTGCAGAATTCCAATCTCTGCAGAATACCAATCTCTGCAGAATATCAATCACAAATAAGTAATAATAATAATATCTTGTATCTAACCAGCAATAACTGTGGCAGCATCCTCATCAGATAGTGTCGTGTCGCTGTAAAGTGCACGTGTGACGTTATTCCACCAGTACACGTTATTTGCACGTGCAGCTATGAGGCTGAACCCTCCGGCTCTCCCTGGCAGCACGTTAAGGCCCTGGAAAGAGAGGTTAGCAAAAATGAGATAAGACATTATATTGATAAGCAGTTGAGATAAGAGAATGAGATAAGAGATTATATTGATAAGCAGTTGAGATAAGAGAATGAGATAAGAGATTATATTGATAAGCAGTTGAGATAAGAGAATGAGATAAGAGATTATATTGAAAAGCAGTTGTCAGAATACCTCCCTCTTGGTATAGAAGAAGGTGCAAGCTCAATATGGTGTTAAGTCCTATCGAAGTATACAAGTATGATATTTTATAGTGTAGACAGAAAGTAGAATCACTACCTCGATGGTAGCAGATATCTTGTCCTCTGAGTAGTATCTAGCTAGTCTACCGTACAGTGATATTACTACCTCGTAGTCCTCATCTGAAATATTATGTAGATTAGAACTGGGGGGGGGGGGGGGGATACTAGGTAGGGTTTATAGGAACTGTTATCATAATATCATACCTATGGAGTTAGTGTTAAGTTAGCATTAAGGGATGATGGGAAGGGGTGGGGCACAGTGGGGCACCACACTAAGAAGGGGGGACATAGTGGGGCACTACACTAAGAAGGGGGGACATAGTGGGGCACCACACTAAGAAGGGGGGATATAGTGGGGCACCACACTAAGAAGGGGGGACATAGTGATGTACCACACTAAGAAGGGGGGACATAGTGGGGCACCACACTAAGAAGGGGGGACATAGTGGGGCACCACACTAAGAAGGGGGGACATAGTGGGGCACCACACTAAGAAGGGGGGGGGGGCGGGGGCACAATGGGGCACCACACTAAGAAGGGGGGACATAGTGGGGCACCACACTAAGAAGGGGGGCATAGTGGGGCACCACACTAAGAAGTGGGGCACCACACTAAGAAGGGGGGACATAGTGGGGCACCACACTAAGAAGGGGGGACATAGTGGGGCACCACACTAAGAAGGGGGGGGGGGGCGGGGGCACAATGGGGCACCACACTAAGAAGGGGGGACATAGTGGGGCACCACACTAAGAAGGGGGGCATAGTGGGGCACCACACTAAGAAGTGGGGCACCACACTAAGAAGTGGGGTACCACACTAAGAAGGGGGGCGGGGGCACAATGGGGCACCACACTAAGAAGGGGGGATATATAAATACTCACGGAAACAAAGACCAGTAGTCTCATTGAAAGATAACATCTCATCACACAGACAGTGAGGAGTGTTGGAGACTGAGTCTGCGATACAGAGTCCGTTGTCACAGTAACCGGCTCTATCACATGCTGTGTTACCGTTATCACACTCCCAAACTACTTCCAGCACCTACAACATCTTGTTTAGATCTTTACATTTTAAACATTTTAAACATTTTGGTCCGGGGATATACTTTAATATATACTTTAATATATTTTAATATACTTTAATATACTTTAATATACCTATATTATCTCGAATCTCGATTCAAACTTTGGCCGTTTCATTTCTTTAAAGGCCTATAATGTATAGATTAGATTTGCCTTTCATGCAAAGTTAGTCTTGTTCAAAGATATTGATACTTGACCAATTTATGGGCCAAAATATATCAAATTTGGTGCATATTCCCAAATATGGGCATATGGTTTTTGATTCATAATTTAGCCATTTTTGTCCAGTCTCGATGAAAATTCAAATACAAGTTCAGGGGACCACTAGCTACAAGTAGAGCACCTTAAAGCGGGTTTTGGGCAGGGGTGTAGGAATGATTTTCTTCATGGGGGGGGGGGGGGGGGGGGGGGGGGGGGGGTGCAAATTCTAAATATTTTTTGGTGCTTCGCCACAGACTTAATTTTTTGGCGCTTCGTGAGAAAAATATTTTCGGCTCAGAATGATCAGGGTAGCATGAAACATGAGCAAAAGTAGTTTTCAAGAAAACTTTTTCAAGAAAATTTTTGACTTTGAAAATTTTTGAATTAAAAAATTTTCAGTAAAAAAAACCCGAACATTTTTTTTCCCAAAAATTTTTAGAAACCTAAATTAAAAAGTTGGCCCTTTTTGGCCCCTTGCCCAGATTTCATGGGGGGGGGGGGGTGGCGATGGCCCCCCTGCTCCCCCGCTTCCTACACCCCTGGTTTTGAGCATTTTTAGGTGGTTCTGCATAATTGGGCCAAAAAGGGACGAGATATGGGCGCGGCTGCCCTGTACGATTGATGGATATTATATCTAGCTAGCTACAGACCACTCATTTTTTTAGATTTTCTTTAAGAGAGGCTGGGCCTGGATGGCCCACGAGAGGATAGAAAGATGAACTAAGACAACATACGAATAGTCTCTAATTCTCACATCGGTCTTTCTGGTCGAGCTCCTTGGGCACAATTAGGCGTTAGGTGCGGTTTGGGAAATTGACAGTAGTGGTGATATGCTGGTTGTCAAATATTTCATTGACTGAGAGGTCCTGGAAATATTGCCCCCTTATTTGGGCGATAGCCGGGCACTGACCGAGAAAGTGTGAGACACCGCACATAGGACAAGCACTGATGCTTGATTTGCCAATGAAGTGAAGGTGTTTTTGAAGGCCACAATGTCCCGTGATAAGGTGCACTGCAGTTCTGTAATTTTGTCTGTTGTTGCTAAGTGTAGTGTTAAGGTTTTTGATGATGTTGACGTGTTTGCAGCCGAGTGTCGTTTTGGTGTGTCTGGTACCATCAGTTAACCACAGTTTCCTGATGCAGTCTGGTGACTTTGTCGTTGATCAGGCGTTTGATGAAGATTGTGAAATTGAAAACTTGAAAATGGACCCACATTCACTGGTTGTGCCAAGCTTCGCCAGTTCATCTGCTTTTTGTTTCCCCACAACCCGCTTAGTCATCGGCCACCGCCTAATAGCTAGTAAATAGCCATCAGCCGGCCAGTGACCACTTTTGAAGTTCCAGCTAGTGACCGCCTAGTAGCTACTTTTAATTTTAGTGACTACTAGCATTTGTGTTGCTAGTAGCTGGCTAGTGACCGCCTAATAACCCCTTAGTAGCCACTCTTAATTTAACAAAGAAGCTAGGTATATTAAAGTATATTAAAATGTAGATTTTTCCCCGATTTTGACCCGGGGATATACTTTAATATGGTTGCCCCCCCCCCCCCCCCCCCCCCCCCGGGAATTTTCTACTTTTCCTTTGCTAGCAGGACTAGCTAATAGCACTAATAGCTAGAAGGACTTGTTATTAATGCTATGGAAAGAAAGTAACAAATATTAGCTACCTGTCCTGGGGCACCAGTGCACTCTCCCACACTTCCATTTAGTGTGATATTACAGGTAGACGCCCCAACACACATTGTACTGATCTGTCCTGTGATGTCTTCTGTGCACGTGCTCGTACCAGTTCCGCACGTGCTGCAAAAAGAGAGATCAGTTTCAAGCATGAAGTGATCAGTTACAAACATGAAGAGATCAGTTACAAACATGAAGAGATCAGTTACAAGCATGAAGTGATCAGTTACAAACATGAAGTGATCAGTTACAAACATGAAGAGATCAGTTACAAACATGAAGAGATCAGTTACAAGCATGAAGTGATCAGTTACAAACATGAAGTGATCAGTTACAAACATGAAGTGATCAGTTACAAACATGAAGTGATCAGTTACAAACATGAAGTGATCAGTCACAAACGAGATAATATCTGGTACCATCTGATAATATTACTCAAATATTACTCAAATAATTTGCGGAGGAACTTGAATAAGTCAACTTATAAATTTGCGAACCTAAAAACTAGTGAGGCTTCAGGTTACCTGATATGGGGTGAGGTAAGGATGGTAGCAGTGACTCTAGTTAGTGGATAAGAGGTAAGTTACCTGATATGGGGTGAGGTAAGGATGGTAGCAGTGACTCTAGTTAGTGGATAAGAGGTAAGTTACCTGATATGGGGTGAGGTAAGGATGGTAGCAGTGACTCTAGTTAGTGGATAAGAGGTAAGTTACCTGATATGGGGTGAGGTAAGGATGGTAGCAGTGACTCTAGTTATAGTTCCTCCAGACACAGGACAAGAAAGCATTTTAGTGTCACTCGCACACGACCTTTCTAGTATCCTGAGATGTGACGTTTTGTAGTAACTGGGTACAATTGTAATATGTATAAGATATTAATTACACATATTACTTTTTAATTATATATAAAAGATTTGTTTGAATTTGAGAAGAAAAAGTTTGTTTAACGGAATTATGATCTAATATAAATAAAAATTATAAAGCCTTGCAGATAACCGAGTGATATTTACCCTTTAGGACGCTGATCTTTGTGCACCACCTTAATACCAGTTAACATACTCTCAAACTGTACAGTGAGCGTTCCAACCTTCTCTCCTGTGTACTTGTTCAAAGTCACTACATCGGAGGAGTCTATCACGTACAGTAGATCTCCTGGTAATATAACTAGAGTTACGAGCTATCACGTACAGTAGATCTCCTGGTAATATAACTAGAGTTACGAGCTATCACGTACAGTAGATCTCCTGGTAATATAACTAGAGTTACGAGCTATCACGTACAGTAGATCTCCTGGTAATATAACTAGAGTTACGAGCTATCACGTACAGTAGATCTCCTGGTAATATAACTAGAGTTACGAGCTATCACGTACAGTAGATCTCCTGGTAATATAACTAGAGTTACGAGCTATCAGATACAGTAGATCTCCTGGTAATATAACTAGAGTTACAAGCTATCACGTAGAGTAGATCTCCTGGTAATATAACTAGAGTTACGAGCTATCAGATACAGTAGATCTCCTGGTAATACAACTAGAGTTACGAGCTATCACGTACAGTAGATCTCCTGGTAATATAACTAGAGTTACGAGCTATCAGATACAGTAGATCTCCTGGTAATATAACTAGAGTTACGAGCTATCACGTACAGTAGATCTCCTGGTAATATAACTAGAGTTACGAGCTATCACGTACAGTAGATCTCCTGGTAATATAACTAGAGTTACGAGCTATCAGATACAGTAGATCTCCTGGTAATATAACTAGAGTTACGAGCTATCACGTACAGTAGATCTCCTGGTAATACAACTAGAGTTACGAGCTATCAGATACAGTAGATCTCCTGGTAATATAACTAGAGTTACGAGCTATCAGATACAGTAGATCTCCTGGTAATATAACTAGAGTTACGAGCTATCACGATACAGTAGATCTCCTGGTAATATAACTAGAGTTACGAGCTATCACGTACAGTAGATCTCCTGGTAATATAACTAGAGTTACGAGCTATCAGATACAGTAGATCTCCTGGTAATATAACTAGAGTTACGAGCTATCAGATACAGTAGATCTCCTGGTAATATAACTAGAGTTACGAGCTATCACGTACAGTAGATCTCCTGGTAATATAACTAGAGTTACGAGCTATCACGTACAGTAGATCTCCTGGTAATATAACTAGAGTTACGAGCTATCAGATACAGTAGATCTCCTGGTAATATAACTAGAGTTACGAGCTATCAGATACAGTAGATCTCCTGGTAATATAACTAGAGTTACGAGCTATCACGTACAGTAGATCTCCTGGTAATATAACTAGAGTTACGAGCTATCAGATACAGTAGATCTCCTGGTAATATAACTAGAGTTACGAGCTATCAGATACAGTAGATCTCCTGGTAATATAACTAGAGTTACGAGCTATCACGGTACAGTAGATCTCCTGGTAATATAACTAGAGTTACGAGCTATCACGTACAGTAGATCTCCTGGTAATATAACTAGAGTTACGAGCTATCACGTACAGTAGATCTCCTGGTAATATAACTAGAGTTACGAGCTATCACGTACAGTAGATCTCCTGGTAATATAACAAGAGTTACGAGCTATCACGTACAGTAGATCTCCTGGTAATATAACTAGAGTTACGAGCTATCACGTACAGTAGATCTCCTGGTAATATAACTAGAGTTATGAGCTATCACGTACAGTAGATCTCCTGGTAATATAACTAGAGTTACGAGCTATCACGTACAGTAGATCTCCTGGTATATAACTAGAGTTACGAGCTATCACGTACAGTAGATCTCCTGGTAATATAACTAGAGTTACGAGCTATCACGTACAGTAGATCTCCTGGTAATATAACTAGAGTTACGAGCTATCACGTACAGTAGATCTCCTGGTAATATAACTAGAGTTACGAGCTATCACGTACAGTAGATCTCCTGGTAATATAACTAGAGTTACGAGCTATCACGTACAGTAGATCTGCTGGTAATACGACTAGAGTTACGAGCTATCACGTACAGTAGATCTGCTGGTAATATAACTAGAGTTACGAGCTATCACGTACAGTAGATCTCCTGGTAATATAACTAGAGTTACGAGCTATCACGTACAGTAGATCTCCTGGTAATATAACTAGAGTTACGAGCTATCACGTACAGTAGATCTCCTGGTAATATAACTAGAGTTACGAGCTATCACGTACAGTAGATCTCCTGGTAATACAACTAGAGTTACGAGCTATCACGTACAGTAGATCTCCTGGTAATATAATTAGAGTTACGAGCTATCACGTACAGTAGATCTCCTGGTAATATAACTAGAGTTACGAGCTATCACGTACAGTAGATCTCCTGGTATACAACTAGAGTTACGAGCTATCACGTACAGTAGATCTCCTGGTAATATAATTAGAGTTACGAGCTATCACGTACAGTAGATCTCCTGGTAATATAATTAGAGTTACGAGCTATCACGTACAGTAGATCTCCTGGTAATATAACTAGAGTTACGAGCTATCACGTACAGTAGATCTCCTGGTAATATAACTAGAGTTACTATCACGTACAGTAGATCTCCTGGTAATATAACTAGAGTTACGAGCTATCAGATACAGTAGATCTCCTGGTAATATAACTAGAGTTACGAGCTATCAGATACAGTAGATCTCCTGGTAATATAACTAGAGTTACGAGCTATCACGTACAGTAGATCTCCTGGTAATATAACTAGAGTTACTATCACGTACAGTAGATCTCCTGGTAATATAACTAGAGTTACGAGCTATCAGATACAGTAGATCTCCTGGTAATATAACTAGAGTTACGAGCTATCAGATACAGTAGATCTCCTGGTAATATAACTAGAGTTACGAGCTATCACGTACAGTAGATCTCCTGGTAATATAACTAGAGTTACGAGCTATCAGATACAGTAGATCTCCTGGTAATATAACTAGAGTTACGAGCTATCAGATACAGTAGATCTCCTGGTAATATAACTAGAGTTACGAGCTATCAGATACAGTAGATCTCCTGGTAATATAACTAGAGTTACGAGCTATCAGATACAGTAGATCTCCTGGTAATATAACTAGAGTTACGAGCTATCACGTACAGTAGATCTCCTGGTAATATAACTAGAGTTACTATCACGTACAGTAGATCTCCTGGTAATATAACTAGAGTTACGAGCTATCAGATACAGTAGATCTCCTGGTAATATAACTAGAGTTACGAGCTATCAGATACAGTAGATCTCCTGGTAATATAACTAGAGTTACGAGCTATCAGATACAGTAGATCTCCTGGTAATATAACTAGAGTTACGAGCTATCAGATACAGTAGATCTCCTGGTAATATAACTAGAGTTACGAGCTATCACGTACAGTAGATCTCCTGGTAATATAACTAGAGTTACGAGCTATCAGATACAGTAGATCTCCTGGTAATATAACTAGAGTTACGAGCTATCACGTACAGTAGATCTCCTGGTAATATAACTAGAGTTACTATCACGTACAGTAGATCTCCTGGTAATATAACTAGAGTTACGAGCTATCAGATACAGTAGATCTCCTGGTAATATAACTAGAGTTACGAGCTATCACGTACAGTAGATCTCCTGGTAATATAACTAGAGTTACTATCACGTACAGTAGATCTCCTGGTAATATAACTAGAGTTACGAGCTATCAGATACAGTAGATCTCCTGGTAATATAACTAGAGTTACGAGCTATCAGATACAGTAGATCTCCTGGTAATATAACTAGAGTTACGAGCTATCAGATACAGTAGATCTCCTGGTAATATAACTAGAGTTACGAGCTATCACGTACAGTAGATCTCCTGGTAATATAACTAGAGTTACGAGCTATCAGATACAGTAGATCTCCTGGTAATATAACTAGAGTTACGAGCTATCAGATACAGTAGATCTCCTGGTAATATAACTAGAGTTACGAGCTATCACGTACAGTAGATCTCCTGGTAATACAACTAGAGTTACGAGCTATCACGTACAGTAGATCTCCTGGTAATATAACTAGAGTTACGAGCTATCACGTACAGTAGATCTCCTGGTAATATAACTAGAGTTACGAGCTATCAGATACAGTAGATCTCCTGGTAATATAACTAGAGTTACGAGCTATCACGTACAGTAGATCTCCTGGTAATATAACTAGAGTTACGAGCTATCACGTACAGTAGATCTCCTGGTAATATAACTAGAGTTACGAGCTATCACGTACAGTAGATCTCCTGGTAATACAACTAGAGTTACGAGCTATCACGTACAGTAGATCTCCTGGTAATAAACTAGAGTTACGAGCTATCACGTACAGTAGATCTCCTGGTAATATAACTAGAGTTACGAGCTATCACGTACAGTAGATCTCCTGGTAATATAACTAGAGTTACGAGCTATCACGTACAGTAGATCTCCTGGTAATATAACTAGAGTTACGAGCTATCACGTACAGTAGATCTCCTGGTAATATAACTAGAGTTACGAGCTATCACGTACAGTAGATCTCCTGGTAATATAACTAGAGTTACGAGCTATCAGATACAGTAGATCTCCTGGTAATATAACTAGAGTTACGAGCTATCAGATACAGTAGATCTCCTGGTAATATAACTAGAGTTACGAGCTATCAGATACAGTAGATCTCCTGGTAATATAACTAGAGTTACGAGCTATCAGATACAGTAGATCTCCTGGTAATATAACTAGAGTTACGAGCTATCAGATACAGTAGATCTCCTGGTAATATAACTAGAGTTACTATCAGATACAGTAGATCTCCTGGTAATATAACTAGAGTTACGAGCTATCAGATACAGTAGATCTCCTGGTAATATAACTAGAGTTACGAGCTATCAGATACAGTAGATCTCCTGGTAATATAACTAGAGTTACGAGCTATCACGTACAGTAGATCTCCTGGTAATATAACTAGAGTTACGAGCTATCACGTACAGTAGATCTCCTGGTAATATAACTAGAGTTACGAGCTATCAGATACAGTAGATCTCCTGGTAATATAACTAGAGTTACGAGCTATCACGTACAGTAGATCTCCTGGTAATATAACTAGAGTTACGAGCTATCACGATACAGTAGATCTCCTGGTAATATAACTAGAGTTACGAGCTATCAGATACAGTAGATCTCCTGGTAATATAACTAGAGTTACGAGCTATCACGTACAGTAGATCTCCTGGTAATATAACTAGAGTTACGAGCTATCACGTACAGTAGATCTCCTGGTAATATAACTAGAGTTACGAGCTATCACGTACAGTAGATCTCCTGGTAATATAACTAGAGTTACGAGCTATCACGATACAGTAGATCTCCTGGTAATATAACTAGAGTTACGCTATCAGATACAGTAGATCTCCTGGTAATATAACTAGAGTTACGAGCTATCAGATACAGTAGATCTCCTGGTAATATAACTAGAGTTACGAGCTATCAGATACAGTAGATCTCCTGGTAATACAACTAGAGTTACGAGCTATCAGATACAGTAGATCTCCTGGTAATATAACTAGAGTTACGAGCTATCAGATACAGTAGATCTCCTGGTAATATAACTAGAGTTACGAGCTATCAGATACAGTAGATCTCCTGGTAATATAACTAGAGTTACGAGCTATCAGATACAGTAGATCTCCTGGTAATATAACTAGAGTTACGAGCTATCACGATACAGTAGATCTCCTGGTAATATAACTAGAGTTACGAGCTATCAGTACAGTAGATCTCCTGGTAATATAACTAGAGTTAGCTATCAGATACAGTAGATCTCCTGGTAATATAACTAGAGTTACGAGCTATCAGATACAGTAGATCTCCTGGTAATATAACTAGAGTTACGAGCTATCACATACAGTAGATCTCCTGGTAATATAACTAGAGTTACTATCAGGTACAGTAGATCTCCTGGTAATATAACTAGAGTTACTATCAGATACAGTAGATCTCCTGGTAATATAACTAGAGTTACGAGCTATCACGTATAGTAGATCTCCTGGTAATATAACTAGAGTTACGAGCTATCACGTACAGTAGATCTCCTGGTAATATAACTAGAGTTACGAGCTATCAGATACAGTAGATCTCCTGGTAATATAACTAGAGTTACGAGCTATCACGTACAGTAGATCTCCTGGTAATACAACTAGAGTTACTATCAGATACAGTAGATCTCCTGGTAATATAACTAGAGTTACTATCAGGTACAGTAGATCTCCTGGTAATATAACTAGAGTTACTATCAGGTACAGTAGATCTCCTGGTAATATAACTAGAGTTACTATCAGATACAGTAGATCTCCTGGTAATATAACTAGAGTTACGAGCTATCACGTACAGTAGATCTCCTGGTAATATAACTAGAGTTACGAGCTATCACGTACAGTAGATCTCCTGGTAATATAACTAGAGTTACGAGCTATCACGTACAGTAGATCTCCTGGTAATATAACTAGAGTTACGAGCTATCACGTACAGTAGATCTCCTGGTAATATAACTAGAGTTACGAGCTATCAGATACAGTAGATCTCCTGGTAATATAACTAGAGTTACGAGCTATCACGTACAGTAGATCTCCTGGTAATATAACTAGAGTTACGAGCTATCACGTACAGTAGATCTCCTGGTAATACAACTAGAGTTACGAGCTATCACGTACAGTAGATCTCCTGGTAATACAACTAGAGTTACGAGCTATCAGATACAGTAGATCTCCTGGTAATATAACTAGAGTTACTATCAGATACAGTAGATCTCCTGGTAATATAACTAGAGTTACGAGCTATCAGATACAGTAGATCTCCTGGTAATATAACTAGAGTTACGAGCTATCAGATACAGTAGATCTCCTGGTAATACAACTAGAGTTACGAGCTATCAGATACAGTAGATCTCCTGGTAATATAAGTAGAGTTACGAGCTATCAGATACAGTAGATCTCCTGGTAATACAACTAGAGTTACGAACTATCAGATACAGTAGATCTCCTGGTAATATAACTAGAGTTACGAGCTATCAGATACAGTAGATCTCCTGGTAATATAACTAGAGTTACGAGCTATCACATACAGTAGATCTCCTGGTAATATAACTAGAGTTACTATCAGGTACAGTAGATCTCCTGGTAATATAACTAGAGTTACTATCAGATACAGTAGATCTCCTGGTAATATAACTAGAGTTACGAGCTATCAGATACAGTAGATCTCCTGGTAATATAACTAGAGTTACGAGCTATCACATACAGTAGATCTCCTGGTAATATAACTAGAGTTACTATCAGGTACAGTAGATCTCCTGGTAATATAACTAGAGTTACTATCAGATACAGTAGATCTCCTGGTAATATAACTAGAGTTACGAGCTATCACGTATAGTAGATCTCCTGGTAATATAACTAGAGTTACGAGCTATCACGTACAGTAGATCTCCTGGTAATATAACTAGAGTTACGAGCTATCAGATACAGTAGATCTCCTGGTAATATAACTAGAGTTACGAGCTATCACGTACAGTAGATCTCCTGGTAATATAACTAGAGTTACTATCAGATACAGTAGATCTCCTGGTAATATAACTAGAGTTACTATCAGATACAGTAGATCTCCTGGTAATATAACTAGAGTTACGAGCTATCACGTATAGTAGATCTCCTGGTAATATAACTAGAGTTACGAGCTATCACGTACAGTAGATCTCCTGGTAATATAACTAGAGTTACGAGCTATCAGATACAGTAGATCTCCTGGTAATATAACTAGAGTTACGAGCTATCACGTACAGTAGATCTCCTGGTAATACAACTAGAGTTACTATCAGATACAGTAGATCTCCTGGTAATACAACTAGAGTTACGAGCTATCACGTACAGTAGATCTCCTGGTAATATAACTAGAGTTACGAGCTATCAGATACAGTAGATCTCCTGGTAATATAACTAGAGTTACGAGCTATCAGATACAGTAGATCTCCTGGTAATATAAGTAGAGTTACGAGCTATCACGTACAGTAGATCTCCTGGTAATATAACTAGAGTTACGAGCTATCAGATACAGTAGATCTCCTGGTAATATAACTAGAGTTACTATCAGATACAGTAGATCTCCTGGTAATATAACTAGAGTTACGAGCTATCACGTACAGTAGATCTCCTGGTAATATAACTAGAGTTACGAGCTATCAGATACAGTAGATCTCCTGGTAATATAACTAGAGTTACGAGCTATCAGATACAGTAGATCTCCTGGTAATATAACTAGAGTTACGAGCTATCACGTACAGTAGATCTCCTGGTAATATAAGTAGAGTTACGAGCTATCAGATACAGTAGATCTCCTGGTAATATAACTAGAGTTACGAGCTATCAGATACAGTAGATCTCCTGGTAATATAACTAGAGTTACGAGCTATCACGTACAGTAGATCTCCTGGTAATATAACTAGAGTTACGAGCTATCACGTACAGTAGATCTCCTGGTAATATAACTAGAGTTACGAGCTATCAGATACAGTAGATCTCCTGGTAATATAACTAGAGTTACGAGCTATCACGTACAGTAGATCTCCTGGTAATCTAACTAGAGTTACGAGCTATCACGTACAGTAGATCTCCTGGTAATATAACTAGAGTTACGAGCTATCACGTACAGTAGATCTCCTGGTAATATAACTAGAGTTACGAGCTATCACGTACAGTAGATCTCCTGGTAATATAACTAGAGTTACGAGCTATCACGTACAGTAGATCTCCTGGTAATACAACTAGAGTTACGAGCTTTCTTTTGGTAATATAACTAGAGTTACGAGCTTTCTTTTGGAAATATAACTAGAGTTACGAACATTCTTTTGGAAATATAACTAGAGTTACGAGCTTTCTTTTGGAAATATAACTAGAGTTACGAGCTTTCTTTTGGAAATATAACTAGAGTTACGAACATTCTTTTGGTAATATCGCTTCAGTCACGAACATTTTTTGAGATCATTATATGACTCGATAGGTTTACAGTTTTTAAACCGATGAAGCTTAAATATGAAAATCTTGAAGAGTTTCACTCACCGGAGACGTCTATCTTAGTAGCAGCCATGTTGGTTGGTAACATAAAGTTCATAATCTCGTTACCATGGTTACTACCACCACTGATATCCAGAGCAGATATGAAGTAGTCACCACTCTCTTGGTAACTGTAGTACAAGACGGACTCTCTCACGTCCACCGCCAAACTACAGCGAGGAGGTTAAATTATAGTTGGTTACTAGGTCTAAACATTTCCGCTACAAAAACTAAGTTAACCAATAACAACAGTTGTCATATCGAATAAAATAATCCCACTCAAAGACTCAAGACATGAAATAACATAAAAACTCCACTCCGAGTGGTTTACAAAGAAGTTACCTCCTGGGTTCGACCACAGTGCGAGTAGTTAACTTGAGAGGAGTAACTTACCTCCTGGGTTCGACCACAGTGCGAGTAGTTAACTTGAGAGGAGTAACTTACCTCCTGGGTTCGACCACAGTGCGAGTAGTTAACTTGAGAGGAGTAACTTACCTCCTGGGTTCGACCACAGTGCGAGTAGTTAACTTGAGAGGAGTAACTTACCTCCTGGGTTCGACCACAGTGCGAGTAGTTAACTTGAGAGGAGTAACTTACCTCCTGGGTTCGACCACAGTGCGTGTAGTTAACTTGAGAGGAGTAACTTACCTCCTGGGTTCGACCACAGTGCGAGTAGTTAACTTGAGAGGAGTAACTTACCTCCTGGTTTCGACCACAGTGCGAGTAGTTAACTTGAGAGGAGTAACTTACCTCCTGGGTTCGACCACAGTGCGAGTAGTTAACTTGAGAGGAGTAACTTACCTCCTGGGTTCGACCACAGTGCGAGTAGTTAACTTGAGAGGAGTAACTTACCTCCTGGGTTCGACCACAGTGCGTGTAGTTAACTTGAGAGGAGTAACTTACCTCCTGGGTTCGACCACAGTGCGTGTAGTTAACTTGAGAGGAGTAACTTACCTCCTGGGTTCGACCACAGTGCGAGTAGTTAACTTGAGAGGAGTAACTTACCTCCTGGGTTCGACCACAGTGCGAGTAGTTAACTTGAGAGGAGTAACTTACCTCCTGGGTTCGACCACAGTGCGAGTAGTTAACTTGAGAGGAGTAACTTACCTCCTGGGTTCGACCACAGTGCGAGTAGTTAACTTGAGAGGAGTAACTTACCTCCTGGGTTCGACCACAGTGCGAGTAGTTAACTTGAGAGGAGTAGCCCCGAATCGGAGGAGAAGAGAGTACACTCCTCCCTTGTCTCCTCCGGTGTAATCAAACACTGTCCAATACACCTCTCTGACACGGAGAGATTAGATAATTGAGAGATTAGATAATTGGGTGATTAGCTAACTATGTTATCTTCTAGTCTAATTTTCAAATTTTATTTAAAAAATGTTTCTATTTAAAAAGTTTAATCAAACTTTATCAAGACAAGCTTATGGAGTTCCAACAAGGTGATATAATATCATGATCTGGAATATATTATATAATATAGATATATCAAGTTTACCCTCTATAAGGGTTGACAGCAAGACTTTCTGCGTTGCTCAATATTGTCTCTATATATCCAGTTTGTTCCACGTCCACATACACACTAACTCTGTGTAGCCTGGGATGTTGCTAGGTTACTAATGCGGTTACTAGGTTACTAATGCAGTTACTAACGCGGTTACTAATGCGGTTACTAGGTTACTAATGCAGTTACTAACGCGGTTACTAATGCAGTTACTAGGTTACTAATGCAGTTACTAACGCGGTTACTAATGCGGTTACTAATGCGGTTACTAGGTTACTAATGCAATTAGTAACGCGGTTACTAATGCGGTTACTAATGCGGTTAGTAATGCGGTTAGTAATGCGGTTAGTAATGCGGTTAGTAATGCGGTTACTAGAGCGATAATTAGGTTACTAGTGCGGTTACTAGGTTACTAACAACTTCGCAATATCATTAAAAACGGAGGTTTAAATCTGATTTTAAAGCAAACTCCCAATTATTACACCCCAGTTCCATGGCCGGATATTATGCCAAATTATTAGACGGAGATCGTCTACTGATATTTCTCCGGATATTTCTCCGGTTTGCAGTTCCACGACCGGAGACCATCTACGGTAATTTTGTTGATTCTGTATGAATTAATCTCCGAGAAATTCCCGGAGAGCTTCATCTCCGTCAAATACAGTAGACGGAGCCGGAGAATCATCTCCGGAGATGATCTACGGGAAATGGACCTCCGTCTAATAATTTGGAATAATATCCGTCCATGGAACTGGGGGGTTAGTATATCTCAGATGTAAACGTAATAAAACTGACCCGTCAAGAGAGGACACGAATATCCCCAACATAGAGTCCAGCCAGACGATTATCTTGTTAACCCAGTCATATCCTACACTCGTTATAATTCCACCACCTGACAAACATACACTTTAAGTCATAATGTAGTGTGTAGTAGTGGTATAGTAGTATGTAGCAGTGGTATAGTAGTATGTATCAGTCGTATAGTAGTATGTAGCAGTCGTATAGTAGTATGTAGCAGTCGTATAGTAGTATGAATCAGTCGTATAGTAGTATGTATCAGTCGTATAGTAGTATGTATCAGTCGTATAGTAGTATGTAGCAGTCGTATAGTATTATTTAGCAGTCGTATAGTAGTATGTATCAGTCGTATAGTAGTATGTATCAGTCGTATAGTAGTATGTATCAGTCGTATAGTAGTATGTATCAGTCGTATAGTAGTATGTAGTAGTTTTATGACGCATGAACGAGGAAAGTGGTTTTACACAAGTAACGAAATTCCACCTCATTTAACTAAACTAGAGAGGGAGAATAACAGATTCTGAAGAATCAAGTAGTATGTAGAGTAGTAGTAGTAATGCTAGTTATAGAGTCTAGACAGGGGAGCCCTCTATATAGTAGACTTAGTACAACTAATCAAACTCTCAGGAGAGTAGTGATCAGTCATTTCATTTGAATAATTAATCCCTTGAGAATTAAACAATTCTCTGTAAATTATTTGGCGGTCAGAAGAAAGCTAAGTAGGGGTGCGTTGCTTTAAATCATGGTTAGAGTAAAGATGGGATTGCAGTGGATTCAAAGATTAAATAATGGTTTTCAAGAGTGCTCGAAGATGAAATCAGTATAAGATATTGAATAAAATGGATCATGAAAAGAATAATCCAAAGCATTTAATTTAAAACATTTAAAAAAACATTTAATTTATTAAACATCGATAATCATGGCATGGATATTCTAAATTCGGATACGATAGATTACATTTTCATTTGTAAATGTAATCTATCGTTTTTTTTTCGTCTGTTTTAAATTCACAGCAGAAAACAACAAAAATAAAATTCAGCGAAGCAAATCAGCTTAATCTCAGATTCACAACAAAACTCCTGTTGGAGAAGAAACAAAAAACTAATTGAAACAGAATTAAGTGAGTGACTCCCAGGAGGTCTGGCAGTTTGCCAGGAGGTCTGGCAGTTTGCCAACAGGTCTGGCAGTTTGCCAGCAGGTAAACTGCAAAACCTGCTCAGAGCCACTCCTCTACCTTTTGAGAACAGGTAAAATGAGAAAACAACAAAGTTTCTAGTTATTAATCAGATAACACATGGAACTTAGATTAAAAGATTAAACAGGTAGCTGCTTATAATCTAGATGGCAGAATATGATGCTATGTGTAGTATAGCTGAAGTGATCAGCGTATAGCTTGTTCTAGCTGGTTCATAGCTTGTTCATAGCTTGTTCATAGCTTTATAACCAAGCGAGTACTAGAGAAGCAGATAATCGACACGGAAAACAGACAACCTACCAATGGTGAGAAACACTTGAGGATCAGAGCCGTCAAACAGGGCTCTCTTTAGCTGATACCCTGAGTTGTTACTCGTCGTCAAGACGACGCATATCCCACGTGATAATTTACCCCACGTGACAATCTTACACTGGTGATTGATGCATTTCTATCCTTACAATTACATCTACATTTACACTCTTTCTCCTATAATCCGGAAGCTTTTATCTAAAGATAACGTCAGGAAGTGGCGATCAAATATTCAGTATATCTGACGGGTAGTCATGTGATGAAACCAGTCATGTGATACTGATAACAAATATCATACCTTGTCTGATGAAGTCATGAGGTGAAGAACCGTCCACTCCGGCTGCACGTATCGCTCTGTAGTTTGGCTCTGCCCATATAATCTGGGGGTGTGATGTTTAAGATGTAGCAAGATAAAATGTTATCAATACTAATAATCTCAATGTGTGTGTCTGTCTGTGTGTCTGTCTGGTTTGTTGGAAATTTCCTAGCGGTTTACAATAAGATGTAGCAAGATAAAATATATTATGTAGTAATAATACAATGTGTTTTAGTTAGAGCAGCTCCTATCTTACTACTCAACTGATAAGGATATGAGAATTAACAGTAAGTTGCGGAAATACCGTTATAACAGAACAAGATAGTAGACATATTGAGCAAAGATAAGGATGAGAACTATCCATAAGTTGCGGAAATACCGTCATAATAGAACAAGATAGTAGACATATTGAACAAAGATAAGGGTGATACCTGGTCTGTAGGCATCATCTCTGACATGGCGGAGTCGGTGTCTCGAGTGTAGATGAAGTCAATGCTGGCTATCAGACTCTCATCCTGCACTATCTGAAGTGAAGGAGAAAATATTTAGGGGGGACTAATTAGGGTGGAGATTATCGGCTAAAACTTCTTTTTTCATATAACATATTTTCCACAACACTGAACTGCTAATTTAAAGATTCCTTAATAAAGTGACCCCCCACCCGGCCCCCCTAATAAAGTGAGCTGTAACAATACCTGGTCCATAAGAGTAGCAGTTTCTAAATCTCCTCCCAACTCGAAGAGTATCAGGCTGTTAGTAACTGATAGCAGCAGATGTTTGTGTTTTACTGTAACATGTGATCAGATAAGAAAGATCTGGAAATCCAGTGGAGTAACGATCTAAAGATTCATTATTATTAATTATTGTTAATAGTAACCTACTGAAAATGCAAACTTTTAGGATTAATTTAATGTCGAGTGTAGTTTGCTACCCCCACTCCCGCCCCGGAACTAAACTCACCACACTTGATACCGAGAGTTTGCTACCCCCCCCACCCCCCCCCCCCCCCCCAGAACTAATACTCACCACACTTGATGCCGAGAGCTGAGTCTGCTACACCCCCCCCCCCCCCCCCCAGAACTAAAACTCACCACACTTGATACCGAGAGTTTGCTACAACCCCCCACTCCCGCCCCAGAACTAAAACTCACCACACTTGATACCGAGAGTTTGCTACCCCCCCCCCCCTCCCGCCTCAGAACTAAAACTCACCACACTTGATGCCGAGAGGGTCCAGATCACCATCACAAGCGCAGCTCCTCCCGGTGGGGTTTACCAGGCACAGTCCCACACAATTCCCGTTATCTACACCACAGGGGGACAAGGTACCCGGACACAACCAGGTGTTGGCACCAGGTGAAGGGTACGCTTCTGAAACACAAGGATTTATATAGAGAAGATTTGTTCAAGGAGAAATGCAACAACTTGAATTCCGTTACGTATCATCATACAGCATTTCTTACTAATAGGTAGTAGTATAATTGCTTTTGCATCGTTTTATTGAGCTCGCTTATCAGCAAATTTATCTACTGAGCAAGCATTACCATCGGCTATCTCTGTGTGTATACATATTGTCTTGTATATACATTACTCCATGGTTACGAGTTCTGAGAATGATGGCAGTGAAAAAGTTAAGATTATCATCGGGAAGCTTATTGATAAAGCTGAAATGCACGTTAGACCGGTTATTTCTGCTTTTGATAATTCTCAGTCGTGTGCAGCTAACGCTAAGCGTTTTGATCGGTTTTCTCTCCCAATACTTGAAAATTGTGCGGAATTCTTAAGAATTTCTCTCGCTGACAAGGACAATTTCAAGATATTTACGAAGAAATCACTTATGGACCGTCTTTATTGTGGTTTCCAAGCTTTGATGCCCTCTAAATGTGCGGAATGTAGTGAGGACTATGTGATCGACCACGAGCCAGATGATGCACCATGTTTCACATGTTTTCGGTGTTTTAAAGGCTCGCACAGCTGTGAACGGAACACGCTACTTCATCAGACCATATCAGCGATGAACACTCCTTCCGGCTTTGTGTGGCTATGTGACACATGTTACAGTGCTGTTGATCCGATCGAGTCCAGAAAGACAAGATCACGACATACATCTGCTTCAGATAATAATAGGAGTGGAGCTCAATCCAACAATTCTATTGGAGGAGATTTTTCTAATATCATCACCCCCTCTGGAGATGGGATGTCCTCTACCCACAACCCCCAACAGCAATTCGTGTCTTTCTCTGAAGAGAATTCAAATCAAGGAACTGAAAGAATCTGCCAGAAGTTCTTGAGCTGGAACTGTCCGCACGGAATTAGCGGAAAGAAGACAGTGAATGGAAATTGTTGTCCCCTCAAACATCCCCGAGTTTGTAATCAGTATAGAGTGTCTGGGTTTACTGGTAAGAAGGGATGTATAAAGGGTAAAAACTGTGCATTTTTTCACCCTGATATTTGCAAGGTAGCACTCGAAAGAGGATCGTGTCTCAACAAAGAATGTTCCAAGTTTCACCCCCTTTCTTGTAGAAAGAAGAAAAAGGAAGAACCCACTCGGGACAGGAATCAGAGATCCGGTATGCAGACAACCTCTAACTATAAGTCTAACTCTTCTTCTAGTTCGAGTGGTTTTTTAGAGCTACGAGACTTGGTCACGGGGATGGCGGCCAAGTTAGCAGCTCTAGAAAAGAAAATGGATCAAAGTGCCCCGTCCTCAGTGTGCCACCCTCCAGCACAACCAGCGGGACAAATGTTCTACCCATCCCAAGCAGCTCCTGCGATGATGAGTTTAGGTGTTCCCAGGCTACCCCAGCACCAGACTCCCTTCTCTCTTCCCTCCTACTTCTAAACGCTAGGAGCTTAAACCCCTCCGCTAAGAGTGCCGGGAGGTGGAAGCTGCAGGACCTTATAGGTCACTTAGACGAGAAGCGACAGGACGGACACCTGTTTCCTTTTATCGCCATCACAGAATCCTGGCTGAAATCATACCACCATGATGCTCAGTTAGAGGTTCCAGGATACTCTCTATCTCGGTGTGATCGCAGTAAAAGGAGTGGTGGGGGAGTTATGCTGTACTCTCTATCTTCTATCCCAGTCTCCCTATCAGAGAGTTTTGATGATAGTGTTTGTCAGGGAATCATCAATCTCTACCCCTCTGCTAAACTCTGTGTTGCAGTGGCGTACAGACCTCCTGATGCAACGGCCGCCAGTTTCTCAAAACTATTGGACAGCTTTACTCATGTTATTGAGAACTGCGCTCCGAGCGACTACGACCTCTTCGTAACAGGGGACTTTAACTTACCACAGGTGGATTGGGAAACGCTCCAAATCCGAAGTGGGGGGACATCAGACTCCAATCTCTCCGCTCAGTGTTTGATACGGTTTATGTCCACTCACCTGCTCAGCCAGATGGTTACAACCCCGACCAGAGGGAGCAATGTGCTGGATCTGATAATGTGCAACAACGATCGGCTGGTGTGCGATGTAAGCTGCGAAGCTACAGAAATGTCCGATCACAACATGGTTAATGCTCTCCTCTCTTTTAACCCTGCATTACTCGAGGAAGCTAAGCTCACGTATCTGGACGAAATGAACTTTCGGGCTCTAGATTTTAACCATACTGATTTCGAGGAACTTAACGAAGCTCTCAGTAGTGTGGACTGGAAACAGGTTCGAGGTTCCACTACCTTTGAAGAATTTCCGATAAATTTTACACGTAAAGTGCTAAACGTTTGTCTTGAAAATGTCCCAAGGAAACGACCTCCTAAAGGAAAACCGAATGTCTACAACTCGCTGAGAAGGAAGAAGTCCAGACTCAAGAATCGTCTTTCAGCGGCAGAGTGCAGCGGCGACCATGCTCGAATGAAACAGCTTGAAGACGAAATCGGATTAATCAGCTTTGAGATTAAGGAAGCTATAGTACACCATTTTGATGAGGGCGAAAGGAGAGCGGTGAATAAGATAAAAGCTAATCCGAAATACTTTTATTCCTACGCGAAATCGTTCTCCAAAGTAAAGCAAAACATCACAACTCTTCTTAATAGTGAAAATAAGCTTGACACAGAGAAGAAGGATCTTGCGAACATCCTCCAGACTCAGTTTTGCTCAGTCTATAGTGACCCCAACTGCCCCTACAAATCCATGCCTGAATTTGCGGTGCCGCCCATTACTTGTCGAGATAAAGAACTTGTCCTCACTCTCGACCACGTAAAGGACGCTATATCGGAACTAAAGCTTGACTCTGCACCGGGACCCGATGGCATCCCCTCCATCCTGCTGAAAAGATGTACCTCTAGCTTAGCGGTCCCTATCTATCTCATCTGGACAGAATCTATGTCGTCTGGCATCGTCCCAAGCTACTACAAGACCGGATATGTCACTCCTCTCTTCAAGAAAGGTAGCAGATGTGAAGCTGTAAACTATAGACCTGTGACGCTGACTTCCCACGTAGTGAAGGTGTATGAAAGGGTCGTCAGAAAGCACATGACCCAGTACCTTGATTCTAATGATCTGTTATCGGACAAACAGCACGGATTCAGGTCAAATAGAAGCTGTCTCACCCAAATGTTGGAGCACTTTGACGACATATACGAAGGTTTCACGAAAGGAAATGACACCGATTCAATCTACCTCGACTTTGCAAAAGCTTTTGACAAAGTCGACTTGGATCTACTTCTTCTAAAGATGAAAAGATATGGATTCCAGGAGAAGCTCTTAAGATGGATTCAATCCTTCTTAACTGGTCGTGACCAAGTTGTTGTCGTGAACGGTGTGCATTCAGACAGCGCTAAGGTGTTAAGCGGGGTGCCTCAGGGCAGTGTTTTAGGTCCACTGTTCTTCCTGTTGTTCATCAACGACCTAGAGGACGTGGTTAAGCATTCTAGAGTGAGCTTCTTCGCAGACGATACTAGGGTTTCCAAGCAAATTAGCTGCCTTGAAGACTGCCAACTTCTTCAGACTGATCTTTACAGCATTATAGATTGGTCCCTATGTAACAACATGAAGTTACACGAGCAGAAGTTCGAACTCCTAAACCACCTACACAATAAGAGGAACTTATCAAGTGAACTTCCCTTCTACGTAGAAAGTCTCCTCTACAAGGTTTCTAGTGACGTCACTCTATATCCCGTAGAAAACGTTAGAGACCTTGGTGTAAAAGTGTCAAGCGATCTGAGCTGGTCTAAACACGTCGGGGATATGGTCACCAAAGCTAGAAGTAAACTGTCTTGGGTGTTCAGTGTGTTTAAGACACGGGATAAAGTGGTTATGATGACCCTCTACAAGTCTCTAGTCAGAAGCTTATTGGAGTACTGTTGTCCGCTGTGGGACCCAGTCAAGACGACAGAGATTCAGCTTTTGGAGGGGGTCCAGCGTACCTTTACAAGCCGCATTGGTGGTCTATACAGCTTAAACTACTGGGAGAGGCTAGCTCATTTGAAGTTAATGTCCCTGCAACGGAGAAGGGAGAGATACATCATCTTGATGATGTGGAAAACGTACCATAACGTTGTTCCAAATAGCTGTAGCATCGAGTTTGTGGAAACATCCAGATATGGCACTAAAGCAGTTGTTCCTTCTCTATCAAAGTCGAGTTCGATGAGAAACCAGACACTGTACGATAGCTCGTTCGCAGTAAAAGGATCCAAACTGTGGAATAAGGTGCCGAGTGAAGTGAAAGCCGAGAAAACGTTTGCCAGCTTCAAAGTCAGTTTGTCGAAGTTTCTTGCTTTGATACCGGATAACCCTCCGGTTTCCGGTTATACGTGCAGCTGGTCGAATTCCTTGGTAGACTACACGCCATCACGGTGGTCAGACATCTGATGACCCTTCCTGCTACGAGGATAAACCTTACCAAGTTACCAAGTTACCAAGTAAGTAATATTTCGGTAGAACTATTGCGGTAGAATAATTTAAACGCAACGAAAAATATCTAACCAGCGTGATTAATAGTATGAGCTAGGGATCCAGTGAGTTCAATGAGCTTGTGTTCACCGGACACTTTTCCTTTCCCAATAGTTAGAGTTTCACCTGGAGATGTTAAATATCAGGGTCTTGTAACTACTATATAATACACACACCAACAATACTTGTTGTTCACCCCCTAGTATAATACCTGTAAAATATCAGTTACTGTAAAATCAGCACAATATAGCGGCACAGATTTAGCTCAGCTCAGCACGATTAATAACACACTAGCGGCCCCCACCCCGCGCGGTGGGGTAGCACCCCCACACCACTATTGTTTTGTTAACAACTAGTTTAATTATCTGCCACTGAGGCTGCTTTTGTAGCATGATTAGAGACATCTCGATTCTCGAACGCGATCAGCAATAGGTAATCAGTTTGGTAGTTAATTTTCATCAGGCGATAAGAAATCAGAAATCAAGGAGGAAGAATTGTGCTCGAAGAAAGCGATTTTAGGAGGAAGCTAACATGCAGAGATAAGAAGATATGGTTTGGTAATTATGTTATAACAGTACTTATCGTCGATTTAAGTAATTATTTATCATGGGGGGTCGGTATTAACATTTTTTAGAACAAGAATCTTCTAATCTTATATCATTACTGATATAGTTTTTCTAAATTTCTGTTCTTTGGAGATAATCGTAGGTTATCTATTGCGGACTGAATAATTAATGTTAGCTGGGTTTTTTAGCCAGAAGATTGGCTTTTCACAAATAAATCAATCGGCAAAGGTGTCGAATCATTCTTGTGTTTAGAGACACGGCAGTAAAACACAAGGAAATGTTTTTTGAGGGCCTACTTTTCCCGTTGGGACACAGCGTCTGCAACCAGGATATCTCGTTAGCAACACTGGGAAACAACTCTCTGCCCGATCGCAGTGTGAACTTGTATAGCTTCTTTTGGTCCCGCTCATATGTGACCCCGCTGCAGTCTGTGGACGTGTGAATATGTGTTAAAGTGGTGTTAGTTAGTGATGTTAGGAGACAAAAGATATTTAAGAAATTTCACAAAATTGTAGCAAAGAGTTGAAACCATTAACCAACTAAAACGCATCTCAAATAAGCTATAACTTCTTTACGAGACATTACCAGTATAATTAATTAATTAATTATAATTACCAGTATAATTAATTACCAGTATAATTAATGACCAGTATAATTAATTACCTTTATTTATAATTATTAATTAATTAATTATAATTACCAGTATAATTAATTAATTAATTATAATTACCAGTATTTATAATTATTAATTAATTGATTATAATTACCAGTATAAGTCTGACAAGCGAGTTTAGCAGCCTCTAGGTTCCTGTATCCCCTCCTTTTCCCTGTAGTGTATCCAGCAAGATAGGTGGTGCCGTGTCGCGAGTAACATACTGTGAAGTTACTTTAGCATTCAGTTACCTTGGTTACTGGGCTGCTACTATGGTTACTGTTAAAGATATGTGGTGCCGTGCCGCGAGTAACATACTGTGAAGTTACTTTAGCATTCAGTTACCTTGGTTACTGGGCTGCTACTATGGTTACTGCAGCAAGATATGTGGTGCCGTGCCGCGAGTAACATACTGTGAAGTTACTTTAGCATTCAGTTACCTTGGTTACTGGGCTGCTACTATGGTTACTGTTAATCGTGCCGCGAGTAACATACTGTGAAGTTACTTTAGCATTCAGTTACCTTGGTTACTGGGCTGCTACTATGGTTACTGTGGTGCCGTGCCGCGAGTAACATACTGTGAAGTTACTTTAGCATTCAGTTACCTTGGTTACTGGGCTGCTACTATGGTTACTGTGGTGCCGTGCCGCGAGTAACATACTGTGAAGTTACTTTAGCATTCAGTTACCTTGGTTACTGGGCTGCTACTATGGTTACTGTGGTGCCGTGCCGCGAGTAACATACTGTGAAGTTACTTTAGCATTCAGTTACCTTGGTTACTGGGCTGCTACTATGGTTACTGTGGTGCCGTGCCGCGAGTAACATACTGTGAAGTTACTTTAGCATTCAGTTACCTTGGTTACTGGGCTGCTACTATGGTTACTGTTAATCGTTACTATGACTGTTTCTATGGTAACTTTTTATAAAGTTATAACTGATTAAGTTATCAACATCAATTTTTGTGTGATTTTGTGTGATACCGAGTAGAGATACACAGTTTTTAAGATGTTTCTCGTACATGTTAGATTAGTGCTATTATTAGACTGGGTACTGTCGTTAGAACAAGCAGGCTTGGGAGATAACTGTAAAACTCAATAACTCATGAGTTATTAGCTGCTGTTAGCCTTAATTAATAATTAGCGATGTTAGCCTTTAAAAATGCTGAAGCTGTTGGCCGTTGGTCGCTAGTTTATAAATATTAACCTTTCTAGTGGGAACGTACTAAGTAATCTTGGTAAGTGTTCGGCTTTTCAACCCCGACAATTCACTAGAGTATGAAAGTCGGGTCTCAAATTTGCAATTGATTAAGAACTGTTGAATAAGAATGAGAGAGTATTGATTGCAGTCAGACAAATAACATGAGTATTTAACTTACAGCGAAGGGTGTATGTAACCTGATAAGCTTAATGAAAAAAGAGCGGAGCAAACAAGCCATGCTTTATTGGAGAAATGTACCAATACAATTAAATTAAATAAATTAAATAAGTCGCTCCAGACTCAATATAAAACTGCGAAATACACTATTACACTGCATTTATAAACACTTTATAAACATTTATAAACTGCAGTTATTCTTACCCACAGCTTTACCAACCATCACTTGTTCAACTTACAACACGACAATCATATCGATAAACTTAGTATATAAATATACTTGGTAAATTAGTATTTAATTTACGTATGCATACTTGGTGTATGAATATTCTGATGAAAAACATTTAAATCGCTACTTCAGAATGTGGTCTGACGAACAGCTTCTCGACAAAAACAGCGCCCTAGTTAGAACACAAAGTAACACTGAACGTGAAAACACAACGTGACGTCATGACAACACCGCGTGAGTTCAACAAAACATCACGCGACGTCACCACAACCCCACGCGTTGCCAAGCCACGTGACACTTACCGCCATGCGTGATATAGAAGTATTTGACGTAGTCCATGTCGTTTCCCGGGTAGATCTGAGCGGGGAAGGTGACGGTGTTTTGTGGTTCGTTACTGTCCCGGTTAAAGAGCTGGAGCGAGCCTCCTGATATCACCAGTTGGAGGTGCTGCTCTACATTGTCCTGGGGGTGTTAGTGTTAGTGGTAGTGTTAGTGTTAGTGCTGCTCTACATTGTCCTGGGGGTGTTAGTGTTAGTGGTAGTGGTGTTAGTGGTGTTAGTGCTGCTCTACATTGTCCTGGGGGTGTTAGTGTTAGTGCTGCTCTACATTGTCCTGGGGGTGTTAGTGTTAGTGTTAGTGATGTTAGTGTTAGTGTTAGTGTTAGTGTTAGTGTTAGTGTTAGTGTTAGTGATGTTAGTGTTAGTGTTAGTGTTAGTGATGTTAGTGTTAGTGATGTTAGTGTTAGTGTTAGTGTTAGTGTTAGTGATGTTAGTGTTAGTGATGTTAGTGTTAGTGTTAGTGTTAGTGTTGTTAGTGTTAGTGATGTTAGTGTTAGTGTTAGTGTTAGTGATGTTAGTGTTAGTGATGTTAGTGTTAGTGTTAGTGTTAGTGTTAGTGATGTTAGTGTTAGTGATGTTAGTGTTAGTGTTAGTGTTAGTGTTGTTAGTGTTAGTGATGTTAGTGTTAGTGTTAGTGGTGTTAGTGATGTTAGTGATGTTAATGTTAGTGATGATAGTGTTAGTGTTAGTGTTAGTGGTGTTAGTTACTAGTTAGTGATGTTAATGTTAGTGATGTTAGTGTTAGTGTACATTGTCCTGGGGGTTTATTTTTAAATGCGCTGTTCAAAAAGAAAGGAATATGTTGTCTTTCCAGCAAATCATAAAGATAATTAACATTAATTGTTGACTCTACACTCTACAGGTACATTAACCCATAATAACACGACTTTAATGGAACACTCATAAAGATGTTACACTCACAGATGTAACACTAAAGTTGACATTAGCGGGGGACCTAATTAGTGACCTAATTACTAATAAAGATGTTAGACTCACAGATGTAACACTAAAGTTGACTTTAGCGGGGGACCCCTGGAACCCGATGTAGAAAGTGTTGTGTAGAATGTCGTGATCAGCAACTGGCTCTCCTTCACGGTAACAAGGTCCTGCAGAGATTACTATTAGTTTACTATTAGTTTACTATTAGTTTACTATTAGTTTACTATTAGTTTACTGTTAGTTTACTGTTAGTTTACTATTAGTTTACTGTTAGTTTACTATTAGTTTACTATTAGTTTACTGTTAGTTTACTATTAGTTTACTATTAGTTTACTATTAGTTTACTATTAGTTTTTACAGTTAGTTTACTATTAGTTTACTATTAGTTTACTGTTAGTTTACTATTAGTTTACTATTAGTTTACTGTTAGTTTACTGTTAGTTTACTATTAGTTTACTATTAGTTTACTATTAGTTTACTATTAGTTTACTGTTAGTTTACTATTAGTTTACTATTAGTTTACTATTAGTTTACTATTAGTTTACTATTAGTTTACTATTAGTTTACTGTTGGTTTACTATTAGTTTACTATTAGTTTACTATTAGTTTACTATTAGTTTACTGTTAGTTTACGATTAGTTTACTGTTAGTTTACTGTTAGTTTACTATTAGTTTACTATTAGTTTACTATTAGTTTACTATTAGTTTACTGTTAGTTTACTATTAGTTTACTATTAGTTTACTATTAGTTTACTATTAGTTTATTATTAGTTTATTATTAGTTTACTATTAGTTTACTATTAGTTTACTATTAGTTTACTATTAGTTTACTATTAGTTTACTATTAGTTTACTATTACTTTACTATTAGTTTACTATTAGTTTACTATTAGTTTACTATTAGTTTACACTTTACTATTAGTTTACTGTTAGTTTACTATTAGTTTACCATTAGTTTACTATTAGTTTATAGGTTACTATTAGTTTACTATTAGTTTATAGGTTACTATTACTATTGTCATTTGTAAGATAGTAATAAAGAAAATTTAGAGATTCACAAATAATCTAAAAGGAAACAAATAACCTAGTGACTGTTACCATGACATTTAATGACAACAACTAACCTGGTGACTGTTACCACGACAACAACTAACCTGGTGAGTGTAACCACGACAACAACTAACCTGGTGACTGTTACCACGACAACAACTAACCTGGTGACTGTTACCACGACAACAACTAACCTGGTGACTGTTACCACGACAACAACTAACCTGGTGACTGTTACCACGACAACAACTAACCTGGTGACTGTTACCACGACAACAACTAACCTGGTGACTGTTACCACGACAACAACTAACATGGTGACTGTTACCACGACAACAACTAACCTGGTGACTGTTACCACGACAACAACTAACCTGGTGACTGTTACCACGACAACAACTAACCTGGTGACTGTTACCACGACAACAACTAACCTGGTGACTGTTACCACGACAACAACTAACCTGGTGACTGTTACCACGACAACAACTAACCTGGTGACTGTAACCATTACAACAACTTACCTGGTGACTGTTACCACGACAACAACTAACCTGGTGACTATTACCACGACAACAACTAACCTGGTGACTGTTACCACGACAACAACTAACCTGGTGACTGTTACCACGACAACAACTAACCTGGTGACTATTACCACGACAACAACTAACCTGGTGACTGTTACCACGACAACAACTAACCTGGTGACTGTTACCATTACAACAACTAACCTGGTGACTGTTACCATTACAACAACTTACCTGGTGACTGTTACCACGACAACAACTAACCTGGTGACTATTACCACGACAACAACTAACCTGGTGACTGTTACCACGACAACAACTTACCTGGTGACTGTTACCACGACAACAACTTACCTGGTGACTGTAACCATTACAACAACTAACCTGGTGACTGTTACCATTACAACAACTTACCTGGTGACTGTTACCACGACAACAACTAACCTGGTGACTGTTACCACGACAACAACTAACCTGGTGACTGTTACCACAACAACAACTAACCTGGTGACTGTTACCAAGACAACAACTAACCTGGTGACTGTTACCAAGACAACAACTTACCTGGTGACTGTTACCACGACAACAACTAACCTGGTGACTGTTACCACGACAACAACTAACCTGGTGACTGTTACCACGACAACAACTAACCTGGTGACTGTTACCATTACAACAACTAACCTGGCATCTGATGATCTGGAGATAAGAATGTGAGATCCATGAGAGCCGTTCCGAAGGACATTAAACTTGTAATGTTTGTGCCGTTCTTGTTTCCCTGTGTGTGTGTTTGAGAACATTAATGTATTTGATATTTGTGGTTTGTATTGGGCAGTTTTCATGAGAGTCTTTCTCATGAAAACTGCTAGAATAGAATTCACAGTTGAAAGTTGTGTAATTAAGCTTCTAATTCGATAAAACACTACAAAATTACCTTTTTTTTATTATTAAATTACCTTTTTTATTGACTGTGAGGTCCAGTCGGTAAAGTACAAACTGTCGTCAAAATAGTGGAATCCGTAAGGGTGTTGAATCTGAAACAGTAGTTACTTCTTTACTGCTTTAGTTAACTTTAAATTTATTTCATTTATATTAATGCTTTCAAAGTATCAAAATTCACAAAAGAGCTGACAACTGTTTACAGTGATGGAAAACAATTAAAGATTAAAATGTAATCTAATATTGGAGATGTAACTACTGACGTTTTCAGAAGAAACAACTCTTCTGTCCTCTCCGTTTATTGATACACTCTCTATAGTATCCTCCAGTGCATCAACCCAGTACAGTTTCTTCGTCTCATAGTCCATGGCTGAAACGGAGTGATGTGAGATGGAGAAGGAGATTTAAAAGAGATAATTTAATTAAAGCAGTGAGTTATGAGTAATGCAAATCCTGTATCTGGTCTATAGATTAAGAGGTAGCCGATACGGTTTTACTTTTATCACCTCAAAACTCTATCAAATGCACGTGCAAAACTGGCAATAATGGTGTGACACTAACCAAGTAATGCACGTGCAAAACTGGTAATAATGTTGTGACACTAACCAAGTCCATTATAAAATGCACGTGCAAAACTGGTAATAATGTTGTGACACTAACCAAGTCCATTGGGCCAGCCTAGTCCCGTGGTAACCAGTAGAACCTGGTCAGTCCCGTCCATAGCAGCTCGTCCTACTGCAGCGTTAGTCCCCCAGTCAGTCCAGAACAGATACCTGGTCACAGGTAACACAGAGTTAACACACAGTTAACACACAGATAACACACAGTTAACACACAGTTAACACAGAGTTAACACACAGTTAACACACAGTTAACACACAGTTAACACACAGTTAACACACAGTTAACACACAGATAACACACAGTTAACATACAGTTAACACACAGTTAACACACAGTTAACACACAGTTAACACACAGTTAACATACAGTTAACACACAGTTAACACACAGATAACACACAGTTGACACACAGTTAACACACAGTTAACACACAGTTAACACACAGTTAACACACAGATAACACACAGTTAACATACAGTTAACACACAGTTAACACACAGTTAACACACAGTTAACATACAGTTAACATACAGTTAACACACAGTTAACACACAGTTAACACACAGTTAACACACAGATAACACACAGTTAACACACAGTTAACACACAGTTAACACACAGTTAACACACAGTTAACACACAGTTAACACACAGTTAACACACAGTTAACATACAGTTAACACACAGTTAACACGTCAGACCAGCCCGGAGAGGGGGGATAAGAGGGGGTGCGACTATTATAGGTCCTATATTTGATTCAGATTAATGATAATGATCATAAAACTAATGTGTTGTACAATAAATACCTGTCAAGAGGAGATACCAGAATTGCCCGGGGTCTGTCTAAACCGGTTATTTTCAGGGTAGCTTTGTTACTCCCGTCACTTGACTTTGCAACAAATATGTGATCTGAAAGGAATGTGATGGAGTTCAACCATCATTATTGATATGTTGTGCCTTGTGGGTATCTACCAATACGTTCCTTTTATAAGATGACGAGTGTTGCTATATTGTTTAGGCAGCAATATTACCTGGTAATATCCGTAAATATTAGTAATATTATTAGTAATTATTAGTAATACTATTAGTTAATATTAGTAAATATTAGTAAATATTGGTAATTATTAGTAATTATTAGTAATTGTTAGTAATATTATTAGTAATTACTAGTAATTATTAGTAATATTATTGGTAAATATTAGTACCTGGTCCGGTGTCTGTCCAGTAGATATTCCTAGCCACCCAATCTACTGCTATACCGTCTGGAACATGAAGATCAGACATAATCACCCTCATATCACTCCCATCCAACTAAAAGAGAAGCATTATTAAAGAGTACTTTAGTCAGTTTAAATATTCTTTAATTATTCGAGCTAAAAGAGAAGCATTATTAAAGAGTACTTTAGTCAGTTTAAATATTCTTTAATTATTCGAGCTAAAAGAGAAGCATTATTAAAGAGTACGTTAGTCAGTTTAAATATTCTTTAATTATTCGAGCTAATATTTGGATGGAAATTACTATTTTAGTGGTTGGCTGTAAGTGTAACTAGAACAATTATTTGATCTACGTTCAGTATTATCTAGATATCTCTACTTCTAATTTGAGAATATTCTTTATGTACTCACATTAGAAGAGGAGATAGTATCTTGCATAGAGTCGCTCCAGAACAATCGTCCTGCTCTGAAGTCTATATCCAGACTCACTCCACTTGATATCGCCTGGGATATTATTAGTAAATATTAGTAATATTATTAGTAAATATAATATTACAAATATTATATCTAAAGTCTATATCCAGACTTACTCCACTTGCGATTGTTTTACTGCGTTTTTACTTTTCCCAATCAAGTTAATCTATGTGAAATGTCCACAACTTTTCTATGGAGTGGAATAGTATCGAGTGATATCTTACTAACCGGTGAAATGTCCACAACTTTTCTATGGAGTGGAATAGTATCGAGTGATATCTTACTAACCGGTGAAATGTCCACAACTTTTCTATGGAGTGGAATAGTATCGAGTGATATCTTACTAACCGGTGAAATGTCCACAACTTTTCTATGGAGTGGAATAGTATCGAGTGATATCTTACTAACCGGTGAAATGTCCACAACTTTTCTATGGAGTGGAATAGTATCGAGTGATATCTTACTCACCGGTGAAATGTCCACAACTTTTCTATGGAGTGGAATAGTATCGAGTGATATCTTACTAACCGGTGAAATGTCCACAACTTTTCTATGGAGTGGAATAGTATCGAGTGATATCTTCTGAAGAGAGCTCCTCTCCAACACAAACATGGACAGTTCGCTCTCTACACAGAGTGAAGAGTTGTTAGGGTCGGGTTTGTACCAGTCTCTACATGCACACTCTACCTCTCCACCTTCTGCAGGGTTACATTGTTAACTAATGACATATTGTAACAATATTATTGTTATCTTGGAAGCAATATTGGAGACGTGTTAACTAATGATGAGGACTACAAGCATGTCATCTAGTTAAAGTAACATGTCTGATCTTTAAAGGATGGACCAGTAATAATAATAATACTGGTAACTGATTTAACAACTAACCAGATATACTGCAAGTGTGCTGGCAGCCCCCGTTATCATGCCCACAAGGGTCCTGGACACAGTCCCTCCCGTTCTCCTGAAGCTGGATGTTCTGGGGACACGCACACTGCACCCGCTCCGGGGTGTAAAAACAGAAGTGTGAACAGTTCCCGTTATTCGTACCACAGTCGTTGGTATCTGAGGGAGCGAGGTTGTTATTAGTGAGCTAAAAGGAGGAGATTTAGGCAATTCTGAGGGGGGGGGGTTATTATTAGTGAGCTAAAGGAGGAGATTCTGGCAATTCTTCCTTTCCTTTTATTATGGTTTTATTAAAATTGGAAGTGTTTTTTCATTCCCTGCGGCGCTTAATGCGTTTCTGACTTTAAATATTGTGTGGACAACTTTCTTTTGTAGATTTTGTGCACTCTGTAGCTGTGTATAACTTAAAGAGCGATTCTAGTCAGAGGTAAAACTAACCAGAGGTGAGGAGTAATTTAGCAAAACAGATGATACAAAGTATTATCATTAAAGTGAGGATTTTACGGTGAATAAACAACTGACAAACTGAAAAGCAATCTATTTGGTAGTAACACAACTATTTGGTAGTAACACAACTATTTGGTAGTAACACAACTATTCGGTAGTAACACAACTATTTGGTAGTAACACAACTGCTAGAAGGAGCGAAGGATCATGTACAGTAAACTAACAACATGAAATGGTAGCCTATATAATTATTACAAAGAGCATAAGTACACGTGCTATCTTATCAGTACACCCAGGGCTACAGGTGTGTCACTTCTGTCCTGTAACCACTCCTCTCAGTTATGTAACCACCCCGCTTTGTTCTGTCACACAGGACGGTTCATTGATGTTTTTAGAACCGCCCTGGGAGAAGTTAGACTGTGTAGTCTAATAGGTTATTTTCTAAGTTCTTTACTATTCTCTATTGCTTTATTTTGTTTAAAACTTAAAGGTTCTTGTTACAGTTCTATAATTTATGCGGTTAAAAGTAATATTAATACTGTGTGTACTGGTAATATGTTATTGTGTGGCTATGGTCTGCACTCTGCATAGTGCATCATTTTACAGGTTTCAGGAATCCCTACAATTTTTGTCTTGACAGTGACAATAATTTTACACCAAATTCGACCGGAAGCACTATTTAGGTGCGATGAAATAGCAAAATTTGCTCTATTTTCTGCATTTTTTGTGTCACTATGCAATAAAATGAGATACAGGATCGCAGAAACTACCGAATCTACACTACTACACATAGGATGTACGTTGAAGCCTCAGCAGCCCGGGAATTATATACAATAGAGATTTCATGGAAACAGCTAAGTGTGTTCACCGTAAATGTAGCCGAAACGTCTGTACAATACATGATGTATTTCGTTTTACAGTGAGTGGAGACTCTCATTTCGTCCCGACTCTATCTGTGGAACTAACCAATCAGAGCAATCTGTGGAACTAACCAATCAGAGCAATCTGTGGAACTAACCAATCAGAGCAATCTGTGGAACTAACCAATCAGAGCAATCTGTGGAACTAACCGATCAGAGCAATCTGTGGAACTAACCAATCAGAGCAATCTGTGGAACTAACCGATCAGAGCAATCTGTGGAACTAACCAATCAGAGCAATCTGTGGAACCAACCAATCAGAGCAATCTGTGGAACTAACCAATCAGAGCAATCTGTGGAACTAACCAATCAGAGCAATCTGTGGAACTAACCAATCAGAGCAATCTGTGGAACTAACCAATCAGAGCAATCTGTGGAACTAACCAATCAGAGCAATCTGTGGAACTAACCAATCAGAGCAATCTGCGGAACTAACCAATCAGAGCAATCTGTGGAACTAACCAATCAGAGCAATCTGTGGAACTAACCAATCAGAGCAATCTGTGGAACTAACCGATCAGAGCAATCTGTGGAACTAACCAATCAGAGCAATCTGTGGAACTAACCGATCAGAGCAATCTGTGGAACTAACCAATCAGAGCAATCTGTGGAACTAACCAATCAGAGCAATCTGTGGAACTAACCGATCAGAGCAATCTGTGGAACTAACCAATCAGAGCAATCTGTGGAACTAACCAATCAGAGCAATCTGTGGAACTAACCGATCAGAGCAATCTGTGGAACTAACCAATCAGAGCAATCTGCGGAACTAACCAATCAGAGCAATCTGTGGAACTAACCAATCAGAGCAATCTGCGGAACTAACCAATCAGAGCAATCTGTGGAACTAACCAATCAGAGCAATCTGTGGAACTAACCGATCAGAGCAATCTGTGGAACTAACCAATCAGAGCAATCTGTGGAACTAACCAATCAGAGCAATCTGTGGAACTAACCAATCAGAGCAATCTGTGGAACTAACCAATCAGAGCAATCTGTGGAACTAACCAATCAGAGCAATCTGTGGAACTAACCGATCAGAGCAATCTGTGGAACTAACCGATCAGAGCAATCTGTGGAACTAACCAATCAGAGCAATCTGTGGAACTAACCAATCAGAGCAATCTGTGGAACTAACCAATCAGAGCAATCTGTGGAACTAACCGATCAGAGCAATCTGTGGAACTAACCAATCAGAGCAATCTGTGGAACTAACCGATCAGAGCAATCTGTGGAACTAACCAATCAGAGCAATCTGTGGAACTAACCAATCAGAGCAATCTGTGGAACTAACCGATCAGAGCAATCTGTGGAACTAACCAATCAGAGCAATCTGTGGAACTAACCGATCAGAGCAATCTGTGGAACTAACCAATCAGAGCAATCTGTGGAACTAACCAATCAGAGCAATCTGTGGAACAAACCAATCAGAGCAATCTGTGGAACTAACCAATCAGAGCACTCTGTGGAACTAACCAATCAGAGCAATCTGTGGAACTAACCAATCAGAGCAATCTGTGGAACTAACCGATCAGAGCAATATGTGGAACTAACCAATCAGAGCAATCTGTGGAACTAACCAATCAGAGCAATCTGTGGAACTAACCAATCAGAGCAATCTGTGGAACTAACCGATCAGAGCAATCTGTGGAACTAACCAATCAGAGCAATCTGTGGAACTAACCGATCAGAGCAATATGTGGAACTAACCAATCAGAGCAATCTGTGGAACTAACCAATCAGAGCAATCTGTGGAACTAACCAATCAGAGCAATCTGTGGAACTAACCGATCAGAGCAATCTGTGGAACTAACCAATCAGAGCAATCTGTGGAACTAACCAATCAGAGCAATCTGTGGAACTAACCAATCAGAGCAATCTGTGGAACCAACCAATCAGAGCAATCTGTGGAACTAACCAATCAGAGCAATCTGTGGAACTAACCAATCAGAGCAATCTGTGGAACTAACCAATCAGAGCAATCTGTGGAACTAACCAATCAGAGCAATCTGTGGAACTAACCGATCAGAGCAATCTGTGGAACTAACCAATCAGAGCAATCTGTGGAACTAACCGATCAGAGCAATATGTGGAACTAACCAATCAGAGCAATCTGTGGAACTAACCAATCAGAGCAATCTGTGGAACTAACCAATCAGAGCAATCTGTGGAACTAACCAATCAGAGCAATCTGTGGAACAAACCAATCAGAGCAATCTGTGGAACTAACCAATCAGAGCACTCTGTGGAACTAACCAATCAGAGCAATCTGTGGAACTAACCAATCAGAGCAATCTGTGGAACTAACCAATCAGAGCAATCTGTGGAACCAACCAATCAGAGCAATCTGTGGAACTAACCAATCAGAGCAATCTGTGGAACTAACCAATCAGAGCAATCTGTGGAACTAACCAATCAGAGCAATCTGTGGAACTAACCAATCAGAGCAATCTGTGGAACTAACCAATCAGAGCAATCTGTGGAACTAACCAATCAGAGCAATCTGTGGAACTAACCAATCAGAGCAATCTGTGGAACTAACCAATCAGAGCAATCTGCGGAACTAACCAATCAGAGCAATCTGTGGAACTAACCAATCAGAGCAATCTGCGGAACTAACCAATCAGAGCAATTTGTGGAACTAACCAATCAGAGCAATCTGTGGAACTAACCAATCAGAGCAATCTGTGGAACTAACCAATCAGAGCAATCTGTGGAACTAACCGATCAGAGCAATCTGTGGAACTAACCAATCAGAGCAATCTGTGGAACTAACCAATCAGAGCAATCTGTGGAACAAACCAATCAGAGCAATCTGTGGAACTAACCAATCATAGCACTCTGTGGAACTAACCAATCAGAGCAATCTGTGGAACTAACCAATCAGAGCAATCTGTGGAACTAACCAATCAGAGCAATCTGTGGAACTAACCAATCAGAGCAATCTGTGGAACTAACCAATCAGAGCAATCTGTGGAACTAACCAATCAGAGCAATCTGTGGAACTAACCAATCAGAGCAATCTGTGGAACTAACCAATCAGAGCAATCTGTGGAACTAACCAATCAGAGCAATCTGTGGAACTAACCAATCAGAGCAATCTGCGGAACTAACCAATCAGAGCAATCTGTGGAACTAACCAATCAGAGCAATCTGTGGAACTAACCAATCAGAGCAATCTGTGGAACTAACCAATCAGAGCAATCTGTGGAACTAACCAATCAGAGCAATCTGTGAAACTAACCAATCAGAGCAATCTGTGGAACTAACCAATCAGAGCAATCTGCGGAACTAACCGATCAGAGCGATCTGCGGAACTAACCAATCAGAGCAATCTGTGGAACTAACCAATTTGTGTGGAGGCGGAGTACCAGTGAATATCAAAGGGTTGGTCCTGTGAGAACATTTGAGAAGCGTCCGAATACATTCTGTATCCTGTACTGTTCGTCTCTGTGTTAGACCTGCAATTCAACATATTACCATGTCTTATATTACCAGAATTTGTTATTCTTCTAGATGAAAAACTCGAATAGAACAGAGTAAACAACTTCATATAAAAAACAGTGGATAAGATAACGCTATTAGGTGAGAGGGGGATCGTTGATCGTTCAGGTGTTACTCAATCACTGACGGGGTTTCTTGATTACGCCAGTGTTATGTTGTAAAGCTACGATGAAGGGGTTCTAGAAGTGCCCAAAACGTGATCACGTGATACGTTGATGGTCTCCTGTAGGAATGTAATCCCTCTACTCACAATAAGACTTGCAGTATAGCCTTGTGTTTCCAGTCAGTTAGCAGTATCTTGTCTCCAGCTCCTTCACCAGCTCTGGGAAAGGTTTTCAGTCAACAAACATTTTCAGGAAAATTATAAACATATAAAATAGTAACCCTTGAAACGGAAATACGCTAAATTGAAGTGAAGGAAAGTGTAAGAATGTAAGAAGTGAGGGTAACCTGTCTCTGTAGAAGGTAAGTGCGAAGGAATGTGTAAGAGTGAAGGAGGTGAGCAGTTTTCTGTTTTTTCCGTCCGTGTCCACTCTCTCCAATACATCCTCTTTAGCGTCCACCCAGTATAGAACCTGTTGTAGCGCCATGTTAAGGACATAGTGATCACACTTACTCTAGTAGCAGGGGGGGTTGAGTACTAGAGTAATAATAATAATAGTGGTAATCACACTTACTCTAGTAGCAGGGAGGGGTTGAGTACTAGAGTAATAATGATGATAGTGGTAATCACACTGTTACCCTCATACTCATAATATTCCGTGGAAGTACTCATTTGTCCTGTCCACAAATTTACCAAAACATGATCTCAAATTTACCAAAATAAGACCTCAAATTTACCAAAACACGACCTCAAATTTACCAAAATAAGACCTCAAATTTACCAAAATAAGACCTCAAATTTACCAAAATAAGACCTCAAATTTACCAAAATAAGACCTGAAATTTACCAAAATAAGACCTCAAATTTACCAAAATATGACCTCAAATTTAACAAAATAAAACCTCAAATTTACCAAAATAAGACCTCAAATTTACCAAAACACGACCTCAAATTTACCAAAACACGACCTCAAATTTACCAAAATATGACCTCAAATTTACCAAAACACGACCTCAAATTTACCAAAACACGACCTCAAATTTACCAAAATATGACCTCAAATTTACCAAAACATGACCTCAAATTCATCAAAACCCGACATCAGATTTTGAAAATCCGACATAAAATCTACCAAAATTCAACCTCAAATTGACTAAAACCAGACTTTTTGAAACCCGAGGTCAGGCTCCTGTATGCCCCCCACGTGATGCCCATATAAGGAGTCCCAGGATACCTCCGAGATGACTATTATATGCTAAATTAGGATTGTGTGGTCGTTTTGTTGGCTACAAATTCACTGCATATTTATCATATCTTTCCATAAACCAGGTAACTGATTTACATGACTTATGTTTGGAACATTTATCTTGCAATATTCGTAGGCTCAGTCATTGTTCTATTCCCAGTAATTTACCTTTGTCTTGTATTTAAATCAGAAAAAATGGTGTTTATTGTTGTTGTTGTTGTTGTTGTATTCTCAGTGCTTTTGAGCTTTAAAAGGAATGGTGTTTGTTGTTGTTGTTGTTTTTGTATTCTCAGTGCTTTTGAGCTTTAAAAGGTTTACAGTATGTGGGCATATTATATATTCGTCACTTTCAACAGTTTTGTTGCGAAGGAGTAAGTACCTGGTTATCCCTGTCGATGGTGAGACCGTTGGGCCAGGAGATATTGCCGCTCTCTATTTGTGTAACATTGGAACCGTCTAACCAAGCCGAGTAGATCCCACTCTTAGAACCCCAGTCAGTGAAGTACATCTTACTGAGAAGTGAGGTGTTAGTAAGGTGTTAGTAAGGTGTTAGTGAGGTTTTAGTGAGGTGTTAGTGAGGTGTTAGTGAGGTGTTAGTGAAGTACATCTTACTGAGAGGTGAGGCGGTGTTAGCAGAGAAAGTTAGATTTAGGGTAGTAATACCTACAACTTAAATAGTGGAAAGCAATTTCCTGTAAAACCGATATATATATATTTCTTGAATTTTAGATGTTTAAACAAGTCAAAAATCAGATTAGTAGCCAGCAATCAGCATGAACGAAGAATTTTAGAGGAGCAATTAATCAATTGTAGTTGGAAAGCGAGTGAAGAGTGTCTCCTTGTCCCTGTGTGTTAACTTACCCTCTCTTGGGATCCAAAACCAAAGCTCTAGGTTTGTCTGTTTCCGCAAAAGAGTGGACAACTCTAGAGTAGCTGCCGTCCGATTTTGTCGCTCCTGTGGACATTTTCATCTTATTTGTATGATTTGGGGAGAATAGGACGATAACAATAACAGAACCGTTTTATTGAAGTGTAACCTCGTGATCTCCATCATTAGATAATATAGCTAAACATGGAGCCGAGATAAAAGTAATCAGGGGAACTCACCAATCATTTTAGTTCCCATATCAGTCCAGTACACAGTATCAGTAACCCAATCGTAGGCTATACCGTCAGGTGTCTGTAGTCCTTGGTCCACTATTTTAACAGATGAGTTACCGTCGATACTGGCAGCAAATATGGCATCAACCAGCGTGTCTGTCCAGAATATCCGACCCTGGGGAAAATGTGAAATTATCTGAGAGATGATTATAAAGTTTGCTAAAATTTTTTGACATGATTAGTGTTGCATTCGTTAAAATTTGATTGTTTGTGATTTAGAATGAATAGCCTGTTACTGATCAAACCAGTTAAATTAACCAAATAACTCACATTTTTACTGTCGAAGTCCAGGGCAACCACTTTACCCTGTACAGCAACTGATGTTTGCTGGTGCGCAGAATCTCCCAGCGGGGACACTTTCCAGATTTTATGTTTAGTGGCAAGTAACAGGTAACTCTCTGAAATTAATGAGTTCGTTCCAAGTACGATAGTTTATTTAGGTTATCATGCGACAGTTTCTCAGAATTTGTTTGAGCAGTTAAATGACTAAATATTAAGATCTAGGGGATGCGCATGTACGTAATTGAGCAGTTGCAAGGAGTACAGTTCATTATCACAACAGCGCATTAGTGATCTATATTTATGTTATTTTGTGCCAGATGTTCCCATATAATATACATTGCGCATCTTAAATGTGTTATACCCAATTCTTAAAGATCTCAGAAGATTAATATTAAACACTCACAACTTTTCAATACTGTAAATTGGCCAAAGCCCAAATGTATTAAATTTCTGTGAAATGTATTATATAACCTGTAATATAATCTGTGAAGTGGACTGCAGACTAACCTACACACTTCCCATTGACCTTTTCGTAGAAGTCATCACAGAGGCACACAGCCTGTCTATCCTCAGACAGGGTACACCTGTGCTCGCAGCCTCCGTTACCCTCCTCGCATGGTGACTTTTCTGTGGAATAAACTTTAAGTTATCATTTACGTAGCGTGTTGGTCAGGTTTATCAAATTTATCTCTGTCTGTAACAAACAAATTACGTTTTGCATAATTGCCCGCGCTTTCTCAAACTCCGATGAGTAATATGTCAAATGTAGTCAAAGTATTATGCAATATATCATTTAAACATTATCAGTAGAGACTACAGTATAAAACCGACTGTGTGTAATGTTGTGTGTATAAGTTGGAGCTTCACACCGCTTTTACACGCAGCCCCCTAAATAAACAAAGCACATGCACGTGACCTATCGACCTAATGACATGGACAAGCGCGAGGGTAATGCGCGCGTCAGCAAATGTTGTCAATGAACTTTACATTTGGGTAACAAAGAAAATATCGCGCGTTCCAGAAGACCAAGAAATAATTTCTCGAGCGAAGCATTTTTTAAATGCCTGATTTAGCGTTAAACTGCTTCTAAACTGTTCATAAGTGCTAAATAAGTGTACTAATGTATCGTAGCAGTGTTTGGAAGGACTGAAGCGGACTAGAACCCTTATAGAGGTTAATCCAAAGATACAGGCTCCAGAGGGCCAAAAAATTGAAAATTGTTTGGCTTTAAATCGTCAAGAAACAACAGATGTATTTTTGGAAATATTTCATGTAGGATTTCTCAAGGCTCCATCCTTTGGAATAGCCGATAATCATTTACCCCTTGTTTTTAGAAATGATGAAATACCTTCCTGGTTGATAGAACAGATGGAATTTATCAAAGTGAAATTCTAATTTGATACGTGTCCAACTAATTCTCATAACACTAGATTTGGAATATTTCTCTAAAACCTTTGCAGAATCGAAGATACTCCTGCAACAAAAATGCAAACAATGCAGAAATGGAATTTCTAGACACGTCAAGCCATACTTCTGACAAGTCCACAATTACACTTAACAGGCAAATCGTGCGACTTTACACCGACATGGGAAGGTAAAATCGTGTAACAAGGTACCGGCCAACAATGTTTCTAGACTTGAAGAACAAGCTAATGTGAACTAACCACATGTGTTACGATTGGTGGGATCTATATTCACTCCATCTGAACAGCCACAAGTATACAGCTGGGTGAGATCTCCGGTATTGTAACAGAAATGTGAACAGGGATTCTTTGGGGAACACGCGTTTGTAACTCCTGTAAATATGTAAATATTATGTAAATATTATGTAAATATTATGTAAATATTGTGTAAATAAGTTAGCATTATTTACTAAAAGTATTATTCAGTTTATTTTAAAGTTGAAATAAATTTAGCCGTATTGATAAATATTAATGTTGATACATTTTTCATACAGTGTGATGATACTTTGTGAGTGTGATGTGTGTGTGTGATGTGATAATTACTACTTTATTTTACTTTATCAAGATGCAGCTACTATAATACTGTGAGGTAATATTGACAACACGAACCTCATGTAGATCAGTATTCAGTAATTACATAATCATAAGATTGGCACAATGCCAAGTGAAGGAGGATATATTGTTCACTAAAATTAAAGTGCTTTGTGTTTGGATATTGATCTGCTGTATATTATGGAAACAAAGTAAGTTATGAGCTGTATATCATGGAAACAAAGTAAGTTATAAGCCACACCGAGTAATGTACTGAGCATAACAACTTTTTCTGTGTTGGTAACAAATGAAATGGAATGAAACATGAGATCTAAAGCAAAACTTAAGAATAAATTTCAAATTTGAAAGTATGTAGGTCACGCGGGGGTCGATATTAGAAGAGTAAAAACTACACTTAACAACTTTGGGCAGACGTTTGTCACATGAATGTCGTGGTATTCGTAAAATTGAGTCAAGAGTTGTTGTGCCGTGAATTTGAGTGCAAGTTGCATTGTTGCAAGTACCACTATTTTAATATCGACCCAAATTACTAAATATCCTTGCTTAATAAACACACTTAATACGGTACCACCCGTATTAACACTCAGAATTGAGTTGGATCATTTTCCGATACGAGATTGGGGACGGGTTCTATAAACAAACAGACGTGAGATCATATTTTAAACCAATCAAATGTTAAAATAGAGGTCTGAGCCCTAAATATCCTTGTTGTCAGCTTAATTGCTGTAAAAACAATAAGTAAACTCACCCAGAGTAAACGTTTCCCCGTAAGTAACGATGTCCATTATAATGCCAAAGCTGGTGACCACAGTTTCTGCTTCTGTACTGTTATCTATCGGAACCTTCCCTGAAAATAACTCATGTTATCCGATACAATTGTAGGCATATACATTTCAAAAATCCTGTATAAACATTCAGAATCACACAAATCAGAATAAACCGTTGACCCAAACTTTATGTTGAGTATTTGGCTCAGGTCTATCAGACCATGAAAATCATGTACATGTAATTAACATTATAATCCATAAACCTGTGGTGCCTCACAAATATAAACCCACGTACAAATATGATTTCTGACTACATTCCCAAACCTTTCAATGTGAAGATATCGGTGATTTAATGAACATGTGTAATTTAAGTTATGATTGATGTTTCAAGGATCAGATAGAAAATTCATTCGGCCAACTTCAAGTTTCCGATTACTTCAGTTCTGAACATCAGGTTGATCACAGGTTGATCACAGGTTGATCAAAGGTTGATCACAGGTTGATCAAAGGTTGATCACAGGTTGATCACAGGTTGATCACAGGTTGATCACAGGTTGATCACAGGTTGATCACAGGTTGATCACAGGTTGATCACAGGTTGATCACAGGTTGATCACAGGTTGATCACAGGTTGATCACAGGTTGATCACAGGTTGATCACAGGTTGATCACAGGTTGATCACATGTTGACCACAGGTTGAGCACAGGTTGATCACAGGTTGATCACAGGTTGATCACAGGTTGATCACAGGTTGATCACAGGTTGATCACAGGTTGATCACAGCTTGATCACAGGTTGATCACAGGTTGATCACAGGTTGATCACAGGTTGATCACAGGTTGATCACAGCTTGATCACAGCTTGATCACAGGTTGATCACAGGTTGATCACAGCTTGATCACAGCTTGATCACAGGTTGATCACAGGTTGATCACAGGTTGATCACAGGTTGATCACAGGTTGATCACAGGTTGATCACAGCTTGATCACAGCTTGATCACAGGTTGATCACAGCTTGATCACAGCTTGATCACAGCTTGATCACAGGTTGATCACAGGTTGATCACAGGTTGATCACAGTCCACCTTGAAGGAACAGGTCAAGCCACTACATAGTATGTTGGCACTTCTTCTCCTTACCCACATTTCTCCGTGATCGGAACAGGATCATTACTTAGAATCGATTCGACACTCATGACTCAGCAATATAATCATTATACCTTAACATGCCTTAATATATCTTAACATATCTAACATCTTACTCCATCCATTTCTCAAACCTACCAGAAGAAATCACTCGTATTGATAATTTGATAATTTGCCAAATGTAATTTCGACTTTACTGCACATACTATGAGGTTCACTAACTTAACTGCATCGCCGCCCCAAGTGTAGCCTCTAACTAGTGTTATTTCACACTAATCACACACTTATCACACACTAATCACACACTAATCACACACTTATCACACACTAATCACACACTGATCACACTAATAACCACGTAGTGCTCACACCATGTGATCACGTGACTCTACTACAATATGTAATATAAATCATCATCATGTCAAATTTGTTCAACTCATAGTGTAACATAAACATCATAGTATATCAATGTTATATAATCACATATGCAATGAAATAGCAACATATTTTGGAGCGCAGGCCAGTGCCTGGTGTATGTAAGTGTAATCTAGCACAGCTCGCCTTCTCGCCCCGTTACAATTACTTACAAACTATTTCAAAAGTATTCTCACCTCCTGACACCGCAGCGCACAATATTTGGTATTCCCTTGGTATTATATGTGTTCTATTACTTACAAACTATTTCAAAAGTATTCTCACCTGACACCGCACAATATTTGGTATTATATGTGTTCTATGGAGGGATTAGTAAATCAATGAGTGGGCTATAAGTGAGGTCATTGAAGCTCACCTTCACATTATCAGGTACATATTATAGTCTATAACTTATAGAATTCTGTGGAATATAACTGCACAATGTAGGATCCTTACAATGTAGGATGCTTATAATTTCTTAATATAATATTTCATATCCTACCCCTTTCACACGGATAAATTTTAAGCCAGTATTCTGACTCCCAAAAATGTCTTTTAAAGGGTCCTTAAAAACATCTGAATCTTTTGCGTTAGACCTTACTAACACCAAGATAAGCCCAGTCTAGATAAATTAGGATAAAACAGGCTTTCGTTAAAGTTGACAGCCACGCTTCACTTCACCAGGCAGTCAAGGTTATCTAATTTAGAATCTGTATATTGGGTATATGATAAGTGCTATACCAGCTTTAATTAGGTTTAGATGTATCATTGATAAAGGAAATCACGTGTGAGAAAGGAAAGCACGTGTGAGAAAGTGTGAAGCAAAAATACTTTCGAATGTGGCACCGTATTACGGGTGACATCATGCTGAGATAACAGTGTATGTAAGGTATGTAAGGTATGTAAGGTATGTAAGGTATGTAAGGTTTGTGTGGGGTGGTTTGTTGTGAACTTGAAATACCAGGCAACCACGTCACGTGACAGTTATATGCAGCTGGTTTGAATTAAACGAGAATAATCACAGCTCAAAGAATGAGTATTTATAAATAACCTTACAAATAAAGTTTAAACTAGTGAAGATATTTATCATCCCTCTCAAAAAATGAAATCCAATAAGATTTTCCGGTATATAATTAAACTAAGTTTTAGAAAAGCGCTGTTTTAGAAAAGGCCAGAGTTAGGTATCTGTAATTTGGTGTGTACGATATGTCATTAAATGTGCAGTAACTTAATTAGAAATGTAGGAGTTTGTGTTGTATGTTGAGGGTCTGCAACTTAATAACGTTATTATCGCTAACGTCACCGGATAATAATTGTTTTAGATGTAATGAAATTCCGACACCTCGAATCTGAATATTCTCTATCAAATGATCAGACTTTAAAAATATCACCATATAATATCGCTTCAAAAAAGAAGCCGCGAAATAAAGCCGGCTCTGACACAGACTTAAACTACACTTAACCTTCCTTTATATCTGTTCCATCTTGTACGAGTACAGAAAGCACTAAAGCAGACATGTTCCGTATAACAACCGGCCTATTATCAACACGCCAGGAGGACCCCATTATCCGGGACCTTGTCAAAGGGTCTGTCCCTTGCCCCCTGCCCCCTGCCCCCCTGCCCCCCTGCCCCCTGCCCCCCTGCCCCCTGCCCCCCTGCCCCCCTGCCCCCCCCTGCCCCCCTGCCCCCCTGCCCCCCTGTCTCCTGTCCCCTCACTGTTCGTGACTGCACTTGTGCTGTGTAGGAAGACTGTGTGTAAAACTGATTATGGAGGAGGATTTAAAGTTGGCCAAATATTGATTATGTAATATGTGAACGACCCCTAACACATTTATTTTCACATCAATAACCTTCAACCCCTGTCCCCCTGTCCCCCTGTCCCCCTGTCCCCCTGTCCCCCTGCCCCCCTGCCCCCCTGCCCCCCTGCCCCCTGCCCCCCTCCCCCCTCCCCCCCTGGGTAGAGGACCTCGTGCTCTTCATTAGACTGGTGTATTTAGTCGGGTAGTCTACGTGATGTACTCTGGCCCGGATATTTTTGGCTAGTCCTTATTAAAATATCTGAGTAAAGCGAGTAATGTCATATCCTTAAAGTCCTAAGAAGGAACACTGATCACCGGATACACATACTTCAAACCCTTTGGAGCGTTGCAGCCGAATAGGGACATTATATTGGCTTAAACTAGCTAATTAAAACTAGCTGGTTAATTGGCTAATCGTCTCCAGAGCTAATTAGATATTGAATAAGGTTCAATAATTTCGGTTACGTAATGGTTAAACTTACAATACACTCTGAAGCCAAGAGTTGACATAGCAACAAAGAGTAGTCCTCCAATCTTTTCAATCGAATTATCGGTACTCCTCTTAAATGCTTTAAGCAATAAACAATTGAATTTCCTGAATCATATCCGGCCCAATGCCACGACCAACGACCTCAACTTAAACTTGAAATATTTTCTGGCACTGAAAACTATATAGATGTTTGAAAATCATGCATGTTCATGCTTGGTTTCCGACAAAGTCCTATAATATATTAGCACCATCAGATTTCCGGCCATCGCAGGGATCACGGGACAATTAGTTTTAACTTATAGTGCGGAAATGTAGGATAATAATAGCCGGGCAAGTTGCCAGTTTTGCTGGGCCAGTTGCCAGTATTACAAGGTGATATATTTATTTTATTCAGATACCGTATGTATTACATCATCAGACCGTAGCACAGGTTTCCTTCTCCCCGTTCTTCACAAGGATGTATCATAATTAAGGGGCTATAGTGTAGACTGGACTAACGGTTGGGGGCTAGTTGTTAGTCACGTGGTTGCTATGCGGGTCACGTGGTTGCTATGGGGCTAATTCATTGGTTGCTGCAGGAGATGAGGAATGGTTGGTAGGCTGCCAGGGGGGTTTAATAGAGTCCTGCATAACCCTAATGTAGACAGGAAGGCGAACAAGGTGTTACTACACTCCTTACTTCTAATTCTAATTGCTACACACACGCCTACTATAATTACTATAATTACTACATTATACTACTATAATTACTATAATTAATATAATTACTACATTATACTACTCTAATTACTACATTATTATCCCCACCTTGGATCATAAAACCTACACTGAACTGAGGTGTACGTAGTTTTACAGCTGTGGTGGTGATTTGTCAGCGGGAAATCTAATACTCCCTCTCTTTCTAATACTCCCTCTCTTTCTAATACTCTTTCGTTTACAGTACACGATTAGAATATTACATTCCGACTATGGAGAAGACAGAACAGCGTTTTATTGAATGCAGTACGGCAGTGGTCTGAATAGAGGTGGTAGTGATACTGCTTATACTACTGGTAACTGGTTACTACTGGTAACTACTGGTAACTACTGGTAACTACTGGTGACTACTGGTAACTACTGGTAACTACTGGTAACTACTGGTAACTACTGGTACCTACTGGTAACTACTGGTAACTACTGGAGTACTGGTGACTACTGGTAACTACTGGTAACTACTGGTAACTACTGGTAACTACTGGTAACTGACACCATGTACTACTTGCACAGTCAAATCTTTACTTACCGCCTCACTCGGTTCACTACTAGTTCACTACTTTTTCATTGCTTTACCCATCAGATAATTGCTTAGTGTACAACCAACCACAAAACTCCAGTAACTAGAGCTTGACTGTGCCACGAGGAAAAGAAGCTTTTTAAGTGTATGATTTTGAGAAGAATTACGATGAAGACAAATTTGTAAGATCAATTCGGTAATTTTTTCAGAAGAGCTTTTATTTTTATTGTGAGCAGTAAACATGTGACTAGTAAGAGTTAAAGTTGTACTGCATTATGGGGTTCGTTATCTTATTATCATAGTTACAGTTACACAGTTAGCTTAATATCATAGGCTATTCCTGTGTTTATCTATAATATAAATAATATGTAAATTCTAACATTTTGAAAGATGATGGTGGTGTGTAATTTATTGAGCTTTTTCTTCATTTACAACCAGCGTGAGTTTTGAATTGAGTATGTTTCACAATCACTGTCATTAAATCTTAAGTAGTATAAAGGGTATCTAACGGTTACCAAGGTTACAAGGAAAAATAACAAGACCGGTAATCGTTTTCCCTTATTACTAAATTCCAGAAACCCCCAAACAACATACCAATTCTCTTCTTACTAATTAATTACTAATTACCAATTCTCTAATTACTAATTAATTACTAATTACCAATTCTCTTCTGCTGCCAGTCACTCCAATAGAAGTACCCATCTAGGATGGAGAGACTAAACCCCTGACTCCCGTAGAGTTGTATCACTTCTCTTACCACGCCGTCCTCATACCCTGAAAACATAACTGTTAAAATTCCCACACTTTTTTATAACATTTACTGATAACAGTCTTAAAGTTACTAATAAAAGTCCTAAATGTTACTGATAACAATCTGAAGTGGTTACCCTGACAACCCTAACAATCTGAAGTGGTTACCCTCATGCAATTAAACCGTACAAATAAATAACAACTAAAAGTAACCTGTAGTAACCTGTAGTAACCTGTAGTAATAACAACTAAAAGTAACCTGTAGTAACCTGTAGTAACCTGTAGTAATAACAACTAAAAGTAACCTGTAGTAACCTGTAGTAACCTGTAGTAATAACAACTAAAAGTAACCTGTAGTAACCTGTAGTAACCTGTAGTAACCTGTAGTAATAACAACTAAAAGTAACCTGTAGCTTTAGTAACCTGTAGTAACCTGTAGTAACCTGCAGTAATAACAACTAAAAGTAACCTGTAGTAACCTGTAGTAACCTGTAGTAACCTGTAGTAACCTGTAGTAACCTGCAGTAATAACAACTAAAAGTAACCTGTAGTAACCTGTAGTAACCTGTAGTAATAACAACTAAAAGTAACCAATAGTAACCTGTAGTAACCTGTAGTAACCTGTAGTAACCTGAAGTAACCTGTAGTAACCTGTAGTAACCTGTAGTAATAACAACTAAAAGTAACCTGTAGTAACCTGTAGTAACCTGTAGTGACCTGTAGTAACCTGCAGTAATAACAACTAAAAGTAACCTGTAGTAACCTGTAGTAACCTGTAGTAATAACAACTAAAAGTAACCTGTAGCTGAAGTAACCTGTAGTAACCTGTAGTAACCTGCAGTAATAACAACTAAAAGTAACCTGTAGTAACCTGTAGTAACCTGTAGTAACCTGTAGTAACCTGTAGTAATAACAACTAAAAGTAACCTGTACTAGTAACCTGTAGTAACCTGTAGTAATAACAACTAAAAGTAACCTGTAGTAACCTGTAGTAACCTGTAGTAATAACAACTAAAAGTAACCTGTAGTAACCTGTAGTAACCTGTAGTAACCTGTAGTAACCTGTAGTAACCTGTAGTAACCTGTAGTAACCTGTAGTAATAACAACTAAAAGTAACCTGTAGTAACCTGTAGTAACCTGTAGTAACCTGTAGTAACCTGTAGTAATAACGACTAAAAGTAACCTGTAGTAACCTGTAGTAACCTGTAGTAACCTGTAGTAATAACGACTAAAAGTAACCTGTAGTAACCTGTAGTAACCTGTAGTAACCTGTAGTAACCTGTAGTAATAACAACTAAAAGTAACCTGTAGTAACCTGTAGTAACCTGTAGTAACCTGTAGTAACCTGTAGTAACCTGTAGTAATAACAACTAAAGTAACCTGTAGCCATGATCTGATCGGTGTACGCGTCAATCCAATAGACTATCTTGTTAGGCATGTCCAGTGCAATTCCATTAGGTTGACTTCTGAAGAGGGTTTAGAGTTGTGAAATAAGGAGCCTCAGGGTGAACCCCTAGTATCATGACAGTCAGTCAGTTTAGATATAAACATGACATGAGCATGGGAAGTTACAGTACCATGCCTCATGATATAGCAGAGTAGCGGGGACAGCTAACAATAACCCTTAATTAATCTTTGTTTAATGTTAGTTCCTTAGAGTGCACTGAGACAATTAGTCTAAAGAAATACCAGTAACACCAGTAAAAGGGGGTTTCAGGGTTTCATTGAGGAGCACTAGTCACTACCCAGCACTAATTACTAATTACACTAATTGGGAGCACTGCCCAGCACTGACGCCTTTAAATCTTTAATCACAATCGATTTAGATTTGTAAGCTGAACAGTGAGGTATTATTATATTGTAAACTGTAAAGGGTGTATAAGATAGAGGACGTTACCCTGATTCGGTGAGGTTAGCTAGAACAGTGAGGTTGGCTCCAGATAGTTTAGACCGGATAATCCGAGCGCTAACTCCCCGGTCACTCCAGAATACGTACCTGTGTAATGTTATTAGGTGCAACAAATAAGTAACGGTAACTTTAGGTAACGCCAATAGATAACGGTAACTTTAGGTAACGCCAATACGGTAAGTAACGGTAACTTTTGGTAACGCCAATACGGTAAGTAACGGTAACTTTTGGTAACGCCAATAAATAACGGTAACTTTAGGTAACGCCAATACGGTGAATAACGGTAACTTTTGATTTCGCTTTAGATGTTTGTAAGGAAAACAAAAGAAAACAACAAATATAGTAAATAATAATTTATTGTACCTAATTTGTAGTGACCTTCAATTATAATCAATATGCTTTAGTAGTGTGCATGTAATTAGTAGTAACAATTAGTGTAATTAGTGTGTGTAATTAAGTTCTAAAGTTTTAAAAGCCTGTGTAGGTGTTACTTAATTACTTTCAGTACAGTTAACTCTATTCTGAAGCGTTAGGATGAGATAAAAGTGACAGTTATTTACAGAGTGTATAATAACGGTCTGTAGTTGGTATTACTTAAGAACAAATCATTTAGCTGTCTTAAGGGGGCCGGGGGGGGTCTTCATCAAAATTCTCTCGAAATTGATTTTATAGTTGTTTCTGATAGAGGGGAGTGATATCTATCAGCTGCTTTTGGTCCCATGGAAAAATATTGTTCCTAGCCAAAATTATCGCCAGTCAAAGGTCAGCACTTATGTGTAATTGTATTGCGCGAGCGATTTTCAATCGCGCGCCCTGAAAATCGAGTCTAAAAATCTATCTTCTCCTACATTTTTTGAGCAATCACCCTGAAACTTTCAGAATATGTTCTATGGATCATTTAGAAGATATCTGTCGAGCCGAATTTTGAGATAGGCCTTAGAAGATTTTTTATTCAATTTTGAAAATCTTGGACCTGGAAAAATCGTCAAAAAATGAGGTCCAAGATTTTCAAAATTAAATAAAAAATCTTCTAAGGCCTATCTCAAAATTCGGCTCGACAGATATCTTCTAAATGATCCATAGAACATATCCTGAAAGTTTCAGGGTGATTGCTCAAAAATGTAGGAGAAGATAGATTTTTAGACTCGATTTTCAGGGCGCGCGATTGAAAATCGCTCGCGCAATACAATTACACATAAGCGCTGACCTTTGACTGGCGATAATTTTGGCTAGGAACAATATTTTTCCATGGGACCAAAAGCAGCTGATAGATATCACTCCCCTCTATCAGAAACAACTATAAAATCAATTTCGAGATAATTTTGATGAAGACCCCCCCCCCCCCCCGGCCCCCTTAAGTTATTTGCTAACGTTTAACAGTGTTCACACACTATTTGGTTGAGTGAGATGGTTGCAAAGTGGACGTAACGTCACCATTCTTATTTATAAACCACTCAAAAGTTACGCAACATTGGAATGTGTTGCGCTGTAAATTACTGTTCCAAACACTAAACGTGTTGGCTTACAAACGTGGACAATAATATGCTTGTTTTGAAGTGTTTGATAGTAATTTGCTTGCGTCCTTTAAGTAGGTACTGTATAATGTGTTTTAGATGTTTTACACAAATGTTTATTAGAATAATATGCAATGGAGAGTTTAGAGAAGGTAGAGGAAGAAAAATAAACTAAATTAGGTGATCCCAATAAACCGCTCAGTTCAAATAAAGGTCTGTTGAAACATGCATGAATCTCTATCATCACTACATTTGTATCGGAGTTTATTTTCAACACTTCAATGTTTCGTCGCACGACATTCCTCATCGCTAATACACAAAAACATGCCAGCACGCAACAATAGAATATGTTGCACTGCTGCAGTGATTTAATTAGGAAAGTGCGGCAATTAATTAGCAGAATGATAGATGTAGCCCTACAAGATAATAGTATTTGTGATAACAATGTCTGGAGTTGTGAAGGGTATCTATTCCCTGAGGAATAGGTGGAGTCATTGTCGCGTTGTGTCTACTAAACATACGGTACTAACTACTGCAGTCAGCTATCTCATCATACAAACAATCACACATTTCAGAGGGGCGAGACAAAAAGTTCTTCTTTCTAAAGCCTAGTTATAGAGTCCTTCTTTCTAAAGCCTAGTTATAGAGTCCTTCTTTCTAAAGCCTAGTTATAGAGTCCTTCTTTCTAAAGCCTAGTTATAGAGTCTTTCCTTCTAAAGCCTAGTTATAGAGTCCTTCCTTTTAGTCTAAAGCCTAATTATAAAGTCCTTACTTCTGAAGCCTAATTATAAAGTCCTTCCTTCTAGTCTAAAGCCTAATTATAGAGTCCTTCCTTCTAAAGCCTAATTATAGAGTCCTTCCTTCTAGTCTAAAGCCTAATTATAGAGTCCTTCTAGTCTAAAGCCTAATTATAGAGTCCTTCCTTTCTGAAGCCTAATTATAGAGTCCTTCCTTCTAGTCTAAAGCCTAGTTATAGAGTCCTTCCTTCTAGTCTAAAGCCTAATTATATAGTCCTTCCTTCTAAAGCCTAATTATAGAGTCCTTCCTTCTAGTCTAAAGCCTAATTATAGAGTCCTTCTAGTCTAAAGCCTAATTATAGAGTCCTTCCTTTCTGAAGCCTAATTATAGAGTCCTTCCGTCTAGTCTAAAGCCTAGTTATAGAGTCCTTCCTTCTAGTCTAAAGCCTAATTATAGAGTCCTTCCTTCTAAAGCCTAATTATAGAGTCCTTCCTTCTAGTCTAAAGCCTAATCATAGAGCCCTTCCTTCTGAAGCCTAGTTATAGAGTCCTTCCTTCTAAAGCCTAGTTATAGAGTCCTTCCTTCTGAAGCCTAGTTTAAATAGAGTCTTTCCTTTTAGTCTAAAGCCTAATAATAGAGTCCTTCCTTCTAGTCTAAAGCCTAGTTATAGAGTCCTTCCTTCTAAAGCCTAATTATAGAGTCCTTTCTTCTAAAGCCTAGTTATAGAGTCCTTTCTTCTGAAGCCTAATTATAGAGTCTTTCCTTTAAGTCTAAAGCCTAATTATAGAGTCCTTCCTTCTAGTCTAAAGCCTAGTTATAGAGTCCTTCCTTCTAGTCTAAAGCCTAGTTATAGAGTCCTTCCTTCTAAAGCCTAATTATAGAGTCCTTCCTTCTAAAGCCTAGTTATAGAGTCTTTCCTTCTAAATCCTAGTTATAGAGTCTTTCCTTCTAGTCTAAAGCCTAGTTATAGAGTCCTTCCTTCTAAAGCCTAATTATAGAGTCCTTCCTTCTAAAGCCTAGTTATAGAGTCCTTCCTTCTAAAGCCTAGTTATAGAGTCCTTCCTTCTAAAGCCTAATTATAGAGTCTTTCCTTCTAGTCTAAAGCCTAGTTATAGAGTCCTTCCTTCTAAAGCCTAATTATAGAGTCCTTCCTTCTAAAGCCTAGTTATAGAGTCTTTCCTTCTAGTCTAAAGCCTAATTATAGAGTCCTTCCTTCTAAAGCCTAGTTATAGAGTCCTTCCTTCTAAAGCCTAGTTATAGAGTCCTTCCTTCTAAAGCCTAATTATAGAGTCCTTCCTTCTAAAGCTTAATTATAGAGTCCTCCCTTCTAGTCTAAAGCCTAGTTATAGAGTCCTTCCTTCTAAAGCCTAATTATAGAGTCCTTCCTTCTAAAGCCTAGTTATAGAGTCTTTCCTTCTAGTCTAAAGCCTAGTTATAGAGTCCTTCCTTCTAAAGCCTAATTATAGAGTCCTTCCTTCTAAAGCCTAGTTATAGAGTCTTTCCTTCTAGTCTAAAGCCTAGTTATACAGTCCTTCCTTCTAAAGCCTAATTATAGAGTCCTTCCTTCTAGTCTAAAGCCTAATTATAGAGTCTTTCCTTCTAGTCTAAAGCCTAATTATAGAGTCCTTCCTTCTAGTCTAAAGCCTAGTTATAGAGTCCTTCCTTCTAGTCTAAAGCCTAGTTATAGAGTCCTTCCTTCTAAAGCCTAATTATAGAGTCCTTCCTTCTAAAGCCTAGTTATAGAGTCTTTCCTTCTAAATCCTAGTTATAGAGTCTTTCCTTCTAGTCTAAAGCCTAGTTATAGAGTCCTTCCTTCTAAAGCCTAGTTATAGAGTCCTTCCTTCTAAAGCCTAATTATAGAGTCTTTCCTTCTAGTCTAAAGCCTAGTTATAGAGTCCTTCCTTCTAGTCTAAAGCTTACTGACTGAATTGTGTTATACTGCTATAATGACCAAACTGCTATATATATTATATAATGACCAAACTTACATTCTGATTGTGATAGAATAAGTCCTAATTCCAAAAGACAAAACTATAGTTATGTCTGTGAATCTTATGTTGCACGTACAATACGTTTATCATGTTGCACGTACAATACGTTTCTCATGTTGCACGTACAATACGTTTCTCATATTGCACTTACAATACGTTTCTTATGTTGCACGTGTAATACGTGTATCACATTGCACTTACAATACGTTTCTCATGTTGCACGTGTAATACGTTTCTCATGTTGCACGTGTAATACGTTTATCATGTTGCACTTACAATACGTTTCTCATGTTGCACGTGTAATACGTGTATCATATTGCACTTACCCGTTTATTGGGTCCACTTTGACACTCCTGGGACTGTCCCCGAATGTAGCGAGGGTCGCTATCTCACTTCCGTCGTTTGTGATAACTACCAGTGAGTTACTGATATCGTCAACAAAGTAGATGTACTTGCTTATCCAGTCTATACTCAAACCTGGGGTATTTAATATTTTATCACTATTCATTAAATAATTAATATCATTAAATGAATTTCATTTCTCAGTGGTGGCTCCACTCAAACCTGGGGTATTTAATATTTTATCACTATTCATTAAATAATTAATATCATTAAATGAATTTCATTTTGTTAACTCAAAAATGTTTTTCTAGCGAGTTATGTTGAATAAAACGTATGATAAATAACGAAAGAGGCAGTGTTAATGTATGCCATGGCAGTGTTAGCATAAAAGAAGTTTGAATCTTGAAACAAGAGCTTCTGAGTACTCCACGAAGAGTAGTAGTAGTAGTAAGTAGTAGCTAGTGCTGGTAATGTGTAGAGTAAAAGTAAGTGAGTAAAGAAAAAGGATTGTTTTCAAAGTAAAAGGATTGTTTTCAAAATATTACTGCTGTCTCACGAGTCATTATTAGGACTCACTCCAACGTATATTCAATACATTTTTCGGTACACTCATCATGGTCACACATTAAAACTTATGATTCCATCGTTTAACTCTAAGTTTGGTGAGCGAAGCTTCTCAGAGGTGGCTCCAAAGATCTACAACCGTCTGCCTACTACCATCACATCAGCTGAATCTCTGGAATCCTTTAAAGCATTTCTAAAAACTTTCTTATTCAAATTGTCTCAGCATGAACTTTGTCACTGACCGATTTTGGCCTATATTAGTTCTTCTTTAGTGTTAGTTCTTTAATTTTACACTTCACTCTTTGATTTTAGTATGATCGATATATTTTCAAGTATATGATAAGATGATAGCAGTCCTAACATTTATCATGATAGTGTCTGGGATGACTAGATGAAACACTGAGTTTAAGTGTATCTTAATAGTGGTGTTCTTAAACTTCAATTTATTATTATTATAAAGTAGGAAAATGTAGGTTAAAACTAACCTGAGGGTTGTCCAACATTTTCTCTGACTATAACAGGACTCGCTCCTGCTTCAACCTTCACTATTTGCTGAAATTATATTTATGCTTCACTATTTGCTGAAATAATATTTATCCGTTAAAATAACCTAAGCAATAAAATATGATATATTTTTCTTCAAATTGCAAACTTTAAATAAGTTTAAGTAATCATAATTTTAGTCCTTAACTTAATATAACTTAATATAAAGATTAATATAAATATTTCCTCATTTACCACATTGACTAACATGGTGTTGTGTCAGTCCCTAGGTGGATAGCCAGCAAAGAGGTAAGAATGTAAGGAATGTAACAACAATGTGAATAATGTGAATTATGATCCCACACGCCACCATCTGTTTAACAGAACAAATTCAGGCTCACTACACATGGTATCTAACAGATGTTTATGTAAAATAGCACAACAAAGTATACATAATTAGTTTATAAATAGTATATCATATTATATAATATGTAGAAATTGATTGATAGATTGGTGGAGCACCACCCGGACAATTAGGAGGTACTCGGCACTAAAATGTTAAATTGCAATCAATTTTAAGGTATACCCACATTATATGTTAATATAATAACACTACCAGGAAATCAAAATAATTCTTATCTCTCACATTAATTTAGAACAGTGACACAGGGTCTGAAAGGCACAGATACTATATCTAGTATATAGTTGGTTAGGCAGACTATCTAGTATATGTTATATAGTTGGTTAGGAAGACTATCTAGTATGTTATATAGTTGGTTAGGCAGACTATCTAACTTATTTTATATAGTTGGTTAGGCAGTCTATCTAACTTATGTTATATAGTTGGTTAGGCAGACTATTTACTTATTTTATATAGTTGGTTAGGCAGACTATCTACTTACAGAATATCTGATGTCACTCCAGTACACAGTGTTGTATATAGTTGGTTAGGCAGACTATTTACTTACAGAATATCTGATGTCACTCCAGTACACAGTGTCAGTCAACTGATCGTAGTCTATACCAACTCCTACTTGCATCAGATCGTCTCCTGGTTATGTGAACTTCAGTTAGATTATAAAAGTAAGGGGTAATGTGAACTTCAGTTAGATTATAAAAGTAAGGGGTAATGTGAACTTCAGTTAGATTATAAAAGTAAGGGGTAATGTGAACTTCAGTTAGATTATAAAAGACTCTATCACACGTAAGGGGAAAGATTGTTAATATTGATTACTGACTATACACTACCTTACAAGACTTTTTTATAACGTACGAAATGCGACGGTTTTCCCGAAATTTCGCCATATTTTCGGACCGCCAAAATTTCGGTCGTCGTAATAGAATCCGTCGCATTATTTTTAGCTTATTCCAATAATTGTGGCTTCATCGATTAATTTTGTTCTTAAAAAGTTGGTGATATGATGGTGGGACAAATAAACACAATATTCCATGATGAATTTAATGTCAAGTAATACGTTTTAAATTTACAATAAATTACATTTATGTGCTAACATAAACGTCTTATAAGAGACTAAGTCAAGATAAACAATTTAATACCAAACTCAATAAGTGAAACTGAAAGAGTCGAGCCGGACCCCTATTAGAGGAAGATGAAGAAATCAAGTTTCATTTTGTTTCAACATGATTTTACCGATTTTTAGAAAATTTTGAATTTCCTTTGTGTCAGAAAACAAAATGATGAAAAATACCCTTATTTTCTGTGACGTCCGAAATGTGACGGTTTTTGTTCAATTTCGCCATATTTTCGGACCGCCAAAATTTCGGTCGTCGCAAATTGGTCCGCCACAAAAATGTCTTGTAAGGTAGTAGAAAATACAACACGCGGTATTCCTTAATTTCAGTTTAAACATCTCTTTAATTAACAATTATTTCTCATCCACTGACTTTACTTCTACATTTCACACCGTTTACTATTGCAATCTCCTCTAGTGCTCCTTTATTCAGATATTTTGGCACTTTGCCAATGTTTGCGATAATGACCTCATAAGCGCAAATCCAGGCCATGTGTATAATAAAACATGGCCTCGATACATTGTTTATTGTATATTGTATACATTGTTTATTGTATAGGATGAACAATACCGCCCTTTAACTCGTGTATCGTGTATTTTTAAATTCTGTTTTGCATACTTTGTTTACGGACTGTCGGGACTGTAAGCTACGTAGCGTAACAGTAGGGGATTTTTAGAAGGCGGTTTATTCATGTTTACATTACTGCGGTTTAAGTGCACGTTTATCTTTTTGAAAACGCCATACGTACGCGATATCAAGTCACGCATTGAATACTAAACAAAAGGATAACAATAGAAATGAACAGCTGTAATATCACTAATGATTAATAATTAATAATCTCACCAAGTCCTAGAACAGGATAACAATAGAAATGAACAGCTGTAATATCACTAATAATTAATAATTAATTAACTCACCAAGTCCTAACACAGACTCCTGTTGAGACTCCAAGTCCACAATAACAACACTCAGCTGGTCAGTATAGAGCAGAGTCTGTGTACCCTTAGTGCACGTGCCAGTCTCCACATCCACATGGTTACCTTCCTGACACAGACACACTGGACTTGTGGTGCCGTTGTTAGAGCTGGTCACACAGAGGAACTCACAGGTTGTGCTGTCACATGGGTTAGGTTGCAGGGGGGTCAGCTGGTAACTGAATACTGATACTGCTGGGATGTCTTCTAGCTGGAGGGAATATTTGATTTTGTTTATCTGATTTTATTACGGGTTATTTGCTGATATATTAGATCATACAGTAGTGATCTTAGTTGAAGTTGGCCCCTGGTATGTGATTTAGAAGAAACTGGATGATGTATTGAACTGGACGTAAAGAAGTTGAGAGAGGTAAACTGACAATATCAAAGAGGCTTTAACTTAATTAATTAACTTAATTAATAATTTAACTTAATTAATAATTTAACTTAATTAATAATTTAGCTTAATTAATAATTTAATATTATTGAGAATGATATGCTTTTAAAAATAAAAACAAATTCACAAGAATATTTTATCCGATTAACATAATTTAAAAGACAATTATTTTAGTAAAAGCTCGCAATGAATAATGATCTTTTAAACTACCTCCAAGCCCATGAACTGTAGAGGCTGTTGGATTATCATTCCAGAGCTCTCAAATCGTGTTATCAGTACTCCATTCTCCTGCAGAAAATAAAAGTTGTTAGTTAAACTTAATTTCAAAGCTGTAGAATTTAGCATAAAGTATTCAGATATAAAGAAATGTATATCATGGATGTAAATTCCAGTATTTCTGCCTTTCACACCAGAGGTGGCCTTGAAACCCTATATGTAGTGACAATTAATAACAGTCCTGACACTGTTATTAAGAACTAAAACATAAAACGAAGGTGGTGTTAGTTCAGGTGGTGTTAGTTCAGGTGGTGTTAGTTCAGGTGGTGTTAGTTCAGGTGGTGTTAGTTCAGGTGGTGTTAGTTCAGGTAGTGTTAGTTCTCTAATTCTCACCTCTCCCCCAGAAGCAACATGAGCAGTAACAACTCCTCCATCAGGTAAACAAGCCAGGTAAGCCAGCTTGGTTACAGGTGGTCGTGATCCTGGTACTTGCATCTTACTTCCCACACAGTCCTCTGGTCTGTGGTATTTACTGGGTCATCTTATTGTTGAGCTACAGTTCATGAAATTTAATGACGGCTAGATGTACAACTATTATACAATGTACAATGTACAACTATGTACATCTATTATACAATGTACTATGTACTAATGTACAACTATCGAATAATATGTACATTTTTGTACAATCAAAACTTGGAAGTATTAAATGTAACACTGTATGTGATAGTTGTATGATAATGTACCCGCAGAATGGAGATATTGTCAGAATGGTATCAGGAGCGTTTGAATCTTCTCCCAGCGTCATAACAACCAGGTTACCAGTTGGGTTGAGCGATATCCCTGTAGAAAAGTTATACACAATGTATAATGTATAATGCATAATGTATAATGTATAATGCATAATGTATAGTTGAGCGATAACCGTGTATAAAAGTTATTGGAAAACCGAAAACTCTTACACAAACTTGGACATTTCATTGAGCAATACATTTTATTAGATTTATCGGTATCAATCATAGTTTGTGATTCCTGGGATTCTTTGCACAGACTGATACAACTGAAGAATAAAAAAAAGAAACTAACCAGACGGAAAGCTCAAGCCTGCAGCAACAACTGTAATTCCCGTACCATCTAGTCCAGCGAACATAACATTACCGCTGTAGGGCTCCGTCCAGAAGAACCCTCCCCTGGTTTGATCCACCACCAGATCAAACGGGAGGTTGTCAGGAGGACGGACTAGAAGTGTCCTTTTATTCGTACCACTGAGGATTGTTGTTATGTTAGCATCAACTCCTTCGTCTTTTATCTACAATTATAAACACAAAAGTGGCTTGTAAGTAGTAGATAGTAACTAATAAATCAAGTTTATAGAATTCAGAAAAGATTATCTTCTTATCCAGTAAGATATTTGTTGATGCAACTCACTCGGTGACGTATATGGTGGATATAGAGTGATCTGTCCAGTAAATGTTTCCCGTGGAGACGTCTATATCAATACCAGTGGGGTGGTGTATTGAGTTGGTGGAAACAAGTTCTTTTACAGGTCCTATTAGAAGATTTTCATTAGTTCTCAAATTATCCTCCAGTAGACCACATGTAAGGAGGTAATAACACAATTAATTCCAAGCTACAAAATATTGTAAAAAACGAAACTTACGGTCGTCATCAGAGCTGGTGAGCACTTTATAAATAGAGTCCTCAGTCGACAGATAAAGTAAGTTTGTCTTTGCGTTACTGGCCAACGAGATAAAACTTGTTCCCTCAAACTGAAAATATGGTTTCCTTTAATTTCGTTTTGATTTCAGGGCAACATCAGATGACCTGGTTCTGTAATTCCGATGCCACAAATATTGGAACTATAGATAGAGTTCAGCAATTATGTACATACCTTTAAGGAACTGAGGGTGCTGTCAATGCTTTCTGTGATAGGGAACTGGTATATTGATCCTTTCAGAGCTATGCTTAATTTCTCATCTGAAATATTCACTTATTTGTAAAATGGAAAATGTGTTATGGCTTTAGAATCATCAAGACACATAGCAGTCACACACAGTGCTAATCAGACTGATACCACGACATTATTTAGAGAATTAGGCATTATATGAGAACACGATTATATTGTAATAAACCAATACATTTGTGACTTCATATTCACAAATATGGATGAGGACTCAATGAACATGCATTAATTTTTGTGAATAATTCTTGTGGGAATAATTTGCAGTTCAAAACTTTACAGAATAATTGTAACACATACCACATGAAGCAAAACATGAGGTTGTTACACGTTCTGAGCATCTCAAGCAGCCGTCTTGCAATCTCACAATATCTGTTAAAGTTGAAATCATCAAATAGGATCAGAAATATTTTAGACTAGATAGGAACTGAAACATAAAATAGAAGCAGGCAGCATTTTGTGTTTCAGATATATTTCTGATCACTAAGGATCCGTGATTGGATAATGGTGTTATAAAAATATGGAATGTCAAATCTTTAAATTTAAAAGCACTCACCAAAGAGCTGAAATAGCAGAACAAAGACTGCTATGTTCATCTAAAAATATTCAATTTGTTAATTACAGAAACAAAAACAATAGTAAGGAAGGCTAGATAACACACAATTCTTTATTCTTTTTTTAAATCAAACAATATATTATATTATATTAAAGTCACTATTGTGACGGTACATTAGAACTAGACAGAAACAAAGTGTGAAGGGCCTGAACGGAACCCCTCGGTTTCAGTTCCTTGTTTAACACTGCTGTACAGCAAGAACATCCACCGGGTTCTCCAAGGATGGGCACATAGCTCACTTCACACAATGCTCTGTCAAATGTTGCTTATATACCAAGGATCTACAGGAAATATTTCCTTGTAAGTTTTAGAGGGCGATCTGTGAACAGACAACTACCTCATTCCCAACTATATGCAATAAATTAAAACACACAATTATCAACTCAGCAGTCTTATCAGTAAACATACATAGTATAGGTCAAACATGTACATTTTCATCTCATTATACAAATCACGGAGTAACAGAATAAATGAATTCCAAACGTCATTACGAAATCAAAGCTAGTTCAATACATCTAATTTTAAGCAAAACATATGTATGTATTAAGTCCTACAAAAAATTTGTTCTTCAAAATACGTGGCTTTCTCCTTATCTCATCTTAAAAGTGAAACATGCTAAATACACTTGAAATACATGCACGAGCGGTGATTGTTTCTGTAAGCATGTTAAATTCGGTTATAGTTAACTTTAATATTTTTTACAGAATTAAAATACCTCATATTTTTCAAACACCAAATCGCTGTTTGAATGTGGGACAATTTTGAAAAACTAAACTGAAGTAGTAGCAAAACTGCCCGTTTTGCTCTAAAAACACACTTTTTTGGAAATATTACTGGCGTATCCTCTAAGTTCACCTAATTTTTCCAAATTTTTGTTTCTACTTTAAGTGTTGGCACCAAACGTGAGATTCAGCTATCAGAAGTCTCATACAACCTCATCCCTGCCCCTATAATGGAGTAGATCATGTGTTTTGTTAAAATGTTAAAAGAAAATATTATTGGTAGCAATGAATTGTGCTCTGCCAATTGCAACACTAACAAGAATTTCGCCGCGGTTAAACCATGCACGATAAATTTTCCCTACGATGTACTTATACCATCAATTCTTTTGAGTGAAAAATGTGACTGGAAAAAAGTGCAACATATTTACATACTAGTTTTTTATAAATGAGTAGGATTCGTGCATGGTAAAAATTGACGATTTATTTGACCAATGCAGCGCAGAGCATCAACAATAAATTAATCCAGAAAATTGCGGAAAATAACTTTGCGAAGGAGGTATTTCACTGCAATTAATTAACACATGGCTAGCGTCGCGCACAGCATAACAGACGCTTCCTATACACTTAATTATAGGGGAGTGGTCTATATTGTGAAGGAGCAGACTTTTGTCATCACTGCAGGTCCATCGGGCCACCTCATATATCCAAACCCGATTACTTATTCCCTACGATCTTTTTACCTTCGGCAAGAGTAGGGAAAAAATTTGATTGTGCTCTGCCAATTGCATCACTTCATTTAATTGAATGTATATATACATATATACAGTATATATATATATATATATACTGTTTGACACACTTTTCAACTATTTCTATTTTTAAGCACCAGCCACCAAATGATAGCTGCCTCTGTTGTAAGGGTACCTTGGCCTTCTAAACCAACATGGTTGTGTAGTGTAAACCATAGTATCATACTATACTTTCCTATATTGTACTGTACTCAATGAAACAAGATTTTGTTTCAATGAAACCCACGACCCTCGGCCTGAGGTGGCAATTGGGTTATGACGGACTTAACTGTATGGGTCAACTACTGAAACTGTATTGTTTACTATCTTATTCATTATACTGGACATGAGATGACGAAGTATCTTAAGCAGCACTTTATACCCCCACTTAGAACTTGATTAGTCACGAACAATAGAATCATCAAAAACCAATACAATAAAACATCTTGATCAATAAATGCCTAGCAGCACCAGACAGCAGCCGTGTACCTTTTTCGACTCCGTGGATTCCCTGATGGACTTTTGTTTACTTTTGTTAATAATCGGGCCAACCTTTCTTTCTCGAAACATGTATCCTATTGTATTTCATTTTGTCATACGTTGTATGACCCGCCGCGCACGGAGTGCGCGGCTCCCCCTGTATCGTCAGGACGATAAAGTGAAACGACCGTTGGGGTCGCAACGTGATACAAATTTCATTATAATATTAAGATGTGAAGATATACTAGATATTACTACGAAATAGAGGTATACCAAATTGGCCCTTGATATTAACTATAACCGTGTTGATGGTTTTAAATTTTGTATGTTGTAAGTACTTTAGTTTGTGAAGCGTTTACTCCTCCCCTCAGCAAGACAGTTTAAGTTAGATTGTAGATTAATAATAATAATTGTCAAATGACGTTATATATTATATAACAGTTATAAATGTTCAATAGTTGTAGAGCGATTTCAAGAGTAGTGCCTAGTGGTCCACAGGGGTCCGAAAAAGCCGTACAGGCACTTGGGTCCTTATCCTTGTCCCTAATCTCAATTGGATTCGGTTTACACAAAACATGAACATTTAGACGTACACATTGACACGATATTTATTAGAAAGCAAAAAGTATAAAATAATACGTGCGTGCGCGGCTTGAGCCGCGCCGCATAAGAACGGATGCGTGCAGGGGCTGGAGTACGCTTGTATGTAGATTAATGAAATGTTGCATTGTAAATATTTAGAACTGACAATATATTATGATCTAATAGTAAATTCTACAAAGCTGGCTTTGGATTTAGGTAAGATTATAATTTATTTCAAAAAAACCACGGATAGTTTTAAATTTATTTCTATTTGTCGTATAATCATAAACAATTTAATCCTGTTTTCAAGAATGCGCGGCTTTGGCGGCCAATTATTGATTTATACATTAAATTGAATTTTAAATAGAAATGTGAATATATTAAAATTTAAAACTTTCAAAACGGAGGCTTATAAATATTATTATATTTGATATTATGATTGTAAAATAAAGGATAAAATTTTAAATTTGTTTCACTAAATGCTAAAAATAATTTGTTTCACTAATTTGCCATCATTGAGTAACGAATAGAAAGCACATTTCTTTACGATTTCCACTTATATCACTAAGACCTGTGATAATTTGACACACGCTGTAACCCCTTTTGAGCGCCGGCCGGCCGGCGTGCACGCTTCGCGTGCACGAGAGGTATACAACGTGTAGCAATAGTAAAAATAATTTGTTTCACTAATTTGCCATCATTGAGTAACGAACAGAAAGCACATTTCTTTACGATTTCCACTTATATCACTAAGACCTGTGATAATTTTGTAATGAACTTATTGTGTTATGTCATGAGTCATTAAAAAATAAATAAAAAGATAATCGGAAGAGCGGATGATCACATCAGAAATAAAATTATTAAGACTTTCTTACGTCTAGATATCATTTTTAAAACACGATTGGATATGCGAATCACGAATATTTTAATTGCAAGTAAAGTATTAATCATCACTTATACTACTTAATCGTTAGTAAACAGTTTAATGAACGCCAGAAGTAGCCACAGGATTTTTGCTCCAATTTTGATAAATATATATTTCGGTACTAAAAATTGTCCAAAAATGTAATTTAATGTGAAACAAAATTTAAAAATCTGAAAATTATGCAGGGCACATTTATTTTACCATCAACCATGGGCCTTGACAATTGTTAATGGTCTGGCCCGGCGCGCGCTACTCGATAGCACTTGCCATCGAGAAGAATGAAGAAAGCGTTGCGCGCTACTTCGAAGAAATTTAGACGAGTAACATCCATTGCATCAACCATGGGCCTACCCATAATGCATGCATACTACGTGACAGGCTTGTTTCCCAAACTACTGTAATACAAGCGCAAAAGGGCTTTGTACTACAATTATTTTAAATTTCAAAGTAGTTATATTTGGTTTGCGTATAAAAACGTAAATGTACGTTTGCTATACAAAGCAACGATCTGGAAGGGTTGATGCATAGGTGATTGACGATGTCAACCCATCGAGATCGATGCTCTGCGAAGCAGAGCAACGATCGACGAAACGAAGCAAGAATGCTAGTTTGCGCGGCGCGTCGAAGCGGCGAAGTCCCCCAAATGCATTGTCAATCAAATATACGTGTGTCATTTCAAACTTGGGGTGAAAATTATTGATTTTATTATAGTAGAAATATGATATTTTTAATTTACAACTTAAAATTTTTAAATAATATATTTAAAAATATTTGAACCCACGTGTACATGCCGCGAAAAGTTTGATAGACGTTGAATTATTTAAATTAATGGCATCGTGCACGAAAACATGAACAGATTAAAAAAGGTCTACAACGTGTATCATTGTTGATTGTAGCGCGCGATGCACTATTGTCACGAGTGCACAGCTCCCCCTGTATCATAAAAACGACCGTGGGTGTCAATATTACGAGGTGATACAAATAGAATACAAAGCCGCGCAGCGCGTCAAATAATTCTTTTAGCAACCAAATTCGGTAGATTGTAGATCGGCGAATTGTAGCGCGATGCACTACTGGGTCGCGCGCGCATCAAATAATGCTTCTCGCAACCACAGTGCACAGATCGTATGCAGATCGGCGAAATGCGAAGGATCGACATCGTGATTTAAATCGGCGAAATGCACCATTCCCAGCAAACCTTATGTCACTGGCTGGCCAGTGCACAGTGGTTGTAGGTTTATAACCTACCAGGACGCACGCCGAGTTGGACTGTAAAACATATATTTTACGAGTATCACCCATTAAGCCAATGGCCGTGTTACAGTTATAAGTAGTGCGCCATCGACAGTGAGCCGCGCTTGCCGACTGTAGGATGGTTTTTAAGCGCTAATTTCGGCCAGCACAAAATTCTTGAAACAAATGCGTATTGAGTAACCTTCCCTTGATCCAATTTTCAGAATGATCGAATTCCATGCTTCCAATAAAACTTTACTGCAGCTGGCGGGTTCGCTAGATTAGGTAGTGCGCCATCGACAGTGAGCCGCGCGTGCCGACTGTAGGATGGTTTTTTAGCGCTAATTTCGGCCAGCACAATTTTCTTCACACTAATAGATATTAAGTATTCTTCCCGACCTCCGATTGCAATAAAAATTGGAAAGCTTACTCATAGACTTACAATTCACCTAACCATGTGCTTTTGCGCCACTTCGGGCGCGCTTGTTTCACAAGTCAAGAAAAGCACCTATCCACGAACCCCGATGGGAAGGTTCGTGCGCTCGTGCGCAGTGCTGACAACAGCGTCTATGTAGCGCATGTAGTCTTGGTACTTCTCACTCTAGTATGCAGTAACCACTTTTCAGGTTTCTATAGTACATAGTGACAGTGTATAGGGGTTAATTAGGTATAAACTACAGTACAGCTGTACTTACACCTAAATTCACAAGCATGCAAGCTCAACTGGTCCAATGAGCGGGAAACGGAGGATGGTCAGCCCCCTGTCACCCGATCTTGAGGTGACGTACGACATCTCGTTTACGCAATCAATGTCTGAAAGGCTACACACGTCGCATATGAGGACAAAAGCGCGGGTAATTTTGGCACCACTGTAGAGTGGTGCCAAAATCGTTGGGTGGGTTTATGGCTAGAGCCCTTTTACCGCCGTGAGGCGGGCGCGCGCTACTGCAAGCGCAAGGGCTCTGGATAGAGCAAGACTTACAAGGAAGGTGTCCGAAAAGTTTAAAGCATATCTAACCATCAGACATTATGTTACAGCTAAAAGCAGCGTATTTTACCCCATTTTGATCACTATATCAACTCCGATATCCACCAAATTTTTCGGACAGTTGTGAAAGCCCTATTGGAAGGTCGTTGCCAATTTTCAAAATGATCTCATTCAAGGAACTGAAGATATATCCAAATAATACGACAAAAATCAACGAATTTGGTCAAATTTGGTCAAATTACGCAACTTTTATAGCAAATTTTGCTCCAAAAGCCGCGCACCATCAAATATGGCACCTAGGCGAAACTCACTGATCTTTTCAAAAAGGTACGACAAATTTGGTATTGTGAAATTCTCACAGTCTCTAGAAAACAATGGTACAAAAATTTTTAAAATCCGAGCAGGTTTATTTTTATAATGCACCCCCTAGCTAGATGGAGGTTTGCTCTATACATAACATGATACAGAGCCCTTCATTTTGCAAGTCATTATGCATAATTGAATTACATATATTCGTATGCGAAGCTTGGCTTATTGGACGAGAGCAACTGTTGGCACCGTTTCACTACAAATGGCAGAGTTTGATCAAAAACCTGGTTTCAGCTCCCCCTGTGGAGTGCTCATTGATAACAACTAAATTGTGAATGCTTTTGCGCGTAGTACGCATCGAGAATTTGGCAAAAACGATGTGACTATTTTAAAAAATTGTCACATCGTTGGGTTGATTTAATACAGTTGCAGAAAATTATTCAAACTTTTAGCAAAAAGGGCACATTTTGACCACCTTTTTGGATTTTTACCCGGGGGAAAATTAAGGGATTTGTTTTATTTTTATACCATCATGTGTTGCTGTATTTCAGTGCATCTATCTTCATGCAAATTTTGCTGATATGCCAACGAAATGAACTTTTCTGGCTTATTTTTTGGCCTATTTTGGGCCAAAAATACGTCTAGAAAGGTGTATCTGAAGTCCCTAGCGTATCGAGCAGAAAATGCCCGTTTCCTGCATGCTAGCTAATTCACTTTACAGTCGATTTTCGAGATTTTTCTAAAAGGCCGGGCCTCTAGTTGAATTTTTAAACTAACTTAAATCGATGTATTTTTGGACGCTGATTCAGGATCACCCCCATGACACAAGTAAAGCTGGTTAAAATGCTTCCCTGGCCTGGCGAGATATCGGCGAAAAACTGTCTCGATCACGCAATATGACCAAGTAAGGAAGTTGGTCTAATTTCTCGTTTAAAGGATGATTCTATATTGATGGTTGACTTATCGTACTTTAATGCAGGGCTTTTTGCCATATTGTCGCAGCCTCCGTAATTTATAGAAATCATGACATTATGTAAATTGTAAATCAGCAAATTCACAAGAAATACTGAAAGAGGTAATGGAGCTAAGCTAAGTTTGTATAAGGTTTTGATGGTTGACTTATTGTAGATTTAAATTGGATCGGCAGAAAGTTTTCTTGAGCAGCCGAATCTGTAAGGTTGTTTACTTTCCCACTGGTGAAAAACTTAATTATTATATTAAATCTATTTTTCAGTAAAATATTTAAAAACATTGAATGCAAAATTTTAAAAGTTACAAAAATCACAATCATATTGTGTTCTAAAGAATCCCTGAATATGGAGCAATAATTAAAATGGAGAGAAATAAACAAAAATTATGGACAAGAAGAACCAGAATTTTTAAAAATTATAAAAAGTTAGTGATCATAGCAAATTAGCAATAATAAGATCCGACAGGTTTATGTAAGAGTAATTATAAACTATAGTTTGCGCTTATTTTATTTAAAAATTAAGTTAAGATTCTTCATAACCATTCCAGATATCAAAATTAGACATTGCTTTTTGAAATTTCGTACATTGTGCTACACGTCTCTTTAAATATGGTATTCTAGTTTCTCTAACTATTTTTTCTAACAATGTTCTGGGTCAACGTATCACAATCAAACTGGTGTTTGTTGACTCCCTTCATTCACGTTTCCAGTGTTCGCTCCTGTGCTTGCTGTATTACTCGCCCTTCCTCCTGAAAAAAGAAACTGTACAAAAACCTCATTGTCGTGGTAAAATATCCGTAGCTATTCAATTAAAAACCCGCTGTCAGGACAATAAGGTTGATAAATAAATATCCATAGTATTAATATTCATACATTAATTTTGTATTACCATGACTTGTAGAAGTTGTAACGTTGATAGTGTACTGATAAGACATCTGCATTTTCAACCAGATAAATGATCTGAAGCTAGACACGGTCAGACTATAGATGTAGAAGTTGCTGATGTTTAAAGACAGGAGCGAGAAAGTAACTCTAGAAAACGTGGTGTGGAATGTACTCTTGCTCTTGTCATCTACACTAACGATAGATTCCCCAACACGGTAAGCGACGTATGGTAGTAGAGACAAGCAGAAGACTGTGGCTGTAAGGACTGTTGTCACGATCCCCTGCCACTTTAAACTTTCTCTTCTCCTGGAAACGACTTTTCTGGCTTCAATCAGCAAACAAAGGGTGGTTAATACAACCAGGCATATTGGAATAAAAGCGAATAGCACTGCCAAAAAAGGCCTCAGATAGTGCCAAACCTCTGATGAGAAACCATATTCGCATTGATAGCCCCTATACGAAAAGAAAACATCATCTTTATCTACAAGAAGGAGTGTCCCAGGTAAGATGAAAGCTGCCAACCAGCATGCCAAGCAGATCAAGTGTGCTTTCTTCGAAGTGGTTGTTCCAAATCTGAAGGGATATTTCAAGAGGAGCAGCTTGCTGGTTGTCATGGCACAGATGAGGAACACACTCGTAAGGTTTGAATAGTACCATGTATAGGATAACAAGTAGCAGAAGAAATTTCCTAGCACCCACTTATCAGAGATGATAGAGACCATCCTTGGGAGAACGTAGGTAGCAGATACAATCAGGTCACAGAATGCCATGTGCTGGATGACGACAACGATGACTCGGTGAAGTTTAAAGGCCTTGTACTTTATGGATCCTATGAGAATGGTTGTGTCTCCTATTAAAGATGAGGCAATGACGAATAGATAGTATCCGGCCCAAGTGTATCTTATAGCATCATTTTGAATACCATAAGCAGTCTTATTACTGTAATCATCATAATATTGGGTTGTTGGCATGATAAAGTATTTGCGAAAATGGACAACTATTGCATGAGCGACAAGAACGGAAATGAGCTATACATTTTGTGATTAATCCCATTTCTTATATCTTGAGGGGACATGGAGCAGTTTTGCTACTCAATTTAAAAATTCAGAGGTTCCCTAGAGGCCTTCCTACAATTGAGTCCAGTTCTCACGGTTTCTCTTTCTTTCATAATTACCATTATCCTATTTGATCTTCCACTTGCACTTGAGGTTATCCATTTCTTATATCTTAAGGGGACATGGAGTAATTTTGATACTCAATTTACAGATTTAGAGTTAGCCTTTTTGTAGGCTGGTCAAAAGGAAAAGGCAGGGCTTTTTGCCATGCTGCAGCCTCCTTAATCTAGAGACATCATTATTGTCAGTTTCGCAAACCGCACCAAACAACCAATTGTGCTAAGGAGCTGGATCTGACCGGAGTGATATAGACCATAATTATTACTCACGTATTGTCTTAGCTCATCTTTCTGTTACACAACAAACAAATTCACAAGAAATAATGAAATATGTAATGATATGAAGGTAATGATATGAACGTGGGCAGTGAATCTGAAGGATGATTTATTGTAGTTATATGTTTCAGATTGGAGCGTCAGAATGTTTTCTTCTGTAGCGAAATTTGTAAAGTTGTTTACTTTTCCACTGTTGGAAAACTAAATTATAAATCTTTAGTTTATGTACTATGCTTCATTTTATGGGTAATTTCGAATTTATTATAAAATTATTGTTATTTATTTTAAATTTAATTATTATAAATTGTGTCTAAGTTTGATACCAGTTAGACCCCAGCTAGAGGGCAGGTAACGCATCACAAAATGGAGAGAGATGGAGTCTTTGTTCTAGCTAAACGACACTTTCTGAGTATGTGAGGTAGGTAACAGAACTTGATGATTTATTTGGTAATTGTTGGGTCTTTATAGTTGGACCTTCTCTTGTCTTGCCACCAACAAATCATCTGATCTCATTAATGCTTGCCCTGCCAATGACAAGCTATGAATTGGCAGGGCCAGCCTGATTCTGTTAACTATTTTGTGTATGACATGATGCTGTTGTAAAACAATTTCATTATGAACTATGGGTTTACAAAGATTTGTCTTGTCTCGTGAGTTCACTGAACTATCTTAAATTGAACACTTGAACAAGATTATTCAGAAATAGATTATATATGTGCTCCTAAACTTCTGTCCTGTCTAAGATATATGTCATTGTGCAAGAACTCAACTTGTATTTTACTGCGGTCTGTCTGCAGTATGTATCGTTTAGCTAGAACAAAGACACTATCTTGTATTGCAAAACGTGAGAGGTCTGAGGTGCTAGCTAGAAGGCACATACTGCAGAACAATATGTCCTAGCTAGACGGCACGTAACGCATCTCGTAATTGATTACATGACGCGCTATGTGCCGTCCAGCTCTAGCTGGGTTCTAATGTTGTAGACTTAGTCTTATTTCAAGACCTCAATACCATCCCATATAAAAGGGATGACTGTGCATTGCAGATTCATAACCGTGATCTATTGCTTGTTAACAGATCTTGAATATGGATCAGTCTAATCTTGTTTTGGAACAAGATAGTTCTATGCAACAGAGGAATGGAATTTGTTCTATGCAATTATTATTGTCATTGAGCTGAGCGGTAAATTGTGATTATTTCAATAATCTAGAAAGAGTGAATAAGAAAACACTATTGAATTCAAACATGTGCATTTATTACTTCTCAATAAAAGGTACAACCATAATAATAATGCAATCATTCTGAAACACTTCATTCCACTATGTGTAAACAATAACAAGAAATAGTGTTTTATTAAGCACGAAAAAATTCAAACTTCCATCCTGTGCCTCTTAACTAAATCTTGGTTCATGAAATACCATCTGTCATTAGAAAAATACCAACTGAAATTCCACAAATAATACCACCTTAATATACAACTACAAACCAGGCAAACGATAGCTGTAGATACACGAAATAGCAGAATGTTTGTTTACCGAACATCCTACAGTCAGGTTGGTTGACATTTTCTTCAGAGCCTCAAGCGCAGAACCATAGATAGCGAAGTAACTATCGCAAGACCCACGAAACAAAATGTTGGTTTCATGTGTTTTTGATGATTTCTTCTCGAGTTTCCTCTCGACTATGGCTTGTCTTCTTCTTCTTCGAAAGGACACTAGACTACCTCCGGATTTGCTGTTGTTGGAAGCCCAATCTGTTCCATATTCATCCTCGTGTTTGGATTTTAAACACTTTTCTGTTTCTTCTTGGGTTTCCTGTAAAATGAACATTCGTTTGATTTTGTTATGATACACTTCAAACTAGTTTGGTTCGTGAAGAGTCCATGATAGTCGGGAATATGTTTCATGTCATCATCATATTTTTGTTAGCTGGACAATCCCTTATAAAATATGGACTAAATTTTTTTCATTTTTGTAAGATTAGGGATTGACTTCCAAAGATGTTGCTTACGATAAAAAGTTTGAAGATTGTTTCACACAGAACCTATCTGAGAAGAAATGACTAGTATTCTAAATTTCTTAAAATACTGTTAAATTTAGCACTAATAAAAACAATGTAAACTCACAGGGTCAATAGTTAAAATACTGTTAAATTTAGCACTAATAAAAACAATGTAAACTCACAGGGTCAATAGACTCGGGTCTTGTCGCCGTCAGGAGCAGTGCAACTAGTGACACAAAGAACAACATCTCCAATCTACTAAAGGAGAATTAGTGCCGCAACATTCAACAATGAGCTCTGTAATTTAGTGGTCCTAGTTTTATTTATAATAGCAATCTTGAGACTGAGCAATTATCTTTCACCTTGACAAAGTATACCAAGACTAAGCAAAACGTGAAACAATCAACCAATGATCATTCGAGTTGACTTGTCATATTGCAACCCCCTTCTAAGCTGTTCTTGAGGGACACAATTACAATTAGTACCGAGTTAACAATGAGCTGAGATGGAACGCCACTCTTTATATATATCATGTATCATAATTAGATTGGGGAGGGGGGCCGTCACAATTATTGCTTAATCTAACCCCAATTAGCTATTAGCGTGACGTGCCTAAATGTCTCAAGTATATGAGGTCCAACCTTCTCGACACGTCATACTTACTTCAGGTACCAAAACAGTTGCATCATTTCGCGTGCAATTAACAGTAGGGTATACAGAGTGGAGAAGCACTGACCTAGTCATGGATGACAGGAACCAGTGGTGCTCAAGTAACAAGTGAGGGACTGTTGTTATAACTTTTCCTTATCATCACGAGGAATGTTCTAGAGAACTCTAGAGATTACACTTTACAGAGTGGGACAGCCTCAGTTTACTCAGCCAAATTAGCTGGCTGATTATTTAGATTGTTTGAATCCTTATACCATGCCAGGGACAATAAATGTTCATGACAGTCTTACCTCACGTACCTATCACCTCAGTGACGACATGGTCATAACAACCGGGAATATTCTCGTTGATTATGATGAATATTTCTTATTTTTTCAAGACGACGATAATATTCGAATAACATATCTCCGACAGAATTCTATCTATAACAAATAAATGCAAGACAAAAATGATAAACTCCTGTCACAAAACTCGACAACCACGAGATTATCATTTAGACGGTTTCGATAGGGGCAAACAATAAATACAAGCATTTAGCAGATACTTTCCTAAGCATGTGAGATAAGGAGTAAGATTAATTTAAGTATGCAATTTAACAAGTTTTAAGAAGGTGACTTACAGCTAAATTTACCGATTACAATCCCTTTTTTAGTTTGAAATGTCATCGATTGTACAAGTTGAAAATTAATGTATGATAAAATATTCTTCGGATCAAATTAATTTTAATTATCTTATATTAACGAATTTATCAATTTTCAATGAAGGTCTCCTTCATAATATATACTGAAGAGTGAAGTGAAGTGAAGTGAAGTGAAGTGCTCATTTCCTTCAATAAACTTTGAGCTACAATGTTGCGATGTATTGCATTGATTTCCTTAGTTATGATCAGAAAAGGCTCTTCACTAACTTGCACTAACTTTGCAGACAAAACAACGCCAGCGCCGATAAGATTAACTACATGCGTTTGGGTATAAATAAATATAGTAAATAAATTCTCACGTCTATTGCACTCTTCGAACGAGAGATCAGTTCTCAAAGAAAACTTACGATAGACTCAGATTGAAAATATAATACTCACTCGATAGTATATTGTTCTATAGTTCCATTGATATTCATTTTAGACCGAAATAGTTTATATTTCTTTGTCTTACTACTCGGCTATTATGAAAAGAAGTGAGACAGAAGAAAAACCGACTGCCCGTAAAATTTCATTTATTAATCCAAATTCAGGATTGGTAACGAATTGTTAGCCTAATCATGTGCAGACGAAAATTGATCGAATTACGAAGCCTGTTCTGATGAGGTTTGATCAATTATCAGATAAAATTGATCAATCTTTAGAATATAAAAATTATCCAAATTCAATTTATCAAACCACTTGTAACTGACGGTCATTGATTTAACAATTTCGATTTTTATACTTCTCATCCATTAAAACATACTCAAACAACATTTCAAAACAACCTGGAACCACATATTATAATATTTAACCAAACCACACCAAAATGTAATCACAATGTGTCACAATGTGTAACAATGTGTAACAATGTGTAACAATGTGTAACAATGTGTAACAATGTGTAACAATGTGTAACAATGTGTAACAGTGTTTACCAATGTGTAACAATGTGTAACAATGTGTAACAATGTGTAACAATGTGTAACAATGTGTAACTAACCCTGCCTCCCTCTACCTAGCATGAGTTCCAACTTACCAGATGACTACGAGAGGATACTGCTGGTGAAACCTGTGGTGTCTGTTTACAAGATCCCTGCACGTGGAGCTAATCGCGGAGTCAGGTCTGTTAATTAATAATTAATTAATAATTAACGTGTATTGTTTGTCTTCTGATGGGGAGGCATATTACTATGACACGTGACAGGAATGAACCAATCAGCTTCCACTGTTAACCAATTAAACCCCAGAGTAACTGTCACGTGTTAAAAAATATGTCTCACCTCCCCAACACCTCCACATTAATTGTTTGTCTTGTGTTAGGTTTCATCGCTCTTCTTGTTTGTATTATAATACGACACACATAAGTTATGATCCGATTTGCTGCATCCTTTACATCTTCTATAGTTTCGGGGGGGGGGGGGGGGGGGGGGGGGGGGGGGGGTAATGACTTGGGGAATTACGTCAACGATTTTACCCCGAGTCCCCATGATTTTTAGTCCCCATTAGTCCCCAAAAGTCTCCATTAGTCCCCATTTAGATGATTTTTAGTCCCCATTAGTCCCCAAAAGTCTCCATTAGTCCCCATTTAGATTTATCCTACTCTTATCTTGGACAAAACATCTCGATCGTATCGTTATTAAACTAACTTGAAAACCATAAATAACTGTCAAAAATTCTGGGGACTTATGGGGACAAATGGTGAATTACGTCAACGAGTTGACCTCTAGTCCCCACGATTTTTAGTCCCCATTAGTCCCCAAAAGTCTCCATTAGTCATTACCCCCCCCCCCCCCCCCCCCCCCCCCCCCCCCCCATAGTTTCTTATAAACAATACGACAACAACACGTGACAGCAACACGTGACAACAACACGTGACAACAACACGTGACAATACAACAAATAAGGCCCTAATGGGGGCTTGATAGGTTATTTTAGAGGCTACATTCGAACGCTCTATACCGGCCACCGGCTTTACTATAAATAATGCACTCTTCGTTTCCCCTTAGGTATATAGATATTATATATAGATCATTTGGTGATTTATTGTACTCCGGAACCTTCCTGCTTTTATGAAGATTACATTTATTGAGGAAACTAGGGTTTGCATTATCGGTCCAAAATTTTTTATCGCCGATAACCGATAATAATTTTTCAATTATCGGCGATAACGATAATTATCGGCGATAAAATTTGGTCAGAACAATTAGCTTATTTTCCATCGATTCAGTGGCTTAATTAATCATACGTTCATGATTTATAACTTCCGTGATTGAGGGGCATGAATTCCCGAGATATCGTACACAAATTGTTTCGTTTGTTTGAAAGACCACGTGGGCCACCCATAAGGGCTTTGAAACCGGTTTATTTAATACAATATAATATAAACGTAAACTGCAATAATATCATAAAATTCCTGTCGATCCTAACTCAAATAATATAAACTGTTGTTAAAACAATAATACCACGTGTCACATTATTAAAATATATGATATAATTGTATATAATTGTAAACGCGTAATTTCAAAATAGTCAATTAATCGAAAGTGAAGTGGTAATAACAATCTCCCCCTATGACTCCATGATGGATATTAATCGTCATATATCTCCGGCAATTAAGGCCACTCCATTCGTCGAAAGTAAGAGAAAACCGAACTCCGTCTTTTTTCAACTTAACTAAATCCTGTTTAACTTCATCTTTAGCAGCTTCGTAGAATTCAGATACTTTACCACGAATAGTGTTAGGAGAGCTATGAGCGACAAGTTTCTTCTCCCGCATGGCATCTCTGATGAAACTGCTGGTTGCAATTTGATTAAAAGAAAGTCTGTCCACAGCCGCTAAACGGCTATACATTTCGGCTTGAGTTTTCTTTTCGATGTAAGATACTATTAGGGACTAATTTTTTTGGTCGCTTGACTTTGGGGGATGCCGAAGATTTATCATTATTAGCAGCTGCATTTTCTATACCGTGTTTAACTCTCAAGTGGTACCAAAGACTAGTGTAAGACCTTTTGGCTGTTGTGCTGAGAAAAGACTTGTCACATTGCATGCAGGCCACGTTGTCCCCCTCTTTTCTGAAATGTTTCCAGATCTCGTTGGTTGACATATCAAGATTAATTAGTTTTCCGAGACACAACAGAAAACAGATAACAACTGATACGTGTAACGTAATCAATCAACGATATAAGCAAATGAGCGACCCAGGCAAGTTAATCATCGGCATTTCTCAGGGGAGGGGCGTGGAGTGTGGACTGTGCAGGAGTGTATTGTGTTGTTATGGTGTGTACTGTGTCGGGTTCAAATTATTACCTTATACGGTTGTAACTGAATTGATAGCTTGAAGTGAACAGCTTATCTGTAATAGGGTGGGGCGAAACTACGGGATACTTATTACAGATTTACCGTTTAAACTTTAATTCCGTTGGATTCAAATATGCAACTATCCCATGAAATATGAATACTTTTACATAGTACATACCTTGTTTCACCAATATCTTATGATCAATCTAGTGAAAATGGGAGGTAAGAATCTGCGAGTTAGCTGTAAAGTCTCTAAAATTCCGAAATTATTTTTGAAAAGAAATTTCTGAAATTATCGGTTTATCGGTCAGAAATTATCGCCGATAACCGATAACGATTTTACTACGAATTATCGCCTATAATTTTATCGCCGATATTATCGATTGCAAACCCTAGAGGAAACGATGTAACAGAGTCGATATATTTTAATGTTGCCATGGGGTGACAAGTCCCCATACATCGTGGTCTGGTAGTTTCATTGCGTCCTAATATACATAATGTAGGTGTACAGAGGTTTGACTGTACAACAAATGTCATACACCGAGTTTCCTGACATTTCAATTATACAGGGTGGGCCAAAAGTCAGTGTGCAAACGTTGGGTCTTATACCTCCGCCGTGTTTTATATTTGAGAGCTGTTGCTTTGCAGATGGCATACTGTACTTACTGGTTCGAGGATTCCGTCGTCAAAATTTGAAAATTAGAATATTTTAGACCACGCCCATTCAATATTAAAACACCTATATTGTTTTCTCTGAACATGCTGAACGCCTTATTTTTTCAGAGACGGTAGATTATCAAATGTTGCATATGATCTGAAAACATGAGGCAAAACGGATTAGAAATGACGAAGTAATCAAGCATTTTGTGTATCTCGTTAACAATATTGACTGGGTGATTATGTGACACAGTGACACGACAACTTAATTGGGCACCCTTAACAATTCCCATAATGTTTAACGGGGTAGTTAACGGGGGCACCTTATCACGTGATTAGGTAAACCAATCACCTGATCACACGTAATGAATAAACTCGTTATGCTTCATATCTCGGTCATCTGAGAAGCTACAGTTCTAATTCTTTCAGGACAAACGTAATTCGAATGGCCAAACACAATTCAATAACATTTAGCTTGATCCGACTATCCAAACTATCAAATAAATGTGAAAATGAACCTCCATTTGAAAAAAATGAACGCGAATATTTTTCGAGTTGACAAATTCCTCGAACCAGTGGTGGTACTAAGTCATACCAGAAGGAAGTATTTCAATTGGGCACTCAGTGACTGAGCTATTAAGGCCAACGTTTGCACACTGACTTTTGGCCCACCCTGTATATCTAGAATTACCCTTATAGAAGGTCTTACAAATAGATGGGTAGGATGACTGGGGTATTATTATAATTTTAAAATATTATTTTTTATACATTTACATATAACTTTGTTTGGCAGGGCTGCAGACTGGAAGTTAGAGTTCCCAGACTGGAAAGGTAGGATGAGGATTGTAACGTTGGGGGAGAAATGTATTATCAGACTGGAGGATAGTAACAACGGTTAGTTATTTACATTTATTTATTTAGTTAAATCATAAGTTATTTATAAGTTGTTTATAAGTTATTTCATTAATCAAATAAATTGTTTATAAACTTATTTATCAACTTATTTATCAACTTATTTGTATTATTAATAAATACAAAAAATTTATTTGTATTGTAACTAGGCTAGGTGGCCTAGTGGTTAGAGCATCCGCCTTCTGCGCAGAAGGTTCAGGGTTCGAATCCCAGTGTCACTTAGTCTAGGGAGTAGCTAAGGATCCATTGGATCTATGTGATCTCCTCGGTCGACTCAGCCGAATGATAGGAAACTTAATTGAGGGTTAAATGAGGAGGGGTACCTGTTAAAAGTTCAAGAAACTTCCTAGGATACCCCTTCAGTGAATACTGTAAACATAGTGCTATTAACTATTAACTATATTAACTTATGAATTTATTTACGAAAAGCTGAGTCTCCGTTTAGTTGGAACTGTGCTATATATTTAAAGGTCAAATTTTTAAATTTATGAAACTTTGTTTCTTGATATTTAACGAATATTTGGTACTTTAAAGTTTCAAGCTGTGGATGTGCACTGTGTAGGCACATCACGCATGATACATATAATGCAGACACGACCCATATTTACACTACGCCCTAATTTCAAAATGTATCTACAGACGGACTTCGATTCCTTGAAAATAGACAAATGTATTAATACTATTAAATATATCACAATTGAACGTTGTAGATGATTAATACTTTGAGGAAAAGGTTCTACAGAATCAAAGGATAACTACACCCTACATTAAGATCATACCGTACCTTGTTAGACCCGTCCTGAATAATAATTATCGTTCAAAACTGCAGTCTCAAAATAATTCTACAACCACTGAATTCTCAGCTTGTATATATTTTGACTACTTCAATTCAATATTAACTCAATAATTAACTTAATTAATATTAACTCGCCGCCACCAAGGCTCATGAATAAACCACCTTTGTCGTATGTCCTCCAAAACGCAGGTCCTCAACCTCACCCCTCCCTCAGTCTCATCCTCCAATGTAACACACCTGTTAGTTGTAGTGTGCGTGATCTGTGCTGTGGTTACGTTGTATGCAAACATCTGGGTTGAATAGGGCTTTCTTTCTGTTAGAGATTGTTCATGACAAATGTATGCGATTATTTCTGAGTCGCTGTTCGTGTCTGGGGCATCTAAGCAGTATTTAGCCCCCACTCCGACGTGTATTGCACCGTTTTTAGAGAAACTCAATAAGTGTGTATCAAAAAAGTAGACATTTTCTTTTCTGCATGATGGCTCCGTACCTAGTTTACTTCTGACCACAGACAGACAGAATCTCTGAAGATACACTGATTGAATTTCGCCCACGTGCACATAACCGGGGGTATCATAAAACTTGTAATGGTGACTTGAATGAACATTTTTCAAATACCAATTATAGTCTCTGGGACACTTAGAGTATTCAAACGTCTGCTGCATTACTTGAGCTAATTTGAAAACAGGACCAAACGAAGCTTTGTCCAAGTAGATTGTATTGAGAAAGAACCTCTGCTCTGCAGGATCCTTGATAAAGTTCGTTATTTCTGCTAAACTCTCACCCTTGAGTCGGTTCATGAGATCGTTCGATTCTTTCGTGTATCTTTGAAGGGAAATGTCATTACCATTTGTATGAAGAACCTGAGAACAGGGGGGTACCCAAAGTCCATCACCACACAACCACACTCTCAGTGCTAACCTGTTATTTTCAATACCCCACGAAGTACTTACTATTGAGGCAGGATACAAGTCTACAAGAGTAGTTTTATACGCTGCAAGTGCACCTCCAGCTAAGGACGAAACAAGATATGGTTCGGTTACATTATCTTCCGGCGGTCCTGCAATGTAGAATTGCATATTTTCAAAGCCACCGGCCATTTGCATCCCATATGGCTGCACATTATTCATTCTTAGCTCTTCATAATCTTTTTCTCCCATCATGTGGACTAATGGGATTGCCACAGCTGCTGATTTATGTTTTAAAATGTCTAGCAGTGGTTGCAGCCATATTTCTGAGACCTCCATGTGACTGTCCAAGATAGCTATAACGTCACCTGTAGCCGCACGTATTCCTGCATAGCGTGCGTTAGCTATACCTACACTAACGTTGTTCCTAATCATACGCACGGGAATACCAAAAACCCTACAATATTCCAGTATCTCTAGACTGTCATCTTTATCACTACCATCATCTATCAACAGTATCTCATGCAGCAAATCAGATGGGGTCCTCTCAATGATGGTCGTTAAGGCTCGATACAGAAGCAGCAACAACTCGTTTTTGTAAGTAATCAGCACAGTGACACGTTCCGAGTAGGCCCTGTCTAAATAGTCCAGACATTTGATATTCGGAGGGGGTTTACTAGCTGGAAGTAGACCATGTTTTCCACCCCAGTGTAAGGCAATGTCCCTGTGGTAATAGTCCGAGAGAGATTTTAGTTCCTCTGGAGTGAGATTTTCCAACTGTTCAGTGTACTTGAATTCAATTTGACGCATAAGGCGGTACTTCTCTATCTGCATCTGGTTTGTGTCCCGAGGTAGTTGCTTGTGGTAGAATGCAGTACTGAAGTGTGTTACAGGAAGGTGTGTTAGGAAATAACACGTGATCAGAAACAGAAGGAGAATTGTCAGGACTGTTTTTGGTTTATATCTCACTGTCACTCTCATGACCTTATCTGGACCCTGATAAAATGTGCTAATATTAATGCCTTGTTTTAAACATTAATTATTATTTAATCTTAAAACCTTCAAAGTGTTTTGATACTGGTAGTCTCTGGCTGCAAAGCAAAAGCAAAAGCTGCAGAATTACGATACTCAAGATGACTCCCAAAAATATTTACTCTTAATCGAAAAAAAAACGAGTTTTAGTAACTATAAAAATATAGAAGTAAGCTATTTACTGCTCTTAAAAAGAAGCCCTTTTTACACTGCTAGATAGGTATAATGTGTTATACTGTAAACTGTTAGATAGATATATATGTGTGACCAAAGGAAGTGTAATCACACTAGTTTCTAGTTCTTCAACTTAGATGATTATTCTTCAATCAAGTGATTAAAAAGTTATCGCACCCTCATGGAAACTCAATACAAAGGATCAGAATCCCGAAATCTGCAATACCATGATCTTCTTACAACGTTACAACATGAAACAATGCAAATTGGTGAGGTAAAGTAGATGATAATAAGATAGTGCTGCTAGTGTGATTAGTAATCACCCTAGCAGCACCTGTAATCACCCTAGCAGCACCTGTAATCACCCTAGCAGCACCTGTAATTACCCTAGCAGCACCTGTAATCGCCCTAGCAGCACCTGTAATCACCCTAGCAGCACCTGTAATCACCCTAGCAGCACCTGTAATCACCCTAGCAGCACATGTAATCACCCTAGCAGCACCTGTAATTACCCTAGCAGCACCTGTAATCACCCTAGCAGCACCTGTAATCACCCTAGCAGCACCTGTAATCACCCTAGCAGCACCTGTAATCACCCTAGCAGCACCTGTAATCACCCTAGCAGCACCTGTAATCACCCTAGCAGCACCTGTAATTACGGAAAGGAGAAGATAAAGTCTGGCTTACATGACATTATTATATCCAGAACAATCTAAAAGCTCACCAAATAAATAATGAGCTTCAGATGATCTAACTCATGTAACAAGTCAAACAAACAGGGTGGTGACTACTGACAAACAAACAGGGTGGTGACTGGTCTCACTAAAACAAACAGGGTGGTGACTACTGACAAACAAACAGGGTGGTGACTGGTCTCACTAAAACAAACAGGATGGTGACTGGTCTAACTAAAACAAACAGGGTGGTGACTGGTCTAACTAAAACAAACAGGGTGGTGACTGGTCTCACTAAAACAAACAGGGTGTTGACTGGTCTCACTAAAACAAACAGGCTGGTGACTGGTCTCATTAAAACAAACAGGGTGGTGACTGGTCTCACTAAAAACAAACAGGGTGGTGACTAGTCGCACTAAAACAAACAGGCTGGTGACTGGTCTCATTGAAACAAACAGGGTGGTGACTGGTCTCACTAAAACAAACAGGGTGGTGACTGGTCTCACTAAAACAAACAGGGTGGTGACTGGTCTCACTAAAACAAACAGGGTGGTGACTGGTCTCACTAAAACAAACAGGGTGGTGACTGGTCTCACTAAAACAAACAGGGTGGTGACTGGTCTCACTAAAACAAACAGGGTGTTGACTGGTCTCACTAAAACAAACAGGCTGGTGACTGGTCTCATTAAAACAAACAGGGTGGTGACTGGTCTCATTGAAACAAACAGGGTAGTGACTGGTCTAACTAAAACAAACAGGGTGGTGACTAGTCTCACTAAAACAAACAGGGTGGTGACTGGTCTCACTAAAACAAACAGGGTGGTGACTGGTCTCACTAAAACAAACAGGGTGGTGACTGGTCTCACTAAAACAAACAGGGTGGTGACTTGTCTCACTAAAACAAACAGGGTGGTGACTGGTCTCACTAAAACAAACAGGGTGGTGACTGGTCTCACTAAAACAAACAGGGTGGTGACTGGTCTCACTAAAACAAACAGGGTGGTGACTGGTCTCACTAAAACAAACAGGGTGGTGACTGGTCTCACTAAAACAAACAGGGTGGTGACTGGTCTCACTAAAACAAACAGGGTGGTGACTGGTCTCACTAAAACAAACAGGGTGGTGACTGGTCTCACTAAAACAAACAGGGTGGTGACTGGTCTCACTAAAACAAACAGGGTGGTGACTGGTCTCACTAAAACAAACAGGGTGGTGACTGGTCTCATTAAAACGAACAGGGTGGTGACTGGTCTCATTAAAAACAAACAGTGTGGTGACTGGTCTAACTAAAACAAACAGGGTGGTGACTGGTCTCACTAAAACAAACAGGGTGGTGACTGGTCTCACTAAAACAAACAGGGTGGTGACTGGTCTCATTAAAACAAACAGGGTGGTGAC